TAGGCAGTGAACATTCCCAAGCTTGGACAGACAGAGACAGGACAGCGAGGTCCAGAAAAGACCAGAAGTAAAGATTTTTTTAGAGCTGGAAAGACAGGAGAGGAAGGCTTCTGGGTACAAAAAAGGAAAAGGAAGTGATGGTCCCCAAAACAAAAGGAAGAGGCCAAAAAACCCCCCAAAAAACAAAACAAAAAAAAAAATACACCTCACACCCAGAGGAGAAAATGAGGGTCTCAGGCCAAGAGGGAACCGGAAATCCAGAGGACGAAGAAAAGGGATGTGAATATCTCCAAACAAAATGAAGATTTCTGGACACGCAAACAACAGGGAGCGAGCCGGGGACCAAAGAATGGAAAGACGAACCAGAAAAAGATGAAGAGGAGGTTCTCATAGCACAAGAGGGGAAGGTCCGGGGTGGGGGGGCATCAGGAGGAGAGGAGAGGGAGGGAAAGACAGCAGTAGCCAGAGCAGAGGGCTGACACCCTATTCTTCTTGCCTGCCTTGGGCTAAATCTCTGTCCCCCTCTCTCTACGAATCTCTTCCCCACCCAGGGCCTCTATCCACCCCCCTTGCTGGGCCACAAACCCCTCACCCTGGATCTCTCCCTCCTCAGTCTGTCTACCTCTCTGTGTGACTCTGTCCCCATCTCTGGTTCTCTGTTACCCCCACTCTGGGTCTCTCTGTCCCCCTTTCTCTGGATTTCTGTTGACCTCTCTCTCTGGGTCTCCGTCTCCCTCTCTCTGGGTCTCTATCTCCCTCTCTCTGAACCTCTCTCCCTCTCTCTTTCTCTCTCTGGGTCTCTGTCCCCCTCTCTCAGGGTCTGTGTCCCCTTCGCTCTGGGTGTCTGCCTCAGTCTATACCTTGAGCTTGGACTGGATTTCTCTTGATTTCCTTCGAGCCAGAACCTGGATGTGGCTAGAGACCTGCGGGGAGTGACAAAGAAGAAGATTCAGGCCACAGCCACTTGCGCCTTGATCCCCTCTCCCTTCCCACCCTCCAGGTGCCCCCTGAGCTACCAGAACATGAAAGGTGACAAGCACACAGAACATGGCAGCTGTCTCAGGCGCCTGCTAACACAGATATGTCCACAGAGGCTAGTCTCTTCTCATTGACGCTACTGATCTTCCCCAGACCCAGCAAATCCGGGTCTTTGGCTCTTTTGGTTTAGCTCCGCCTCTAATACACTAGGCACCGTTCAGCAAACTAACAGAGGTTCCCATCAAGACGGACAAAAGCACACGAACCAGATCCTCCTTGAACCTGAGCCCACCCATAGTAAGATGGCCCCAGGAAGACAAGCGCCTGCCCCGGAGAGAAGCCCACAAGTCAGCCCTGAGACCTGTTTGCGGGTTCGGGTCTTCCCCGTTCTCAGCTTGATGTAGCGGGCGATCAGCTCATTCCGACCTGAAGAGTCAACGATGGAACAGCGTTAGACTTTCGCAGGACTTCCCAACAAACGGGACACCAGGGACGGAGAGAGAAGCAATGTGTGCCCGCTGGGACGGCGATGTGCAAAGAGGAGCTACCACCACGGGCTTTGGAGCCAGACCGCCTGGGCTCAAATCCCAGCGTCACCACCTACTGGTTCTGTGACCTTAGGCAAATCACTGAACCTTTCTGTGCCTCAGTTTCCTCCTCTGTGCAAACGGTGATGCTGGCTCCTACCTGAGTCCCTGTGAGGATACAGCGTGCCTGGACCTTAACGCCATTTAAGGCTCCAGAAACGTTGGTCATTATTTGTATCAATCAGTAGGGGACAAGGACAAAAGAGAGGGGCGGACTTACCGTACATCTTGCCTTCATCGGACAGGATGATTTTCCGCCGGCCACACGGTGGATAGATTGCCAGGGCCTCCTGGAAGCTCTGCTCGATGTCTGGACTCCACACGCCTTCTGCGTCCGGGCCCCCATCTCCCCCAGCCCCCTCGCTGCCGCCGGTGCCCTCCTCACTTCCTTCCTCACTTCCTGTCCAGCCACTGCCATCGTCCAGGGGGGCCCCAGCCCGGGGTTCCCCCATCTGGGCCTGGAGGAACACAGAGCTCAGCAAGGTTCCCCAATCACCCCAGAGAGCTTTGAGGGCTGGGACGGCTGGGAGCTCAGATTGCCCGGCCTGGATTTCTGGGTCTGACAGAAGCAGGTAGCTGGGGGCCGGGACCCCTAGGTCCTGGGGAAGGGAGTGGATTTCTGGGGAAGCTCAGGGAGAGGGTGAGGGTGTCCTCTGTGTTTCCAGGGGAGCCTGGGTCGTGGCAAAGTCTTGAAGACCCCAGAGTAATGCCTAGGGCCCATGAGGGCCGAACCTTTGGGTGGGGATTACTGGTTTAAAGAAGACAGGCGTCAGGGTCTAGTTGCAGGGAACAGGGGTGTGGATGAGATCTTCTCAGTCCCCTCCCCAGAACAGGTGCTAGGATGTGAACAGCAGCTGCTAGAAAAGAAGGAGGGGCCTAGGCCCTAGTAAGATGGGGGGGGATGTCCAGAGAGGGGGACAGAGATCCATTGAGAGGGACAGAGACCCAGAGAGCACTAGATAGAGTCCCAGAGAGGAGGAAACAGAGATTCTGTGTTGGGGGGAAAGGGGACAGACACCCAGAGAGAGGGCAGATAGACTCCCAGAGAAAGAGAGAGACAGACCCAGAGAAGGGGACAGAGACCCAGAGAGAGGCGGGACAGAGACTCAGGGCAGAGACTCAAGCCGAGACCAGGAAAGACCCACAGAACCCCAAACTGGGGGGCAGGGGCGCCCTGCCATCAGGAGAGCCAGAACAAAGGGCCCCGGCGTCCCCTCCCCCAGTTTCCCACAACCCCCATCAGGGGAGGGGCTGGCCGGCGAGGGAGCCTCCCCTCTGGCCCCCGGCCCCGCCCCTTCCCTCCCCTCCCCCTGCGCCTTGGGCTTGGATCCAACTCAAGTTCCCAGTGACTTTCCGGAGGCCGGGAACAGGGAAAAACTTTTTCCAATACAGTCAGATCCCGCCTCCCAGGCGGCTCCACGTCTTCCACAGTTTTCCCAGGACCCCAGAGTCCAGGTTCCCATCCCCCTCCTCCCTCGGACCCCGGAGCCCAGGCCGAGACAAAGACCCCAGGCCGAGCCCAGTGGCGCTGAGGCGTTCAGGACCCCCGTAGGCCAAAATCCCAGCCCAGCTCTCCCCCATGTGGCCAGACAAAGGGACGGAGGAGCCGGGTAAGAAAGGTCCCCACTAATTTCCCGCCCCAGGCCCTAAACTTCGGAAGAGGCAAGACTGAAGATCCGGAAAGCACTGAGCCCGCCCTATGCCACCCCGCGGGCCTCCTTTCTCCATTAGGAGGACCGGGAGCCCACAAATGACACACAGAAGCCAGTTCGGTCAGAAACACGCACAGGGTCCTTTCTCACTTCAATCCCACATCGCCGCAGTCACACACACACACACACACACACACCCCGACACACCCGCCAAAGCCCCCGGCCCTCACTCACTCCCGAGCGCGCAATCCCAGACTCAGACCCTTCAACAGACACCCCAACTCCGGCGAAAGTTCCAACACCTCACTAAGATTCGGTCACACGCGCAAACTCGGGCCCCCGGGCAAAAAGAGGGCGGCAAGCAATTCTGAGACGGTCCCACAAGCACCTCAGCTCATAACGCGTAGCTTCCCACCCCAACTCACACACCCCAAAGCTGGATCCCCGACTCCCGCCGGAGCCTTCCTACCTCCCGGCCTGGGGCTGGGGAGCCGCGGGCGGGCGGGGCGCTGCGAGGGAGAAAGTTGCCCGGGAGCTTTGTTTGGGAAAAGTGGGAGGGACCGGAGGGGGGGGCGGGCCCGGGCGCCGGACACAGGGAAGAGGGATCCGACGGTGACAGTTTGGAGGAGGATTTTTGCTTTGGCAGAAGAGAGGTGAAGTCTAGCTTAGGCCCGGTAGGAACTTCAGAATTCAGATGCCTGCATCCCTGGGCAAGGTGAGGGATGCGAGATCCGGACTCCTAGGTCCCGGGGAGGAGGCTGATGGGGGCCAAGAAGCCTAGGTCTAAGAGAGGAGGGGGCCGGGGCCCTGGACTTTTGGCTACCACCCTCCAGTGTGTTTGTGTGTAGGAGACGTGGAAGTGATAAGAAAACAAAAGAATCTTTTCTGTTCAGCCTTAAGGATGTTTTTGAGGATTGCGGTATGTGAGGATGGATTTTTTATTGATTTCTATGACACCCGGGTTTCCTTGTGACTTCCCCAGAGTTAAGAGGTGGTCAAGAGTACTGGGAGTTTATTGGAGGTGCAGACTCTTGCTCCACACGCACTGGTGGACCAAGACCGAGAGAGAGCCTCGATGCCTGAGCGGAGAGGAGCTAGGGCTCGGCCTCCTGGGGTCCCTTAAAGATGAGGTGTTGGATGTTCACACTCAGGGAACTAGAGGGGCCTGGGATCCGGACTCTGGGGCCCTAAGGCGAAGGGAGCCTGAATTCTGGGCTCCTCGGAAATCTAGGCTCCTAGTTTCCAGAGAGGTCGGGGCTTTTCAATGGGACCGAAGAGGACTCCAGTTCAGGGTCCCTATCCTGCGCTCCGTGGAGTGTAGTAATCGTTTCAAATCTTGGAGAAGACGAGAAAGGACACGGAGAAACTCTCAGAGATAAATTCAAAACTAAGGAGTGGGTGAACCGAATGTTCGGTCTTGGGCTTTTCATGAGCATTGGGAGCCTAAGAATGGAACTGAGGGGGCTGGAGGCAAGATCTGGGGCACAGACCAAAGGCCCATGGCTCTAAGTCAAGGGGCGTGGCCATCTGAGATCGGAGGCGGGCTCGAGGGCCAAGATCCGAGAACATAGGCAGCACAGGATCTTCAGGCCCCAGGTCAACCGACGGGGGCGTGGTCTGATGCTGGGGGTGTGGTTAACAGATAGAGGCGTGGCTATACCCTTATGGGCGTGACCATCCAGTAGCGGGCCCAGCTCGCGGGTGAGGTCAGCGGATGGGGGCGTGGTCAGACTGTAGGGGCGAGACTTTGGCTCGCGGAGCTCATCCAACGCTCCAGGTATCCCGCCTGGGCTCGAGACCAGAACTGTTTGGATTTAACAGTCCGTGGACGGACGGACGGAGTCTGCGAGTCCGGTGACCGGGCTGTGGTCTAGCATAAAGGCGGGGCCCAGAAGAAGGGGCGGGGCGTGGGAGAAGGTGAGGAACGAGATCTGGATATGAATGCAGGCGAAGGAAAGGACTGAGAGCCGTGTGTAAGGCCAGAAGATCCGGGCCCGGGAGGAGGAGGAGGGCCCGACACGATGGATGGGATAGGGTGGAAGAACAGGGGAGGGGGGAGATGTGGGGAATTGCCTGAGCCACTGATAGGAAAGGGGTGAAGGTCTTGGGTGGGGGGTGTGACCGCTAGGGGGCAGGGCCTTTTTGGGGGCGGGGCCTCTGACCCGTACCGCTGCAACAGCCTCCCTGCCCGCCCCGCGATGTGGCAACCTCTGGTCCTGCTGCTGCTGCTCCCCTCTGCCTTGGTGCCCCCCTGCACTGCAGCCCCGATCCGCGATGCTGACGCCCAGGAGAGCTCCTCGGGTTTTCTAGGCCTCCAGAGCCTAATCCAAGGCTTCACCCGGCTTTTCCTCAAAGTGAGCAATGGCGAGGGGTGGGAGTAAGAAAAGAAGAGGCACTGGGGCAGATGGAGACTGAAGGATGGAAGGGGTTCGGAGAGACAGAATGGAAGACGGGTTGCGGCCAGGCCAAAGGACAGACAGGAAGAGAGGGAGTCAAAGGGGGAGAGAGATGAATAGAGAGCTACAGGCAGACCGAGAGATAGGAAGAGAGGGAGGAACTCAAGCAGATAGGGAGATGGGACAGAGACCAGACTGGAGCGAGAGAGACGCGGAAGGAGAAGGGGATGAGGCCACAGAGACTGTAAGATGGGAGCGGGGAAGCGGGGGGAGCATGAATAGGAAGGTAATGGAACAGAACAGAGATAGGACAGATGGGGGATGGGGCAGAAGGTGACCTGGTTAGGCCCGAAGGGTCAGAGGACAGAGAGAGAAGGAGATGGCGGGGTACGTGGGGTAAGGCCTCAACGGCACCCTGGCAGGGCTGCTGATTTACTGGGGAGTCGTGGGGTCCAGCAGAACAGTGGTCCCTCCTCTGGCCCTAGGATGACTTGCTGCGGGGCATGGACAGCTTCTTCTCTCCCCCCATGGACTTCCGGGGCCTCCCCAGGAACTACCACCAAGAAGAGAATCAGGAGCACCGCCTGGGGAACAACACTCTCTCTAGCCACCTCCAGATCGACAAGGTGCCTACGGCGGGAAGTCCCTCCTGGAGTCTTCCCATGATCCCTCATGCTGCAGTAGCTGTGGGGAGGAAGGCAGAGGAAGAAAGTGGTTTTGCTCTCACTCTCTCCTCCTGTCCTCACAGGTGACAGACAACAAAACCGGAGAGGTGCTGATCTCTGAGCAGGTGGTGGCGTCCATTGAGCCAGGAGAAGGGAGCTTGGAGAGTGACTGGAAGGTTAGGACCTGCCCCTGACAACTCGTCCATGCTCAAACATTTTCTGTCGTTTGGGAGAAGATGAGTTGATATTCCCATATTGACTGTTTAGCACGTCTCTCTGGGCCTCAGTTTTGTCATCTGTCAAATGGATAAGCCAGCTCTCAGAAATGAGGTTTACAACCCAGACTATATCCCCATTCACTTAGCAAGCCCCAGAAAAGTCTGTAAACCAAGAAGGGCTTTTAATATAATTCCAAGTGCTTTTAATCTTCACCCTCAAAGGGTGCTTTTATCTCGAAGTACTCTGCAAACCTCCAAGTATTTTTTTTTTAATATTTTTATTTATTTCTAGGAGAGAGAGAGACAGCGTGAGCAGGGGAGGGTCAGAGAGAGAGGGAGACACAGACTCTGAAACAGGCTCCAGGCTCTGAGCTGGCAGTCAGCACAGAGCCCGACACGGGGCTCGAACCCCATGAACCGCGAGATCATGACCTAAGCGAAAGTCGGACGCTTAACCGACTAAGCCACCCAGGCGCTCCCAAACCTCCAAGTATTTTTAAATCTACCTCAAAGGGCTTGGGAAATCTCACTCTCATAAGCTTCAAGATGAGATTTTTTTGTTCTGAAGTGCTTTAGGAATCCCTAATGCTTCGTGTATCTCACCTTTGTAAACCCCTAAGGGCGATTCTAACTGCAAAGTCCTTTTATATATATTCTTTTTTTTTTTTTTAAGTTTATTTTGAGAGAGAAAGAGAGTGCGTGCACACGTGGGCAGGGGAGGGGCAGAGAGAGAGAATCCCAAGCCGACTCCAGGCTCAGCACAGAGCTCATTAGCTCGTTGCAGATCTTGGTCTCACAAACAGCGAGATCATGATCTGAGCCAAAATCAAGATTCTGACGTTCAACCAACTGAGCCACCCATGTGTTCCCAAACGGCTTATTTTTTTTTATCCTAAACATTTTAAAGAACCACCCCCCCCCCAAGCTCTTGGCAAACCCATATGGTTCTTCCACACACCCCTAGGTTCTTATTTTTTCATTTCCAAATCTACAGAAGAGTTGAGAAAAATATAATCCAATCAAGCTGTGACCCCTTTCCCAGGGAGCAGGGTTTCTCAACCTTGGCACCACTGGCATTTGGGGCTGGATGATCTTGTGTTGAGGGGGCTGTGTGTGCTCTGTCAGAGGTTTAGCAGCAAGCCCACCTCCTCCCACCAGATGGAAGTAGCCTCTGCCCCCCCCCCCCCCCCCCGCCCTGGTAGTGACAACCAAAAATGTCTCCCGACTTCGACTGAGACCCACCGGCCTTGGTGCACTGCTCATTCAAATTTTACCATGTGTACTTTCTTTTCACTTTTTTATTTTTGAACTATGTGACAGTGAATTGTTGCCATCATGACACGTGACCCTTAAATCCCTTCAGCTGGTGTCTCCAAAGAATAATGCATTCCCCTGAATGACTGCCATACCATCTTTTAAATCTATGTATCTTTTTTTCATTTAAGATTTTATATTTTTTTAATTTAAAAAAAATTTAATGTTTATTTGTGAGAGAGAGAGAGAGAGAGAGGCAGAGCGCGAGTGCAGAGGGGCAGAGAGAGAGAGGAAGACACAGAATCTGAAGCAGGCTCCACGCTCGGAGCCATCAGTACAGAGCCTGACGTGGGGCTCGAACCCACAAACTGTCAGATCATGACCTGAGCTGAAACTGGAAGCTTAACCAACTGAGCCACCTGGGCACCCCTATATATTGTTTTTAATTTTTTAAGTTTATTTATTTTCAGAGAGACAGAGAGAGCGTGAGCAGGGGAGGAGCAGAGAGGGAGAAAGAGAATCCCAAGCAGGCTCCATGCTGCCAGCACACAGCCCGATGTGATGCTTTAAGCCACAAACCGTGAGATCATGACCTAAGCCAAAATCAGGAGTTGGACGCTTAACCAACTGAATCACCCAGGCGCCCCATACCACAGTACCATTTTTACACCCAAGAAATTTGACATTGATAATCACAGTATTATCTCTGTATTCGTTTGCTCAGGCTGCCATAACAAAGTACCACTGATTGGCTGGCTTAAACAACAGAAATGTATTATTACCCAGTTCTGGAGGCTATAAGTTCAAGATCAAGGTGTTCATCAGGGTTGGTTCTTTCTGAAGCTGCAAGGGAGATTCTGTTCCATGCCTCTCTCCTAGTTTCTGGGGAGGCCTGCTGAAAATCGTTGGCATTCCTTGACATGTAGAAGCATCCCTTCTCCGTCTCTGCCTTCATTTTCTTCTTTTTTTAATTTTTTTAATGTTTTATTTACTAAAATTTTTAAAAATGTTTTATTTATTCCTGAGAGAGAGAGAGATAGCGTGAGCGGGGGAGGGTCAGAGAGAGAGGGAAACACAGAATCTGAAGCAGGCTCCAGGCTCTGAGCTAGCTGTCAGCACAGAGCCTGATGCGGGGCACGAACCCATGAACCGTGAGATCATGACCTGAGCTGAAGTCAGACGCTTAACCGACTGTGTCACCCAGGTGCCCCTCTGCCTTCATTTTCACTTGGCCTTCTCCTTGTATGCACTTCTAGGTCTATGTCCAAAGTTTCCCTGTGCAGAAGGATACCAGTCATATTAGATGAGGCCCACCTAATGACCTTCGTCTTTTTGTGTCTTTATTTTTTTATTTTGAGAGACAGAGACAGCATGAGCAGGGGAGGGGCAGAGAGTGAGGGAGACACAGAATCCGAAGCAGGCTCCAGGCTCTGAGCTGTCAGCACAGAACCTGACATGGGACTCGAACCCATGGACTGTGAGATCATGACCTGAGCCGAAGTCGGACACTTAACCGACTGAGCTACCCAGGCTCCCCAACCTTTACCTTAACTAATGAAATCTGCACTGACCCTGTTTCCAAGTAAGATCCCATTCTGAGGTCCTAAGGGTTAGGAATTCAACACACAAATGGGGTGGGAGAGTAGAGACACAAATCACTTCATAACAATCTCCTGCAGGACCTCTCAGAAAAATGCCAACTCTGATTCAGTAGGTCTGGACGACTAATTTGCTAACTTGCTAACAAGCTCCCAAATATTACTGAGGCTGCTGGTCCACGGCCACGCTTTGAGTAGCAAGGACCAAACAGATATTCAGTCCATATTCAAATGTCCCCAGTTGACCGAAAGCTGTTCGTAAGACCTGATTTGATTTTTGTTTTAGTTTAAATCCACGTTGGCTAACATATAGTGTATAATAATGATTTCAGGGATAGAATTTAGTGATTCATCACTTCCAGATACCACCCCATGCTCATCCCAACAAGTGCCCTCCTTTAGTGCCATCGCCCATTTAGCCCATCCCCCCCGATTTGATTTTTGATCCAGGATTCAATCAAGGATCACATGTTGTGTGGTGTGTGGGTGGCTCAGTCGGTTAAGCATCCGATTCTTGATTTCGCCTCAGGTCATGACCTCACAATTTGTGAGTTCAAGCCGGCATCAAGCTCAGTGCTGATGGTGTAGACACTGCTTGGGATTCTCTCTCCCCCTTCTCTCTCTCTGCTCCTACCCTGTTTGCTCTCTCTCTCAAAATAAATAAACTTACAAAAAAACAAAAAAGGATCACACGTTGCAACTGTGGTCATTCTTTGGTAAAGCCAAGAGCTTTTAATCCCAAAGTGATTTGTACGTTTCCAACTGCTTTCTAAACCTTAGAGTACGTTTAATCCTAAAATGCTTTAGAAACCTCTAAAATGTGCTTTCAATCCCAGGGTATTCTATAAATCTCTGTATTTTTAATGCAAAAGCACTTGTAAACCCAATGCTTTTGTAAAGCACAAAATGAGCTTTAAACTCCCAAAGCGGGGGCGTCTGGGTGGCTCAGTCGGTTAAGCGTCCGACTTCGGCTCAGGTCATGATCTCATGGTTCGTGGGTTCGAGCCCTACGTCAGGCTCTGTGCTGACAGCTAGCTCAGAGCCTGGAGCCTGTTTCAGATTCTGTGTCTCCCTCTCTCTCTGTCTTTCTCTCTCAGAAATAAAGAAAACATTAAAAAAAAATTAAAAAAAGCAAACCTCCCAAAGCACCCTGTAAAATTGGTTGAATGTGCCAGTTGGGGACTTAGCATCCTGGGGCTGTCACCCGAGTTTGATAGGTCTCCTTGTTCCTCCTCCCCAGGTGCCCAAGATAGAGGAGAAGGAGGCCCTGGTGCCTGCCCCGAAAGCCATCGACACCTTCCGCCCTGAACCCCATCCCCGAGTCGCCTTCTGGATCATGAAGCTGCCACTGCGGAGGTCCCACCAGGATGTTCAGGAGGGTGGCCGCTGGCTCAGCGAGAAGCGACACCGCCTGCAGGCCATCCGGGATGGGCTCCGCGAGGGGACCCATGAGGACAGCCTTCAAGAGGGGACCCGGGGCTCCTCCCGCTCGAAGCTTCCCATCCGCAGGACCCACTTTCTGTACATCCTCAGGCCCTCCCAGCAGCTATAGGGGTGGGGAGGGGGCTGGAGAACCCCAGCATGTACCCCCACGAGACCCCACCCCAAGCACCATATGGAAATAAAGTTCTTACATCTGGCATCACTTTCTCCTTTCAGGATCTGTCCCCAGGCCTCAGTCGACTGGGTCATGACAAGTCCCCTCTCCCCCAATCCTAGCCTTGAGAGTGACATCTGGCTGTGCCAGGCTTTTGTCAAGGTCTCCGGGCTCACCCAGCAGCTCTATCACCCTCAGCCTCATCCATCATCCCCTCAGTCGCTGGCCTTGTCACCTGTCTGCCCTCCTATTCCCAACAGGGGAGGATTGTTGCACAATCGAGTTCCTTGGGTGGACCCAAGGGCCCTGCTTCCTCACTGGCTGTACCTGGGGCCACCAGTCCTCAGCTCCTAGAAGCCTCTCTCCGGTCCTTGCGTGGGAACCCTACACCTCAGATCCCAGAATCACTCGGACTTTCCCTTCTGCCCCATCTCCCTTCCGCCTTCTTCTCCTCTCCCAGCAGGAGACAATTCTCTCTGCCTTTAGGGGCTCACAGGATTGGACCACGCCCACCAGGACAGCGCACTTCCCAGGATCCTGGAACTGGAGAGAGTGGCCGTCTTGGGGGACTAGTATTCTCCTACCATAGGTCTGGATCCTGTCACCTCCCGGCCGCTCTGATAACATCCACACCCGCCTGTTTTCACGCTCTCATTTTGATCTTTTCATTCCCCGCCTCGTGACTTATGTGCTGACTCCATCTTCAAGTTGCTCCGTCTGTCTCTCCCTTTATCCCTCTGTCTGTCCCTCTGTGCCAACACCTCCGACTCCATCTCTGCCAGCCAGGCCTGATGCCTCAGCCAAACCTGGAGGTTCACAGGCCCTGTTTAGCTGCCCTGGCCATTTTGCCTCAACATCATCTGTTCCCTCCAAGAACCTTTCCTTAAGACCCCTCTCTCATCTAGAAGGCACATCAGGGTCTTCTTGGTGCTGAGTCCGGCAGGGGATGCAGGCACGACGTGAGCTTTCTCCCTTGAAGCCCAGGCTCAAGGTCAGATCACCCCACAGACAGACCCAGTGCATTCAGGAGCCTAGAAATACATGGGCATAAATAAAAGCGAACTTTCTTTTGAAAATTGAGGGGTTTCCTTAAAGATTTTATTTTTTTATGTTTTTTTTTTAATTTATTTTTGAGAGAGAGACAGAGCAAATGGGGTATGGGCAAAGAGAGAGGGGGAGAGAGAAAATCCCAAGCAGGTTCCGCATTGTTAGCATGGAGCCTGATGCGGGGCTCAAAGCCACGAACCATAAGATCATGACCTGAGCTGAAACCAAGAGTCAGATGCTTCACCAACTGAACCACTCAGCCTTCTGCTATGTTTACTTTTGAGAGAGAGAGAGAGAGAGAGAGAGAGAGAACACGTGTGCACATGTGAGGGAAGGCAGAGAGAAGGGGTCACAAGATCCAAGCAGGCTCTGTGCTGATATCATAGAGCCCCACAAGGGGTTTGAACTCACAAACCACGAGATCATGGCCTGAGTTGAAGTCCGATGCTTAACTGACTGAGGCACCCAGGTTCCGTTTATTTATTTTAAATAATCTCTACACCCAGTGTGGGGCTCCAACTCACAACCCTGACGTCAGGAGTTCAATACTCTACTGACTGAGCCAGCCAGGCACACTCCTGACAATTTAGATTTTTGATTATTCAAAAAAATCCCCAAAAACCCATCAATATGGATGGAGTGACTAGTGGTCGACTCTCACCAAAATTCAGCTGTAGAAGCTGAATGCAATGAAATAAAAACAACGGATGGAGGCATCAGAGAGCCATCAATAGAGCCAAAGTTAAAGAATCAAGATCTCAGGGGCACCTGGGTAACTCTGTCGGTCAAGTGGCCTACTCTTGATTTCCCCTCAGGTTATGATCTCACAGTTGGTGAGTTGGAGCCCCCATCAGGTTCTGCTTGGATCCTCTGTCTTCCTTTCTCTGCCCCTCTCACCACTTCACAAAAATAAAGAAATGTAAAAAAAAAAAAAAAAAAAAAAAATCACGATCTCAGAGAGAAGTGTGATGAAATGAACCTGACGAAGTCTGCCCGCAGTTTCCCTTAAGGCATTTGCCAACCCTTAGGTTGTGACCATTCTGGGAAGAGAACACCAGGAAATGAAACAGCAGTTAAGCTGGGGCGCTTGGCTGGCTCAGTCAGAAGAGCGACCGTGTCACTCACGATCTCAGAGTCGTGAGTTCGAGCCCCACATTGGGTGTAGAGATTGCTTATAAATAAATAGATAGATAGATAAATAAATAAATAAATAAATTTGAGGACCTGCCAAAGAGAAGGGACCTAGTAAACACCTCCAGGCTTCATAGGAGAGTCAAGATAGCCACTGTGCCAGCCTGAAGGGCAAACCGAAAACGTCAGCCTCATCTGGGTTGTGGTGATCTATCCACACATACTCTGTCCAGATGACAGAAGAAAATTAAATCCTTTCTAAAGGAAGACAATACATTCCAAAGAGTACAATTTTTATATACAATATTCACATTTTAATTTAAAAATTAGTTTTGGGGCACCTGGGTGGCTCAGTCAGTAAAGCATCTGACTCTTGTTCTCAGCTCAGGTCTTGATCTGAAGGTCGTGAGTTCAAGCCCTGTGTTGCACTCCAGGCTGGGCATTGAGCCTACTTAAAAATAAATAGGGGCACCTGGGTGGCTCAGTCGGTTGGGCACCTGACTTCAGCTCAGGTTATGATCCCACAGTTTCAAGCTCGAGCCCCACATTGGGCTCTGTGCTGACAGCTCAGAGCCTGGAACCTGCTTCAGATTCTGTCTCTCTCTCTCTCTCTCATTGCTCTTCCCCTGCTCATGCACTCACTCTCTCTCTCAAAAATGAATAAAACATTAAAACAAATAATAAATGCACCTGGGTGGCTCAGTTGGTTAAGTGTCGGACTTTGGCTCAGGTCATGATCTCGCGGTTTGTGAGTTGAGCCCCCCGTCAGGCTCTGTGCTGACAGGTCAGAGCCTGAGGCCTGCTTTGGATTCTGTATCTCCCTCTCTGTCTGCCACTTCCCTGCTCGAACTCTGTCTATCTTCTCAAAATTAAGTAAACATTTAAAAAAATCAAAAGCAAATAAAATTACCCTGACTTCAAAAAAGGAAGGAAGGAAGGGAGAAACGTGAAACACTGAAGAAATAAACAAAGAATGAAATTGTACTAATAAAGCTAAGGAGTCCACCATTTGACAGCTTGTGCCAAGGAAACACCTGGCAAACATTCTTATTGAATTCTTAGGACCCCCTGAGGTGGATATTATTTGTTCCCATTTTACAGAAGAAGCTAAGGTTCAGATATGTGAGGTCACTTGCCAAAAAGTCACACAGCAATGGCACTGGGTGTGTCTGATTCCATATCTCACACTTTGAAACATTCATCACATCACACCTCAAACAGGTTCGTTCCCAGGCCTTATGTAATAATAGTTAACACGGATTACCACCTTAAGGCCTCAAGGTAACAAAGTAAGCAATTATTATCTCCATTTCTGGGAGGAAGCCTGAGGCTCAGAGAGAGCAAGCCATTGTGCCAAGATCACAGCTAGGAAGTGATGGAGCCAAAATTCAAACCCAAGAACGTCTGACTCCAGGCCCATAGCCTTGTCATGAAGTCTATGCTGCCGAGGAGTTAAGAGGCAATGGATCCTGTCTGCTCCTTCACGCTTTTATTCAACACTTTTTTTTTTTCTTTTTAGCACTCACACTAGGCCAGGCATGTTCTAGCCCCAAAACCACCTCCTACTGCATGCAGCTCACGTTCCAGTGGGGGTGACACTACACAAATATACACTATGTCAGGTCGTGAGATATGCCATGAGGACCACTAACAGTGGTGGTTAGTGAGATGAGGGGCTAATGGAAGGAGTGTGGCCGGGAAAGATCTCTCCGAGGAAGGAATGATGGTGGGGTGAACCGGTAGATGCAAAAGGATTCCTTCTCTATGTCTCCGCTAGCAGAAAGAAGGTATGGATGGGACATCTTTTGTCCCAAATCCCCATTCTTGGGAGGCAATTTTGGATGTCATTCCCCTCTCTCTGGCAGGAAAAGCTGAGAATGTTTTTTCCCCACTCCTTCCTATAAGCAATGAATGAAACTCTGAGAAACAATCTTTCAGGGACCTGTTAATACATCGTGACTAGAGCCACAAAGGGCGCGGGAGTGGTGAGGCAAGATAGGGTGGGACATCATTGTGACGGTGACAGGCAGCCTTACACGGAAGAGAGGGCAAGAAAGGGCATGACTTAGTAGCTGTAGTAGCTGATAAAAAGTGGAGGATGGACAAAGGGTCCTTCAATCCAACTGGTCCATTGCACCCAGGCTTGAGGCCGGAGAGGAGACCCCAACGTAGGGGACGCAGGCACCCCTCGCTCCCCCTACCGGCCGCACAGCCTCCAGCTTTGACCCTCCCGGCCAATGCGCAAGCACCCGCTGCGCCAGGATGGGTGCGCGCCCGGCCACTCCTGCGCATGCGCGGCGTTCGCGTTGCAGGTAACCGACAAGACTGGAGCGAGCCTCCCCTCGGTGTGCGCCTGCGTCGCGCGGAGGCGCCCAGGTGGGGCGGGGTTTAGACGCCGCGCGCGCGCTCTCGGTCTCGCCCCGACCTTTTCGCTTTTTCTGGCGGGAACGGCGCACGCGCACCTTCTTCCCAAGCAACTGCCTTTGGTAGGTCGTGGGCCCAGCAGTGCCATGGATGTGGCGGGGTTCCCCAGAGAGGCCCTGCCAGAGCCCCCCTAACCCTAACCCCCAGTATCAAGGCCTTCCGAATCTTGTCACAGGTTTTCGCGCAATCCTAATCCAAAACCCCTCAGAAATACTGAAAAGGACTCCTAGGAAATGTGATGACCCCTAAAATCTTGTCAGAATCTTCTAGAAATTCTGTCAGACTTCTGCCTCGGACCCTGCCAGACTACCCCGCAAAAATCCTGTTATATTCCCTTCCCAAATCAGGGACACTCTCACCCAGCCAGCCAGACACCCCCGGAAATCCAGAGACGCCCCAGAAAAATGGTCAGAGACCCGCGTGGAACCCCTTTAATTCCTGCCTGTTCCTCCTCCCGCTCCATCCTCCCTGTGGAATACCCTCCGTGGTTGACGAGAGCCTCCCTCAACCCCTCACCAGGAGTTTATCCCCCAGTCCTAGTGCCAGACCCTTCCCCCCTCAGACCCCACAGCCACCATCCTCGTCTGCATCCCCCTGCGTTGTCCAAGCCCTGGAAGGACAGTCTCTCTTCAAAGGCTGCCTTTTCTAGAACATTCTAAAAGCTACTAAGAAGTGTGCACTCCACAGCAGTGGACCCTGCTGGCGCCAGGGAGAGCAGGGTGTGGGCAGTATTTGGTGAGGAAAGGGATGACAAGCAGGTGGGGTGAGGACAGACAGGCCCCAGAGGGCCCTATGTGGACCATTCCCCTCCAGTGTGCCCAGTTTAGCCCCAGTGGGCACAGTTGTCCAGCGTAATTAGTAGTAGCACCCTTCTCACTCTTTTTTTTTTTTTTTTTAAGTTTTATTTCTTTATTTGAGAGAGACAGAGCGTGAGATGGGGAGGGACAGAGAGAGGCAGAGAGAGAATCCCAAGCAGGCTCCTCATGCTCAGCACAGAGCCTGATGTGGGGCTTGAACTCACGAAACCGTGAGATCATGGCCTGAGCCAAAACCAAGAGTCAGATGCTTAACTGACTGAGCCATGGCGGGGGGGACGGGACACCCTTCTCATTCTTGAGAGTGTCCTGGTATTGGGACAATAAGTATGGTCCGGCTGGTTGTAATGGAGGCAGGGCGGGCACTCTCAGGACACAGAGGAGGGGGTCCCCAGGAAAGGCTCCCCAGGGAGGCTGTGAGCCAGGGCGGGGGCCACACGTGAGGATGGTGCATGTGGCACCACAGGAATTGCAGGGACCCCTTTGTCCCACACCAGCTAGAGGGACTAGGACGTAGCCCTGAGGGCACTAGGGATCCATAGCAGGGGTCGGAGCAGGAGAGAGATGGACTCAAACTCGCATGAGAGGCCCGCCATTCCGCGTACAGGCTGGTATGGCCGAATGTCAGTAGCCCAGGGTGGTGTGGGAACCCAGAAACAGCAGCTCGTTCAGAAACGCTTTCCCAGAGGAGGGGATATGTAAGCCAAGGCAGGAAGGGCTGGAAAGGAGGGTGTCCCAGGCAGATACCCAGAGGTGGGGACAGCCAGCCCTTTTTGGGGGAGAGCATGCAGTTCAGAGTTGCTGGAACAGTGAGTGTGATTTGGGGTGGGGAGGTGGGCAGGGCCTTCAATGCCAGGTCCAGGCTCTGTGCTCTGTCCCTGGGGTACTGGGCAGCCATGGGAGAACCCTGAGCAGGTCAGCTCGGGGCGGCACTGGGGATGGACAGGAAGGGAAAGATGAGACCAGAAGGCCGGGGAGGAGGATGGGACCCAGAGCTGTAGGGAAGGAGAGGAGGGGTCAAGTCAGCAGCATCACAGGGCAGGAGGGACAAGGCTCAGGACTTGACGGGCTGTGGGGAGGAGGTGGGGGATGGAATCAAGGAGGCAGTGACCCCCACCCATCGGCCCCCCTCTTTGATCTCTGCCGCCCACTCCTGGGCCCCGTTTTCCCAGCCCACACCTCCAATTCATAAAACAGGTCCGAGCGGGAGCTGCTCTGGTCCGGGCAGGGGTGGGCAAACAGGTTCTGAGGACTCAGAGCGGCCTGGGGCTCAGGTGGGGCAGGGTGGCTGGTCTGAGGAGGCCATTCCCGCTTGTCCTTCCAGAAGCTCTTGGAGCAGATGACCCTTTGCCAGTCTGTCCCAGTGATGGAGGTGGGCTGTTAGGTTCTCCCGAAGCTGTGGAGCAACCAAGGCGGCCCATGGACGTGCCGGAGGGCCGGGTGGGCGGCCCCACTGCACAAAGTAGGTGGCTGGGCCCCCTGTTCACCCCAAGGGAGGATGAGGAGGGAGCAGTGGGTGAGTGGGTGCCAGCTTGTGGCTTGGGGACTTGGGAGAGGCGGCTTGGGGTGCCTGAGCCTCCACTTTGTCGCAGGGTGGGAGGGAGGGAGCTCTCTTTGATGAAGTGCCCGATGTGCGCCCACCTGTCCAGATACCGTACCTCCTTTGCCCTGGGGGAACCGCAGCAGAAACCTTAGCAAGTTCTGTTCCCGCTTCCCTAACGACCTGCTGGGTCCCCCCTGACTTCATTCAGATCTCTGCTTCCTTGTAAAGTCTTATTTCATAGTCCCTCCCTTCTCCTGCTTCTCTTCCTAGCGCTGTTTAGTCTCTGCCCCTCCCACTGAGACGTGAGTTCGAGTTTATTTTTTTTGTTTTTTAAATGTATGTTTATTTTTGAGAGAGAGAGAGTAGGAGCAGGGAAGGGGCAGAAAGGGAGGGGACAGAGGATCTGAATGCTGTGCGCTGCGTTGATAGCAGTGAGCCGAGCCTGATGTGAGGCTTGAACTCACAAACTGAGTTCATGACCTGAGCAGAAGTCACCCAGGCATCCCAACATGGGGGAATTCACTCTGGCATCCCTGGTCCCTAGAGCAGTGCTGACCAACATGTGAGCTATAACTTTTGTTAGTAGCCACATGTAAAGGTAAAAAGAAACCGACAAAATGGAATGGGAATAATAGATTTTTATTTAACCTAATATGTCCAAAATGGTATCGTTTCAGCATGTAATTAACATAAAAATGTATTAGAGATATTCTTTTTTTTTCACACCCAGACTTCAAGATTGGTGTGTAGTTTACACTAATAGAGCATCTCAATTCACACTCGCCACAGTTCAAGCTGTTCGAATCCACGTGGCAAGTAGCTGTCCCATTGGTTAGCGCTGCCCTTGAACAATGTCTGACACGTAGGAGCTCAGTTATTGTCCTTGATTTGTTGGGATGGATGCAAACCAAAGGGGTGTGAAAGCCGCCTTGGGGAGGAAGACACTGGGTGGCCCTCTCTGAAATTCATCTGCTAAGTAGGAGACCCCAGTGTGATGGGGGAGAAGGTTCTCACCCTGGGGGAGAGGCAGGGCCGCTTTCTTAGAGGCTCCCAGAATCCAGCAGCTGAGCCCACGTCTTTTCTCAAGGCCACAGGCCTGGACTCTGGCCTCCGGAGTCCTTCCAGAGGGGAAGGTAGGAGGCAGGCACCTGGGCGCCCGAATGCAGGGCAGGCGGACCAAGTGACGGACATGGAACCTTCTCCGACACCAGCAGAGGGCGTGCGGCCCCCGAGGATCCCGTGGGCCAGAGCTGAGCCGGCTTTGGGAGGCTCCTGAAGGAAAGGGAAGGCCACACCCAGGAGAGATGGAGACAGAGGAAGGCTGGGGGAAAGAGCCAGAGAGACAGCAGGGCAAGGAGAGACACGGCTTGGGGAACGGAGAAGCACTGGAATATGGGAAAAGAAGCCCAGAGCTGGAGAAACCGTGAAGAAAATGGGGGCAAGGAGCACAGAGTCAGAGAGGCAGGGCTCTGGGAAGAGAAGGGGGCGGGGGGGGGGGGAATGGAGAGTAGGAGCCAGAGAGAAAACTAGAGGAGGGCAGAGACAGAGACACAGAGAAAGGTAGAGACACGGAGGATGGAAAAGCAGAGTGACATCTTCCTGAGGGACCCCAGATAGACACATGGGGGTCTTCTGAGCCAGATGTCCTGGGTTGACTCTGGCTGAGCAGCCCTGGGGGGTGACCTCACTGGGCCTCAGTGTCCTCCTCCTCTGTAACCTGGGGAGCACAGCGAGGGGAGAACACTGCAAATTCAGGTAAAGCCCCAGCATGGGCCCTGCTGTCTCCTCTCATTGTGGATTCCCTGTCCCCTTCCTTAGGAGCATGGGTTCTGGGGCGCCTGGGTGGCTCAGTTGGTTGAGTGTCTGACTTTGGCTCAGGTCATGATCTCGTAGTTCGTGGGTTCAAGCCCCGTGTCGGGCTCTGTGCTGAGAGCTGGCTCAGAGCCTGAAGCCTGTTTCAGATTCTGTGTCTCCCTCTCTCTCTGACCCTCCCCTGTTCATGCTGTCTCTCCCTCTCAGAAATAAATAAAAAACATTAAAAATTAAAAAAAAAAAAAGGAGCATGGGTTCAAACCCATGGGGGCTGAATGTTAGCTCCCTACAAAGAACCCTGGAAAGTAAAAGGCGTTAGAGCATCCACGGGCTCCTGGCAGGCTCAGTCAGAAGAGCATGTGACTCTTGATCTCAGGGTCATGAGTTCAAGGCCTACATTGGGCGTGGAGCCTACTTGAAAGAAAAAAAAAAGAGCACTCATGGGGTGACTTGGGGGCAAGTTCCTAACTTCTCTGTGCCTCACTCTCCTCATCTGTAAAGTGGGACTAAAAATAGCAGCCACCGTGGTCCATACAAAACCCTCAGAAGAGGAAGGCATCTACTCACTGCTAAGTGAAACTTCAGTCCTATAATTGAGCCTCGACCACGTGGCAAGCCTGCTGCCCAGAGCCTTTCCAAATTTTATCTCAGTTTTTCTCTAGGAGGGAAGGAACACCACACCCATTTTCCAGAGGAAGAAACTGAGGCTCAGGGAGTCTATGTTCCTTGTTCGTGTTGCCCTTGAGTCAGCCAGACCTGGCAGCCTGTGCTGGGCCTGATACCCAGTTGTTCAAGGGCAGGGAGACTTGGCAGGTCATTTTCAGTCCAGGAAGTGAAGTCCAGTAACCCCTGAAGTAGAGGATCTTCCCCTGTATCTTGGAGCATTTATTGAGTGCCTGTTATATGCAGGCACTGTGGATATAGCTGTGGACAAACAGACCTGGGGACGTTTACATTGTGTGTCTGTGTTGGGAGGTCTTTTCCCACACACAAACCTAAGCCTTCCAGCCTTGGTAAGGGGGAATCACTACCCACCCATTTTACTGGTGGGGAAACTGAGGCTTCAAAAGGAGCATGGACTTGCCCTCAGTCACGTAGCTGGGCTCTGAGCTAACCGCTCCCCCACCACCCACCCTACCTAGATCACCCATCCTCTCTCATCTGGCGCCCCTGGCTGTGGGCTGCAATGACACAGCCCCGCCTGGGGATTTAGGTAGGAGAGAGACCTGGCCCCCAGGCAGGCTGGGAGACCGGAGATGCGGCCGACAGAATCGATCCACGCTGCCCGCGCCTTATTGGATTGTTCCTGGCTCCTGAGCCCCCTTCACCCTCAGCTCCTCCCAGAATCCTCTCTTCTTTGCCCTCCTCCGCCCCTAGCCCCCTCTGAGCAGAGCCTGGGAGGTCCTGGAAGAGAGGAGGAAAGGGTGATCTCAGAGCCTTGTTTGTTATCTGGGCTCCTGAGCTGCTCAGACACAAAGGATTAGACAGCAGGGGGAACTTCTTGGCCTGAAAGATAGGGCCCATGTCCTCAGGACGGGGAGCAGGGGGGCCACTCAGTGACCCTTCCTGTTGCTGTCCCCACCCGGAGCTTCCTGCTGTTCTCTACCAGTCCTAACGCCAAGTGGCTCAGAGTGAATGTGCTCCCGTTTGCAGGAGCACGGGACCTGGGGTCACTCCCTCTCTTCTGGTCCCCCTTCTCACCGGCTGGCGGGCTGGCCGCCCCTCTTGTCTCCTCAGTGTGCCTCTGGGACCAGCTGGAGGAGGGGAGCCTGGGGACCCTGCCGAGCTTAGAGGAGCAAGTACTCAACTCGACGTTTGAAGCTTGTGACCCCCAGAGGACAGGTGGGGGGCCGGATGGGGGCCAGGCGGCCCTTGGGCCTGGGAGACACAAGGAGTAATGAGAGACAGAGATTGGGGGGACCGGAAACTGGGGAGCCGTGGAGAGAGGGATGGGCCAGAGCCCCTTCCTGGGAGTCCTGCAGGATGAAGTGGGTGATTGTGGGAAGCTTCTGGAAGGAAGCAGATAAAGGGACGGAACCCTTTCAGGGTAAGGACCTTAATGGAGGAGGGTCGGGCCTGGGGAGAGGGAGGGAAGGCAGCCCCTGGGCACAGCAGGTCCTCTGGGGTCTACCCTGTGAGTGGAGAAGATTGGGCTCCATTTCCAGGTGACAAGTTCAGCTCAGAGGAGGGGAAAGGACTTGCCCAAAGTGTGTCAATTAACCATGGTGCAAGGATGCTACCAGCCCATCCCTTGGTGTCCTGCTGTCAAGCTATTGCCTGTCCCTGCCCCCCCCCCCACCTGCCCCACACTCCCTCACGGCACGCTCTGTCCCCAGGTGTTGTGGCTGTGACTGACGTATTAGCCTACTTGGAGGCCGTGACCGGACAGGGCCCCCAGGACGCACGCCTCCAGACACTGGCCTGCAGCCTGGACCCCAGTGGGGAGGGCCGTCAGGCCACTGTGGACTTGGACACCTTCCTGGTTGTCATGCGGGACTGGATCGCCGCCTGTCAGTTGGATCGGTGGGTCTCTGCACCTCTCCCCTCCCCCCGGAAGTCCTTCCTAAGATCTAACCTTGTACCTGCTTCCTGCAGCCCTTTGGGCACAGGGACCTACTGTGGTGTGAAGGAGGCTAGGGGGAGTGAAAAGTAAAGAGGTGGGACTGGGGGGAATGGGATGGAAAGTCTGAAGCCAAAGTTCCTGGGAAGGGGAAGCAGAAACAAAAGGGGCTGGAAGGAAAAGTTGGGGTTTTCGGGGCTGACCGAGGCCCCTCCCCATCCCTTTTCCAAACCCAGCCCTTGCCCCTCCTGCTTTGCCATCTGGCCCAGGGCTCTTGCCATCTGGCCTTACCTTCCTCCCCACGGTGGTGTTGCGGTCCCTTCTCTCTCCCTCTCACCTGACCCAGCCCCTCCCCCTGCCACCAGCAATCCCCGCGCTGGCTGGTCAGGATTGGGGGTGGCTGCAGGGGGCTCTAAGCCTCATCCCTTTGATACAGGGGATTAGAGCTGGAAGAGGAGACAGCCTTCGAGGGGGCCCTGACCTCCCAGCAACCGCCATCTGGTGAGACTACTATATATAGAATGAAGCAGGCAGGCCCGGGTCAGACAGTAGGAGGACTTCCCACCTGGGGACAAAGCCAGGGGCAGAGGGTAGGACCCCTGGAACCTTAGCTCCAGCCTGGAGCTATGAGTTTGGCTTTCTAGGCACCTCCATGACTGCCTCCCCACCTTCCTTGAGCTTTGGGGGGTTTTTTCTTCAGGGGTTGGTTGCGAGTCCTCCTGACCCCAGCCCTTCACAGAGGCCCGCAGGCCCTGCCCACCTCTCCCTGGCGGCGGCCGGAGGCGGCCAGCTCCCGCCTACTGTCTAGTCCCTGCTCCCTTGGGCCTCCTGGCTCAGCCTCCAGTGCACTTGGTGCCTGCCCACCAGTCATCCCCTCGGGTTGTTCCCCCTAAACTTCCCACGCCTGGGGACCCCTGTGTGGGGAAGCCTGGGAGGCCCCAGGCTGAGGTCCCTGGCGGTCCAGGCTCACTCACAGCCTTTCCTATAAAAACCCAACTATCTGATTAAGTTACTTACCCTGCTATTTGGTTAGTTGTGTCACTCACCATTTTATCCCTAGGACCTCACACACAGGAGGTGCTCCATTTAAAAAAAAAAAAAAGTGTTCCCCTTATGCCTTACAAAGCCAAAACCAAAGCAAAAAAAAAAAAAAAAAAAAACCGCACACACACAAGAAAACCTCTTTCTGGACATTCCTTTCCCTTAAACCTCCTCCAGGGGCCACGGGAGGGGCAGGTCAGCTCCTGGTGAGGAAACACCCCTCTGGGTGGGAGAAGGCTGGAGGCCAGGAGGCTGGGGACCAGGTTGTGGTGAGGGTCCAGGAGGAAGCGTGAAGCCTGAGCCAGGAGAGGAGGGCAGAGAGCTGGGGAGGAGCAGGACGGCCCGGGCTGGGTGGGCGGGTGGGAAGGAGACTGGGAAGAGGAACAGGTTTGGGGGCAGCTGAGGTGCTGCCTTGTCTTGGACTGATGAACTTGGGGCTCTGAGCGAGGTCCAGCCTGCGCTCAAGGTACCAGTGAGCAAGAGGCCTTTCACGTGTGGATATAAATGTAGCCCCAGGAGCAGATGATGTGACCCACAGCAAACGTGAGGGCCAGGCTAGCGGAGGCCAAGCCCAGGTCCTGGGGCGCCCCAACACCTAAGGTCACCGGGGAGCCCACCACCCTCCATCTGTGTCCCCCCAGGATGCCCAGAAGCCGGGGAGCCAGCCAACCTGGAGAGCTTCGGAGGCGAAGACCCCAGACCTGAGCTGTACCTATCCTCTCCCCTCCCCCCCGCCCCCCCTACTGCCCATGCCCTCCAGCCTCCATGCTGTAGGGCTTGGGGTCCTTCAGGAGTGGGTGAGGGACTGGAAGGGGGCTGGGCTGCTAGCTCTAGGAGAACGGGGCAGTCCCTCTCCTATTTCTCTCTCCAGAAGCACCTCATGTCCCCACCACCCCCACCCCAACCCGGGAAAGGAGGTGGGGGCTGTGGCCGGTGACCAGCCCCTCCCTGACCCCAGGCCCGCCACAGCTGAGCTGCTGAGCAGCCTGGAGGACCTGGAGCTCAGCAACCGCAGGCTGGCGGGGGAGAACGCCAAGCTCCAGCGCAGCGTGGAGACAGCGGAGGAGGGCTCCGCGCGCCTTGGGGAGGAGATCGTGGCCCTGCGCAAGCAGCTGCGCAGGTGGGCCTGCACCCCGTCCTGACCGAAGACTCCTCGCCCCCCCCCCTACCCCGCACTCTCCTCTCTGCATGCTCTCTCTGCACCTCCTGCCCTGTCTTCAACCCTGCACTGTCCCTTTCTGCTTTTGCTCTTTTTCTTTTGTCTCCTCGTTCTTGTCTCTCGGCCTCTTGGGTTCAGACTTCCCTTCTTACTCTTCTCTGAGGCTCCATATCAGCGGCCTGTTCCTTTCTCTGCACTCATTCTCCATCATGATTCCTCTATTTTAGTCTTTTGCTCTCTCTAGGTCTCTATCCCCCCCTCCCCCCCCCCCCCCCCCCCCCTTTTAGGTAGAAATTGGGTCTCTGTCCCCCTCCCNCCCCCCCCCCCCCCCCCCACACCTTAGTCTTTTAGGTAGAAATTGGGTCTCTGTCCCCCTCCCTCTGGGTCTCTGTGCCCCACCCCCAGGTCTCTGTTGCTTCCAACTCCCTGAGTGGATCTGTCTCTATGGGCTCTGTTTACCTCCCGTGTGGCCCACCTGCCCCGCCCCCACTCAGTACCCAGCAGGCTCTGCAGTGTGCCAAGGCTATGGATGAGGAGCTGGAGGATCTGAAGACTCTGGCCAAGAGCCTGGAGGAGCAGAATCGCAGCCTCCTGGCCCAGGCCCGGCAGACGGTGGGTTCTGGGCAAGGGACACAAAGGTGCCTTCCCCCTTTCTTGGGAGTCTGAGCAACCTTGTCCGACTGTGGCTGGGAAGGCAGAGGTTACCCTGACTCCTCCCTTACTCCAGGTCCTGCTCACCCCCCAACTTAGGGCTCAGCTCGATTTGCCATCCCTCTTATGACAAAGGGGACAGCAGGAGCTATCAGGGCTCCCAGACCCATTCTCCCAGCCTTGCTCACTAATGACCCAGACCCGAGATGTGTCCCCAGGCTAGGGACAAGGGCAATATGGGGGCAAGGAGGCCCTAAGACAGCCTTTGTCCTCTCTCCGGGGTTGCTCAGGAAAAGGAACAGCAGCATCTGGTGGCCGAGATGGAGACTCTGCAGGAGGAGGTGAGCTGCGGCCCGGTGCCCGCCCACCCCTTCCCCAGTCCTCAGGATCTTCCCGCCCCACCTCGGCCGCCCCAAACCATCCTCAGCAGCCTGCACCCACTTAACCCTGGCAGTCTGTAGAGGGAGACCCCAGAATCCCAATAATGTATGAATTTCTCTGAAGGTCACCTCACTGTGTGTGAGGACTGCCATGGTTGGCAAGAGTGGGGGGTAGGGGGCGGACTACCTGGTCATGCTGGGGCTTCCTGCATAAGCATGGGCCAGTCTATCCCCTCTCTGTACCTCAGTGTCCTCCCCTGTAACAATGGGCAAAATAACAGAATCTCCCCCACTGGGTTGTGTGAGATTTGAACAAAAGGATGTGTATAGTCTTAGGTATGAGGCAGGAAGTGTTCTCTGAAAGTTAGCCAGTATTGTTCATATATTAGCATTTTTTATGGTTGAAAAAATACAGGCCTTGAAATCAGCCCGAGTTCAAATCCCATTTCTGCCACTTAAAAAATGGGCCACCTTTAGGCATGTAACTTCTTCCCGAGCCTCTGTTAAATCTGGATACGCCTAGTCATCTTCGATGGAAATGAAACTCACCAATTGATGATGAAAATCGTCACTGCCCCCCACAAGGTGGCATCTAAGTTGCTGGAGACCCACACGGCATCTCAGTGCCCCAGGAGGTGGCGGTCCTCGCTCAACATCTGCTCTCTCTGCTGGTCACAAGATTGATGTTCATCGTCCCATCTGGTCGTGGGCCTTAGTCACCACCACACGCTGGCATCCGCTGGGAGGCGGGCATCGCCTCTAGTGTCTGGACATACAGTCCTCACTGCTCCTGCTGGTGGTGGCCCTCTGGACCCCGCAGCACACAGGGGCCTTGGGAGCTCCCCCTCAGGGGTATGGGGGCTCCTTCATACCTGGGGCCAAAGAGGAGGCTTGGCTTCTTTCCTAAGACTCTTTGTGGCCACAGGGAGCCCCGTGGGGCTCTCTGCCTCTGCTTCTCACACAGCCATCTCTATTCTGTTATTCACAGGCCTTGCTGGGGCTGAGACTGAGCTGAGAAATGGCCTCTCAGATTCCCAGACACCCCAGGGGTTGTGTGGTTCAATAGCATCCTTCCTCTCCACCACCCTTTGCCCCCCGCAGCTAACCCAGGGCTTGAGGCTGGCTCAAGGCCTGTGTCCCCTCTGCTGCTCTCTTCTTTGACCCTCCTACACCCCTCCCCTGGCCAAAGGATCTTTGCCCAGTCCAGGCAATGATACAGATTCTGCCTGATGCCCCCAAATCTCTTTGTCCTACATCTGTATCGTAGTTTTTGTATTTAAATCCAAAATTTTTCCACTGTTGTTCTCTGGCTCTTCCATGAAAATTCCGTCACTTGGGACAATGAAAATCTCACCACAGGATGGCTGCCACAATATGAGGCATGGGGTGCAGACGGGACGGGAGTGTTTCTTCCAGAACATCACTTTTTTAAGAACACGGAGAAATTTTCCCTAAAGCCCCATGGCAGAACCTCCCTCTTCTATGGTATTCACCAAAGTGACATCATACGATTATAGCCAAACCACCCCCTGGCATGGGTAATCCAACCACTGATGGGCCAGAATACTTTCAGCTCCAAGGACGAGAACACAGAAGAAATGGCTTCAGTCCAAAGGGCACTCATTTCTGTAGCAAGAGGCTTTGAAGGTCTCTGGATTGGTTTGGTGATTCAGGCTGGGTCATCTGCCTATGGCCTCATGATCACAGATGGCTGCATCAGCTCCACCCTCAAGATCTCATCCAAAACAGGACAGAGGGACAGGGGGCCAGCTCATGTTTCTCCCATGGCTCTCTTTTCATCAGAAGGAAAAGCTCTCCCAGGAGCACCCCCCACTATACCCACCACCCCAGCATACCCCTCTCCATCTCGCCAGCAGGAACTGTATCATATGAAACCCCCAGCTGCGAGGGAGCCTAAGAGAACATCTGCCTTTTTTCAGCCTCTGGAGTGAGAGATGAACAAGTCAGAGAGGGTGAGAATGGCTGCTGGATTAGCTAACCAGCCACTTCTCCTGAGTCTGCTGAGATTTCCATCTCCTTCACCCCAGGCCAGGACTCACCTGCCCACGTGGAGAGCAGACCCCCAACGAAAGCAGAAGAAGGGATAAGCAGAGTGAATCGCAGCCAGCGGTCTCTGCCTCCTCCCAGCCCAGAAGGCCCGGTGCCAGGTCAAGTGCCTTGAGCTGTGCCTGGGACATCCTAGGCGCTCGATAAACCAGAGCTATTCTTGGTTGCCTCCCCACCACCTCTCCCCTCCCCACAGCAGCCTACATAGCATCTATAGATTGAGTTCTCAAGTTACAGTAGGATAATGCTGGAGTAAGGGACACTCAGACACTCAGTTTTCCTACAGAGAATCTACAGAGCAGGGCTCAGGTTACTGCAGAAGAAGACGGGAGAGGCTGAGGCTGAGTAACCAGGTTCCCTGCTGAGCGGCCCAGGATCCAGCCTGCAAAGCCCCTACCAGGTGGACAGATGTTGACACAGCATTCCCGGGTCGTCCTTCCTCTGCCCTTCACCTGGCAGCCCGGGCCCGCTGAGACTGAGCGGGAGGGACCGCTGATGGAGGACTTGGAGCCGAGCCAGCTGGAGAGGCGGAGGAGCTGGCCTGGGTGTCCCCAGGGGCACCGAGAGGAGGGGTGTGGCGAGGGAAGTCCACCTGCCCCTTTGCCCTGAAATGCCTCTGCCCGTGGCTGCTTCACATCGAAGCCAGTGCAAGTTGCTGTAGTGCTTCTGCCTGGAAACTCTACGCTGGGTTTGGGGCCGTTTTATTCTCAGGTCCCATAGCATGGCTGGCATGCGTGCCCTCTCCTGGCCCCTTGTCTTCTCGGATAATTCTCCTCACCCTGGAGGACTCAGGATGCTCCAGCACTGCTGCTTCCGGACTCCCCTCATCTGGGCTCCCACAGGACCCGGGCCCTAGGCCTCATCAGAGTCTGCCTCCCACGTTGTCATCGTTGTCATCGTCTGCTCCTGCACTGGTCTCCCCCTCTAGTGACGAGCTCCCCCGAGGGGAGAGACAAAGCTGGTTCTTCATTCTCACCCTGGGCTACATCTGGCTCAGAGAATCTGCTGGTTATAATGGCAGCATCTGGACTCAGATGTGGGTTTGAATCCACTTGCTCACCATGTAAAGTTTCTTAGTCCCTCCACTCCTGAATTTTTTCTGCAAAACTGGGAGGGGGGATGGGGTGATAACCAATAAAAACAACACTTGGGACAACCAGACATTACATTCTTCCTGAATGGCGCAAAGAGGACATGTCTAACAGCACCCGTGAAATCTTCCTGCCAAAAAATTGAACAGGAGCCTGATTAGGGCCCTGGATCTACCCACCAGTTTAGAGGAAATGAAGAGGTGGGAGGAATGGGGTGAACGTGCCACACAGGAACGAGAACTCAGTAAGCCAAATCCAAATGCCCCAGTTCTACAGGACAAATAATCTGATTTCTTGCACTAAAGAAGGGCCCATAAAAGTGCCAGGGTTGGGGAGGTGGGTGCTACTGTCAGATGAAAAGCAAGGAGACATTTCAACTAAAAGCCACAGCGGACTTTGTTTAGATTTTCATGCAAACAAACTAAATGTGAAAAGACATTTGTGAGATAACTAAAATGAAAACAAACAGGGAGCACCTGGCTGGCTCACTCAGAGGAGCATGTGACTCTTGGGGTTGAGGTCGAGCCCCATGTTGGGTAGAGAGATTACTTAAAAATAAATAAACTTTGGGGCGCCTGAGTGGCTTAGTCGGTTAAGCGTCCGACTTTCGCTTAGGTCATGATCTCGCGGTTCGTGGGTTCGGGCCCCACGTCGGGCTCTGTGCTGACTGCCAGCTCAGAGCCTGGAGCCTGTTTCAGTCTGTGACTCCCTCTCTCTCTGACCCTCCCCTGCTCACGCTGTCTCTCTCTCTCTCTCTCTCCTAGAAATAAATAAAAACATTAAAAATAAATAAATAAACTTTTTTTTAAGCACCAATTCAGGGGCACCTGGGTGGCTCAGTTGGTTGAGCATCTGACTTCAGCCCATGATCTCACGGTCCATGGATTGAAGCCCCACGTCAGGCTCTGTGCTGAACACTTGCTCAGAGCCTGGAGCCTGCTTTGAATTCTATCTCCTCTCTCTGCCCCTCCCCCACTTATGCTCTACCTCACTCTGTCTCTCAAAAATAAATAAATGTAAAAAATTTTAAATAAACCACCAGTTCAGTATGGGACAATAGTAAGGAATGATCTATTTTGTTAAGAGTGATAGTGGTATCGTGAGTTTGCTAAAGTAAAAATTCCTCAAGTAGGAAATAAAAATGCCAGAGCAGTCATAGGTAAAATAATGTAATACCTGGTGTTTGCTCTCGAATCATCTGTTAAACAAAACAAAACAAAAAACTCGGAGGATAGGGGAGAAAGTGGGGAAATGTATATAATTGTCGAAGTTGGGTGATGGGCCATGTACATCCATTGTACTGTTATTTTCACTTATGTGTGTGTAAAAAGCACACAGTTTTGAAGATATCTTTAAAGTTATACATTTTACATTTCCTGAACATGTTGGTGTATGCCTGTGTTGGTATATTCCAGGCATATACCATATGCCATATAGGTTTTATGCTTATTAACCTATAGTAACATATGCTTACATGAGTTATCACCTGTATAACCCAGGGTAAGTTGCACAACTTTTCTGTGCTAGACTTGCCTCTGTCTTTACAATGGGGGAGAAGAGAGGCGCCTGGATGGTTCAATTGGTTAAACACGTGACTCTTGACTTTGGCTCAGGTCATGATCTCACAGTTCATGAATTCGAGCCCCGTGCCAGGCTCCATGTTAACAGTGTGGAGCCTGGTTAGGATTCTCTCTCTCCCTCTGTCTGCCCCTCTCCCACTTTTTCTCTCTCTCTCAAAATAAACTTAAAAAGAAAAACCAATGGGGGATAAGAAATGAGTTAACACTTCCAAGGTGCTCAGTAGAAGTTAGCAGTTACCATTAGCTCATTTAATCTACACAGCAGCCCTGTGAAGTAGGTCCTATCTTATCTCCATTTTTTTAATGAAATGTTTATTTTTGAGAGCGAGAGAGAGTGCGAGTGAGGGAGGGGCAGAGAGAGAAGGAGACCCAGAATCTGAGGCAGGCTCCAGGCTCTGAGCTGTCAGCACGGAGCCCAGCGCGGGGCTCGAACTCACAAACTGTGGGATCATGACCTGAGCTGAAGTGGGACACTTAACCGGCTGAGCCACCCAGGTGCCCCTCATGTCCGTTTTTACAGACGAACACCCAACGAAGCACAGAGAAATCAAAGCTGAGATCTTACAGGATGGTTGGAGGGATTAAATGGGACAAAACCTAGAAAGTGTTTAGCATGAGGCCGGTTGCACATCAGGTGTTCAGGAAATGTCAGCTGTGGCCACTAACCTGTGCTGGAGGGGCCTGACCGCTTGTTCCTTCTTCCAGAACGGGAAACTACTGGCTGAGCGGGATGGAGTGAAGAAGAGGAGTGAGGAGCTGGCCACGGAAAAGGACACTTTGAAGGTGGAAGCTCTCCCTCCTGCCATCTTGACCAGTTTCAGCCACTCTGGCCTCGTGAGATCCCCGGACTCCCATGAAGCCATTAGGCTCCCCGAGCTCTGGGCGGCTTGGCTGAAATCCCTCTCAGGGAGCTGATGTCCAGAGACATCGTGGGAGGTTGAGGAGAGGGGCTCGGGAGAGCTGGGTGGTCCTGGGAGGGGAGGGCAGCGCCGGCTGAGACAAGTCCTGGAAGGCCGGACAGATGGACGGGCTCCTTCCTTGGCAGCGGCAGCTCTGTGAGTGTGAACACCTCATTTGCCAACGAGATGCTGTCCTCTCCGAGGTGAGGGACCCTGGGCTGGCAAGGGGACATTTGCCTTCCGTATGCACCTGGCCGGCTCCCGCCCCTAGTCTGGAAAGGGAGGTCCTTCCGGGGTCGCATCCCTGGATAAGCAACCTGGAGAGGCCAGAGGGATCCCCCACCTCCACCCTGGGGTCACAAGCATGACCTGGCGCTTTCCATCAGCCCCTAGCTCTTCCCCCAAAGCTCACACTGCCAGTCTCCCCTATCCCTGCCTCAGTGTCTCTGTGGGGCTGGGCCCAGTCTCAGTCGCCTTTGGGCCTTTCCAGCGTACTCGCCACGCAGAGAGTCTGGCCAAGACCTTGGAGGAGTACAGAACGACGACCCAGGTAGGCGGCTGCCCTCCCACCCTCAGCCCCCTGCCCAGCCCCACTCTTTTGCCATCTCTGCGATCTGCTGCCTCTCTGTGTCCCTGCCCATCTCTTGTGGAGTCTCTACACCTTGTTTCTTCCATCTCTACTGTACGACGGTCTCTCCCTCTCTGTTTCCATCTCTCTCTCTGCCTTTTCTCTTGTTCTCTGCTTCTTTTTTCTCTCTCACCCTGTGTATCTCCATCTTGGGTCTACTTTCATTCTCTGTGGGGGTCTTGTCACCACATCGCCCCTGCTCATCTTGCTGTGTGTCTGCCTTTCTTCGATCTAGTCTTTCTGGTCCCAGGGGACACTCTACTCTCTTTTGGTCCCTGGTCATTATGAGTCTCTCACACCCCGCGTGTCTTTTGCCTCCCTGTGAATCTGTATCCGTCATGTCTTTTGCTCTGTGTGTCTCCATCTTTACCTTTCTTTTCTGAATTTTCCTGGCCAGTTGGTTACCTTCTGGGCTCCTGCTGCTCACCATCTCTCTTTGGCTCTCTAAGTTTCTTCCCCTTGTCCCTTGGGAATATGTGTCCAGAGGAGCCCACAGAAGTTGGGGGGAAGGGGAAGGGAGGGTGGAATTGACTGTAAGGGGCGCCCAAGGCTGGGAGGTGGAGAAGAACAGAGAGGCCAGGGACCCCACTCCCTGCTTTGCAGGAACTGAGGCTGGAAATCTCACACCTGGAGGAGCAGCTGAGTCAGACCCATGAGGGGCAAGATGAGTAAGTGGAATGTCAGGGGTGGGGGGGGAGGAGGGGAGCCCAAAGGCAAGGACCCCCACCCTCCAGCGGGGGTGGAGGCAGACAGGGCAGAGACCCCAGAGTGGGCAGACCAACAGGTAATGGGCAGTCACAGAGAGAGCCTTCCCCGTCTTGACGGTATATCCAGGCTACCGGAAGGGGCCCAGGCGAGAAGAGCAGGCTGGACCCAGCTGCTGCCCCCGTCGCTGGGCGTGGAGATCCAGGCCATTCGGCAGGTGCGCCTGGCTCCTTTGAAGCACCCCAGCCCCCTTCCAGCCACAGCTCCAACCCAGCCCTGATTCTCACTCTACCCCACCTGTCCCCCAGGACCATCTCCATCCTCATCCTCATCCCTACCCCTGCCCTGCCTTCCCCCCCCCCACCCCGCCCCGTGCCTCAGCCCCTCCACATCTTCTGCCTTCACCCCGGCCTCCCTGACCTCAGAAATGCCTTCCCTCCCAGAAGCAAGAAGTGGCAGCATCCGCTCTCTCCAGCCCCCTCTGTGGAGTGTGGCAGTGGGAGGAGGTCGTCATCGAAACCGACGAGGAAGCTGAGTTTCCATCTGAAGCCACCGCTGGGGCCAGGGTGAGCATGGGCGGGGCTCGGAGACACCGGAGTCCAGGAGCTGGGAATGGGGCCTGGGGCTCCGCGTGCCTCGAGCTTGCTGCCCGTCCCACAGGCAAATGTTGACTGAAGGCCTGCTGGACACAGAGCCCAAGCCAGACAGGACCCCAGCCCTGCCCTCTAGGGACCACCCCGAGGGTGCAATAGACAGATTGTCACTCGTAGTTCTTGTCGTTAGAAAGCAGGGGCAGGAGTCGCCATTTACAGGGGCCTGGCGGGGGAAGGTAAGAAGTAAGGCGTTCTTCCAGACCCCGTAAAGATACATTAAGCTTTTACTTTTGGGGTGTTTGGGGTTTTGTTTTGTTTTGTTTTCGCGTGGTTTTTGTTTGTTTATTCTGTTTTTCTGAAACTTTTACTTTTTGGATACGAGCACCTTTAGGAAAAGCTTAGCAAGGCCACTATGATGTCTTAACTCAACCAATAGCTGTTGTTTTAGGGCTTCTATAATTACCTGACAGGATTTCAACACCCTTTGAAACAACTGGCATAGGGGCGCCTGGGTGGCTTAGTCGGTTGAGCATCTGACTTTCGCTTAGGTCATGATCTCGCAGTTCATGGGTTCGAGCCCCGTGTCGGGCTCTGTGCTGACTGCCAGCTCAGAGCCTGGAAGCTGTTTCAGTCTGTGACTCCCTCTCTCTTGACCCTCCCTGCTCACGCTGTCTCTCTCTCTCTCCTAGAAATAAATAAAAAACATTAAAAAAAAAAAAAAAAAAGAAACAACTGGCATAGCTCATCTTCAGTGTCCACGAGGGAAAAGTGAGATTTTAATTCATTTGTGCCAAAGTCTTTTTTTTTTTCAAAGAAAATATTGCCCACAGCTCTGTAATTGCATCATCTGGGAAATTATACTGCTTCAGAATTACACTCTTTACCATTGGGTTTTTTAATGTTTATTTTTATTTATTTTTGAGAGAGAGAGAGAGAGAGAACAGCAGGGGAGGGGCAGAGAGAGAGGGAGACAGAATCTGAAGCAGGCTCCAAGTCACCACAGAGCCCAGCGTGGGCCTCCATCTCACAAACTGTGAGATCATGACCTGAGCTGAAGTTGGATGCTTAACCAACTGAGCCACCCAGGTGTGCCTACCATTTTTTAAAAATTTTTTTTAATTTTTAGGTTTATTTATATTTATTTTTGAGGGAGATATAGAGAACAAGTGGGGAAGGGCAGATAACGAGGGAGAGAGAGAATCCCAAGCAGGCTCCACACTGGCAACACAAAGCCCAATGCAGGGCTGAAACTTACGAACCAAACCGTGAGATCATGATCTGAGCCGAAATCGAGTCAAGAGGGGCACTTACCCGACTGACCCACCCAGGCTTCCCTGTTTACCATTCTTAAAGGAGAAACTTGTCTCTTTGCTCATGTTTTCCCTGGGTTGAGAGAAGCTTCTAGGTTTCCCTTCAACACCGGTGCTGTTTGATTTTTCATTTACCTCCCCCAGTATCTCTGCGAGGTGGGCATCCTCATTCCTCATCCTGTCACGCATGGGCAACTGGGGCTAGAGGTCACACGTCCCCAGTCACACAGCCTATGGAGAGCAGAGTCCCATCCCTCAGAGGAGGTGTAAGGGTGGATTCTTCTGTGAGCTCTCAGATGCCCCTTCTGGGGGGACACTGACCCAGGCCTCAGGGTGCTGCCTGCTCTGGGTCCTGGAGCTGCCACATGGAGCCGCTCAGGGCCAGGGGGAGATCACGCAGAATGGCCATCCCAGTGCAGGGAGATGGGTGTGTGGAGATGGGGGCCAGGCTCTGAGGGAGCCCAGCAAAGGGGGGACCTGTATCAGGTGGGAGACGGGAGCGGTGTCACAGAGAAACTGACACTTGAGCTTATTTTGGCAAAAAAAAAAAAAAAAAAAAGGCAGAAGTAGCATGAGGGAAAGGGATGCCTTCCTGGCAGCGGAACCGCACGTGTGAGCACAAGAGCACATAACATGGTCAGGAAGCAGAGGGAGTTGGGGCGGCTAGTGAGCCAGGAGGCTGGATCACCACAGGAATTCTCTGGAAATCAGGCTGGGAGACTGTACTTTTCTCCATTGAGCCACAGAAGGCTGAAAGCGGGGAGGGAGGAGGTTAGCTCTGAATGTAGAGAGACCCCTTAAGGGCCACATGGGTTCTGATTAGAGGCCGGGAGCCAGTCAGGAGGCTGGGACGAGAGTCCAGAGGATGAAGCCTGAGCCAGGCCAGGGCCCTGGGATGGAGAGAGGGGTGGGCAGAGAGAAGGGGGGCAGGGGGGACGGAGCTGCGGGCAAGCGGGCTGGGTGCAGAGTGCTGGGAAGGGAGAAGCTGGAAAGACGCCAAGCTTACCCTGTGACCTAGTGAGATGCAGGTCCTGAGGGGCATCTAGGGGGCTGGCCGAGGTCAATGGGTACACAAGGCTGCAGCTCAGGAATCTATCTAGAAAACAGTGTCAAGTCAGTGGTCCAGGCCACAGGCAAGGAGATGTCTCCAGAGAAAATAGGACCTGGGTCCTAAAGGAGAACAGCTTAGGGGTGGCCCCAAGACCAGGAACCTGGGAGGAGAAGGGGATCTGGAAGGATCTGAGGATCCTTTGGGTCCACGTGAGTGTGAGAAGTTTGTGGGAGTGTGAGAGGTTTGGGGGACCTGGACTCCTGGGTCCTGAGGAGAAGGGGCTTTGGTGGGGTCCAGAACAACTCTCCCATTTCTGGCTTCTGCTCTGGGGGTGTATGTGCAGAGCCAGCCTCAGTGGTGGAGCCCAAGAGGCAGGCAGGTTTTAGAAGCAGGTGGTGAATTCTTTCAGGTGCCACAGCCTGGGAGACCCAACCTTTTCTTTCCCACAGAGAAACTTCCAGGGAGAGCCAGCACGCCCACAAGGAGGAAGGAGGGAGCGGTCGATGTGGTAAGAAGCTTGTTCCTTCCAGAGCTGTCCCCCTGCCTTAGGGTGACACCAGATTCTTGGACGAATTTGAATAGCGTACAAGGATTGGAAGAGTCCTGGGAGAGCTGCTCATCATTCATTCATTCATTCATTCACTCATTCCTTCACACTGAGGCCACCCCAGGCCTGTGACCCAGGATGAGTCACATCCAGCCCTGCCTTCAGCATCTCCTAGCCTAGAGGGACACAGAGTGACCCGGCCGCCAGCTCTGTGAGGACATCTGACACTTCACTCTACCTGGGGGGAAGCTTCCCTGGGAGGCGATGCTTGAATAGGGTTCTGTAGGAGCAATTTTCATCTAGGAGACTCTGAGACAAGAAGACAGTTGTCAGGCAGATGGGACAGCTCAGTCACTTGGTCACTGTCACTGAACACCCAAGGCCTCCGGGGAACCCTGGGATGAATGAGGCCCACTGGGTTGAGAGCAAACACCCAGGTAGTTAGGAGACAGCCTGGGTTCAAATCCCAGCTTGGTGACTTAGTGATGGGGTGGTGGGCCATGGAACCCCAGCCTTGTGATGTTCCAAAGCTCAGGTGCAGGCCTCGAAGGGGAGAGAAAGCACTAGATGCCTGGGCCCACTCTCCTCCGGGGCCCTGGCCTTGGGCCTTCCCCCCACCCCCTCCTTTGCAGGCTCTCCGCTGAGGCAGCTAATGAGGCTGCCTGCCACCAGCCTCTAATTGGGCTCCTCTGAGAAAGCTGAGATTGGGCGGGAGAGGGGTTCAGAGCTACGACCTCCCCCTGCGTCACCAGGGAGGGAAAGGAGGGGAGAAGGGGCCGAGCAGTGGCAGGGGTTGGGGCTGGCCATCTGAATTTCCCAGGAGCCGGGCAGTGTGACTCCCAAATCGGGAAGCTGGGAGCAAGGGAGGTAGTGAATCCTGTGGTGCCTAACAGTGGCTAGGGGTGAGGGCTTGGCTCCCGAGAGGGGCTGGGGACAAGCCACCTGGGTCCCAAGTAGAAGTCCCATGGGATGAGACAGCTGTGTGTCTGACTGGGCAGAGGCTGGGGGCTTACTGGCCCAGCTGCCTTTGGGGGTGCTAGTTGAAGAAACAGCTGTGACTTGAAGTTGTCAAGATGGCAGCAGCTGGAGGGTGGATCCCTGGACCCCAGTGACAGTGGTAGCCGGTGGTGGGGACGTCTGGGTGGGATGTCTGCCCTCGGTGTGTGTGGGGGGAGGGCAGAGGCGGATACTTGCCCACCTCAGAGAATGACTTGTGGGGAGGGAAGGATTGCTCACCAGTTGGCTCCTGGAATCTCAGTCCTAAAAGAAGACCCAATAAGACTGAGACTCACTCACTGAAAGTGGCACAGCCCATGGGGCACGAAGTGGGGTCTGACCTGCCTGGCGTCTGGGAGAGCCCTGAGTCTCTGGTGTTGGGAGGGTAAGAGAACAGAGAAGCCTCGGCTCCCAGCTAGAAACGTAGCAGCCAAGAAAGCCAGTTGGTTGGAAAGGATGTTGAAAATTCCCCTGCAAAATACATACTCTGAGCTACACACAGCGGTTTGCTCTTGGGGCTCCAGGACACCCCCAGGCTCTTCTGTGACGCCCGGTCCACGTTAAGACCCCTGCTTTAAACGTTCATCCAGCTCCATAGTGGGCGAGTGGGAGCCAGGCAGAGGGAAGGTGCTTGCAGTGACTTTTTTGTCCCCTCAGGTTGCCCAGAAGAGAGGAAGAGGAGGAAGCAGAGACCCAGGTCACGGTAGGTGGTCCCCAGCCCCCCTCCCCTGCCCCCACCCACTCCAGGCCCTGGAGGAGATTGATGTAGGGGCAGCTCCTCCCAGCCCTCACCCCACACCCCCACTTCTCCTGAGCAGACAGAAAAATCATTTGGCTGAGAAATAACAAGGCTCTTGCTATAGCTAATGAGAGCGGACAGTGCTGTGGGGGGAGTAGGCCAGTAGGCGGCCAGAATGTTCCCGGGGGGCCCACCTAAGCGCATACACAGGGCTACAGCCTCTAAGCCACAGGCCTCACAGACGTGGCTACACCCCCGGAATGCAAAAATGCACACGCACATGCGCCCACACACAGGAAGGGGCTGGGCCCTCCCCAGCCGGCCCAGAACTCCCTGGGGCACAGCGCCTGTCACAGCCCCCCTGCCTGGCACCGCACACACCCCATACCCCTTGCTTTGTTGTTCCAAGCGGCAGGAGGCAGGATACAGGGTATGGTGCAGGTGACAATCCCCATTCTCCGGCAAGGAAAGGGGGGAAGCCTGGGATGGGGTGCGAGGAGCCTGCGGTCCTTAGGTTAGGAACATGAGAGCCCAAATGTGCACCTGGTGTCTGGGCCCCTTCACGCTCCAGACCATCCAACATGGTCTCTCTGAGCAGCCTGACCCCAAAGCCACTTCCCACGACCTTCCATGGAGACTGGTCCCCTCCTCAGCTATCCTCACTGCTGACTAGACAATGATCTTTACCTAGCTGTCAGGGTGGGGCCAGGGTTGAAGACCATGTGTAAAGGGCCTAGCACAGAGCAGGTGCACAGTAGGTGGCCGAGACTGATCTTCCTGTTATTCCTTATTATTGTAATGATGGCCATCAGCGTATCCATGGAACAAAGGTGTGGGTGGGAAAGCCTGAGAGCAACAGAGGGGATCCCCTTTCAGACAGACGTGAGGGTGAGATGGCCCCTGGACAAATATTTGGGGCTTTTTTTTAATGTTTATTTTTGAGAGAGAGGCACACACACACAGTGCAAGCGGAGGAGGGGCACAGAAAGGGAGACACAGAATCAGAAATAGGCTCCAAGCTCTGAGCTCTCAGCATGGACACGTTGGCTCAAGGGGCTCAAACTCATGAACCACGAGATCATGACCTGAGCTGAAGTCAGACACTTAACCGACTGAGCCACCCAGCCGCCCCTTTAGGGCCTTAATCTTAAGGCCCCTGCAGGTTCTGATAGAGGCAGGAAGACAGACCCAAAGAGTACCCACGCTGGACTAGGCCCAGCCAGGGTTGGACTCCTGGAGAAGATGAGATCTCTGCCCTTGAGGAGCTGAGATACTTCCAGAATCAGATGCAAATGGAGATAACAATATTGAACAGCACACGCACGTACCCAGTACACACACAAGTACTCTGTGCCAGGCACTCTTCCAAGCTCCCTCCCGCTGTTCTGCCTTTTACCTGTGTTCCCTTCAGACTCCCCTTCAGCCCTGTGAGGTGGGTACCTGTTAAGACCCTGTCCCCAGATGGGGAAAGTGGGGCATGAAGACATGGGGTGACATTCCAAGGGACATACAGCTGGAAGCTGGCAGAGATAGGAAGCCCACCCGGTGGTATATCTCACGGCACTGAGCCACTGTGTTCCACCCCCTTCCATGCGGTCACTTCTGTCCACTGGGCTGAACCAAGGGCCTCTCCCAATCCAGGAGCCACTGTCTCAAGTCTGTTTCCTTTGTCCTTCCAGGCCAATCTCCCCATCCCTCTGGGAGACCCTCACCGTGGAGACATTCCAGGAAGCCCTCCTGAGAGGTAACAGGACCCACAGGGACCGGGGACCGGAGGGGACCCAGAGGTGGGGGAAAGTCCTGCAGGATCGCCCCATTCTCCTTTATGCCCAGCAGCCCTGCCGAGCCAGATCTGCAGCGAGCCCTGGTGCCTGTGCTGAAAGAGCTGGTCCCAGTCAGGAGGCCGGACCGGGGCCAGCTCTGCCTGGCCCCCCTGCACCCCCAGCCGCTCAGGTGGGTCCCAAGGCAGTCCCAGAAAGGAGGGTGCCGGTCACACGCTGGGACGTTGCCCACCACCGAGACTCCCGGCAGCTCCCCGGCCCCTCCCTAAGCTCCGTACCGCCCCCCACCAGGGTCAGCCGGCACCCGCTGATCCCCGCTCCGGTCCTGGGGCTGCTGCTGCTGCTGCTTCTCTCCGTCCTGCTGCTGGGCCAGTCCCCGCCCCCCACCTGGCCCCACCTCCAGCTCTGCTACCTCCGGCCGCCCCCAGTGTGAGCCGCGAATGAACTCACCGGGGATCTTTCTACTGTTACTACTGTTGTTGTGCCGCCGTTACCTGGGAGCACCCCAGTTCGGGGACCCCAGATACAGTACTCCAGGATCCGCACCCCCTTACTGGGTTTTTATCGTTTGGTTTGGTTTTCTGACATTGGTGACTACATTTCTTAACAGCAGAACATATCCAATAATGGCCTAAATACTAGGCGGGTATTTTCCTCATGAAACAAGTCTGCAGGAGGACAGCTATGGGCCCACAGCTGAGTCTCCACAGCCTGGGGGCCAGGGGGGCTGTGATTCTCTATGACTCTCTTGGCCCTTCCCTCTTGCTCAGGAGACGCAGGCATAGCTTCGCACGTCACACCTGCAGGGAGAAGGGGGACGTGTATATAAAAAGCAGCAGCCTTCCCAGAGCCAGCAGCAGACCTGTGTTTATGTCTCACTGGCCAGAACCACCTGTCGTGACCACCCTTAGCTGCAAGAGAGGCTCAGAGGCCGAGTACCCTCCTGGCAGACAGGGAGAAAGAGATGTGGCCCGGGCCCTCCCCACAGATGTCATCTGCGGTGCAAACCGCCCACGGGAAGTGGACCAGTGTGCCTTTTGTTCACTCATCACTTCCTGCTCATTTGTTTGCCACAATTAGACCTTAGAAGATAAAGCTGTAGAAAAACAGGCCCTCCAATGCCAGGCTGGGGAGCGCTGGTTTGCTCCCAAGGATGATGGGAGCCATGGGAGATTTTACTGCCTGGTTTTGGTTACCTATGTTTTAATTGAGACGTAGCTTATATACAGATAAATGGCTGTGCTCATTTGGGCAGCACATATACTAAAATTGGAACCATACAGATAAATGGACAAAATCTTAAGTCTCAGGTGCATGAATTTTTGCATACGTAAACACCTTGAAAGCAAAACCCGGGTCAAGACAGAGCAGTTTCAGCACCACACAGGCTTCATGGGGAGAGTTCTGAGCAAGGGAAGGTCAGAGTCCCCCGTGTTTAAAGGCAGATGGTGATAGAGGTAGCTGCAGGTTCCATGTGAGCCCAGAATATGCACTGAAGCCCTCCCGGGAGGGTGGAGAGTCTGTCCCAGTTAGGTGACATCTGTGTGTTAGTCTTGAAAGCTTAGTAAGCTTTGTTACAGTGAGCAGGGACTGACGGAGGGTGTCACAGGCAGAGGGAACATGTGTGTGCAGACCAGGTGGTGGGAAAGCGCCGTGGTGCGTACAGAGCTATCGAAAGCACCATGTTGCTGGGATTTAAAAAAAGTTGGGGGGCGGATTTGGAGGAGGCTACGGAAGGAGGATGTGGAGGAAGGGGCAAAGACAGCACGAGGGCCTGACCCAGGGAGACAGTGGAGCAGTGCCAAGACGGGAACCCACGGGGAGGAGTAGGTTTGGGGGAACACCGAGCCTCCGTGGGACGGGTGAGTGTTGGGGTTCCAAGACATGGCTGGAGCCCACAGCCTTGAACGCGCGATCTGGAGACGGGGTCCTGGGTGTTATTCCCTGTGGATGGTGATTGACATTGGGGGAATTGCTGCAATTTCCTGGGGCGGGGAGAGGGGAGGACTTCCAGGCACCATTTCATGAGATGCCTCAAATGTTAGCCAAGACATCTAGGAAGGAAGGAAAGTACGGGAGGAGCTCAGGCCAAGACCCAACCGCAGGTCCTGCGGCCTAAAGCCTGTGAGGCTCCTCACAGGGTTGTGAGTTTCAAAGAGCCAATACAGGTGCAGTATTTACTGGAGTGCCCGGCATACAGTAACTGCTCATAGCTCTTTAATCCCATTTCTCCTTGAGAGTCACGGAAAGGTCTAGACTTTACAGATTTGGGTTCTTTCTGCCTTTTACTGGCGCTGACAAGTTGGGGGAATTACTCTTGACTTTCAGAGTCTTATTTGCGAAATTTGCCCAACCCCGAATGGTGTTGAGGAATATAGTTATTTCTTCATTATTCGGTATTTCTGAATAACAGAGAAGCAGCCCCACCCAGTCTAAGGGCCAATTAGGGCGCAGTCCGCCTCCCAGAAATACAAATTGTGGGAGAGCTGGCCAGTCACCAAGCGCCCGCCCCGCCCCTTCCCGCGAGACCACGCGCCCAGCCCCGCCCTCTTGTGTAGACCAATCAGTGCGCGGTCCGCACGAGCCGCGCCCCCGGCACGAGCCTAAGAGCCCTCAGTGCAGCTGTTGCAGTGGGTTGCCGTGGTTACCACTGAATATTGGGATGAAGGGCTGGCCCAGCCGCCGGTGAGAGAGACTCGGACAGAGAAACAGACAGATTGTGACTGGCTGCTGCTTCCTTTCACCTGCATGCCCATCCTGTGCCTCCGGAGCCTGACGCCTGGTCCCCTCTCCCCTCTCCTCCCGCCCCAATGTGGCGCCCCGATGATCTCCCGCGAAGGGTGCAGTCAGAAAACTCTGAACAAACTTCTGGAAGCTGCTACTGGAGAGGCAGAAACCCTTTTCCAACAAAAGCGCTTTGCTTCGCGGGCGCTGTGATGTTTTCTCATGGTGTATCTGGGTTGATCCACAAATGAGGGGGAAAAGACTCAGATTAAGCAGCCCTTCCCGATACCACATAGCTATGTTTGGAGGAACCTGGTCTTGAATGGCAGGTACCTCTTCACACCGGAGCCCCCGATCTTTCCACTGAGCCCAAACAAATCAGGAAGTGAGGAGAGAACGGAAATTCGGAGAAAATGAGAGCTGGAAGAGGGAGAGAAGGAAACAACAGAGGAAAGAAAAGACATGAGGGATCCAGGCAGAGGAAAAAGAAAGTGAGTTAGAATGGAAGGAAGAGTTTTAGAGGCAGAAGAGTACAGAGACGAGGCAGAGGGTTAGGAAGCCAGGAAGGTGAAAAGAGACAGAAGTACAGAGACTCAGAGAAAAGGCGAACAGATACGCAGAGAGACAGAGACCTAGAGATGGGAGCAGAGACTCAGAGGGAAACAGAGAGAAAGGGACAGAAACCCAGAGAGGAGGACAGAGACCTGCGGGTGGGGAGGGACAGAGGCACAGAGAGGAGGGGACAGAGCTGGGGCATGGAGGAAGGGCAGAGCAGAAATCCAGAGGGAGAGAGACTATAAGTGAATGGAAAGATGATATAAAAACAAACCCCCAAAAAATGGGGAGAGCAAAAAGAGGGGACCGGGGAAGAGATACACTGGAGTAGCGACGCAAGCCCCGCCCCCAGATCCCGCACACGCACACAGGGGCGCAGGAAGGAGGCGCAGACCCGAACGCTCAGCAGGATCTTTATTGAGGTTGTGCGGGCACCGCGCTCAGGGCGCGTCCAGCACCAGCAGCTTGTGCATGTACGAGTTCAGCCAGTGGCGGCGCTCGAGGGCGGCCAGCAGCCGCGCGCGCTCCCGGAAGGCCGCGTCGTCCGCCAGCGCCAGGCTCCGCCGCGACAGGAGAGGGGTGGCCGGTCCCGCCCGGGCCCGGCCAGGGGAGCGGAGGCTGCGAGGAGACCAAGAGATGCGGTTACCGCGGGTCCAGGCCCGCCGCAGTCTAATTCGAAGCCCTGTCCCTGCACCGTCTGTGGAGTGGCTCTGTGTCTGTCGTCAGTCCCCCTGTCTCTGCGCGGGTCTCTGTCTCTGCCCACCGGGCTCGAAGCTTCCTGAGTCTGAGACCGAGTCTGATGCATGTGTCCAGCCCCAGCGCTCAGCGCACGACCTGGCACACACTGAGAACGCAATAAACTTCGCTCAAGAGAGGAATCCGCTGCTGCTTGGACTCCTTTCAAATCTCAACGCCTTTCTCTGAATCCTGTCTCTCTTTCTCGTGCTGATTCTCTGTCCACACTCCACCTCTCTCCACCCGTGCTGATTCTCTGTCCACACTCCACCTCTCTCCACCCCTAGTCTCTGTCTTCCTGTCTCTTGAGTCTCTGTGAGCCTTGCTCTTTGGGTCTATCTCACCTCTCGGAATCCCCGCCCCTCCCCGGGAGTCCGGGGCGAGGCGCGTACCTGAGGACCCCCGCGGGGGGCAGGGCGACTCCCGAGGCAGTGCGGTTGCCCCAGGGCACAAGCAGCAGGAGCAGCAGCAGCAGCCGCACCCGGAGGCTCCTGGGCACCTGGCGGGTCTCCATCACCTGTGGAAAGACACGGAGCTGCTCAGTGAGGCCCACATCCTGGCCCAGAACCCCGGACCCCACCACCCACCCACCTCCTGCGCCCGGTTTGCAGGGCCCGATACCGCGCAGTGGGCTCGGACAGCGAGGCTTCGGCCCCCTTATATCGCCTCCACAGCCCCCGCAGCAGGCAGTGACGCAGACCAGGGGGCTGGGGGCGCCGGGTCAGCCCCCCCACCAGGCTCATTAGGAGCCGCCAGCGGTAATGAGGAGCCAGGAGTGGGGGCCCTGCCTCTGCCTCGGCAGCCACCAACTAATTGGGACCAGGAGCTGGGACCCGAGGGGAAGCAGGAGGGGGAGAGACAGACAGACAGAGAAGTGGACACGGGAGGTGTGTCAGAAGGATAAAAATAGAGACTGGCAGAGGGACCATCAGAGCAGAAGCCAGAGACACAGAGAAAGAGACAGGGAAAGCAACAGAGGAGGGACTGATGGAGAGAAGCGGAGACACACAAGGATGAAGGACAAAGGGTGACAGAGGAAAGGACAGCGAGGAAGAAAGGGAGCAACAGAGAAAGAAGGAAAGAAGAGGAAAGGAAGGGGGACCGGGAAAGAAAACAAAGAGCCAGCTAGAGCTGGAGGCTGGAGGGAGGAGGCTCTGAGAAAGACAGGAGATGGAAGAACAGCCAGCTTGGATAGGGACGCCCAGAGATAAATCCAGGTGGGAAAAACCAGAAAGATAGAGTGAGAGATAGAGGGTGGGGAAGGGAAGGCAGGAGAAGCAAAGGGTATGGGGGGGGGGAAGGGGGGGAGGGGAGGGAGATGCTGCGAAGGCAGGTAAAATGACAAGGAAAATCAGGAGTCTTAGAAAAACCACAAAGAGGGGAAAGAGACAAGAGAGACCCCATGCTTGGGTCTAAGCCTTCCTGGGGAGGAGTTTGGAGGAGTTGTAAAGGCCCAGCCCCCTCACACTGGCTCTAAAGAGGGTGCTTTCTACACAATGGGGAGGTAGGCCAAGGTTAGGAAGTCCCAAAGGGCAGTAGCCCTCTGGATATCTGAATGGCAAGACACAGGAACCTGGGAACCTGGATTCCTGGATCTGGGGGGAGGGACCTGGAGGCCCAGACTCCTGGGTCTTGAAGTAAGAGGGCACCAGGGACTTAGACTCTTGGGTTCACATGTAGGAGATGGCAGATGGGCTGGACCCCTGGCTTCAAAGAAAAGCTGGCTTAGTTGGGCCACATCTCTCCACCAGATAGATGATCCAATCCCTAACTCCCTTCCCTATTCCAGAGACAGCATTCTTTATCTCTGTCCCTTTAAGAGCACAAGACTGTCGCCAGGCTCCCAGGGTCCCCAGGGAGGGGGTCAGATGCGTCACCTGCTGCGCCCCTGGGACCCTACCTCCTGCTGCCCCGCCCAGAGCCATTCTGCAACGTTCACACAGCTCCGAGACCAGCTCTGCTCACCTGCTGTTATCTTGGACCCCACTGAGCAGGTAAGAGACCCCAGGCCCCAAGTGACCCTGTCCTAGCCAAGTATCTGCCACCTCCACCTCCCCCTGAGCACAGACCTAGGTGTCTCTGCCCCCAGACCTGTCCTGAGAGCCTGGGATGTCAGCTCCATTGTCAATAAACAGAGGGACTAGCAGAGTCCTGTCCTGCCCCACAGCTCACTCCTCCTGAAGGCTGAGGAGTCCAGAGCCCTACACATCTATCTGTGGAAGACCCAAGACTCAGACTGAGTTCCGAGTCCCCTAGAGTTTGAGACTCCTGTTTCCTTTCTCCCCCATAATCCAGCCCCCCAGTTGTGCTCCCTCAAAATTCTAGGCATGTGAACCTTTAGGCCCCTTGTTTCTAAAGAACCAGGAATTTATTTATTTATTTATTTATTTTAAATTTTTTAATGTTTTATTTATTTCTGAGAGAGAGAGACAGCGTGAGCAGGAGAGGGTCAGAGAGAGAGGGAGACACAGAATCCGAAACAGGCTCCAGGCTCTGAGCTGTCAGCCGCGGGGCTCAAACCCACGAGCTGTGAGACCATGACCTGAGCTGAAGTCGGACGCTCAACCGACTGAGCCACCCAGGCGCCCCAAGAACCAGGGATTTAGACCCATAGTGCCCTCCACCTTCTGGAAACAGGGAGTCTGAATCCCCAGCAACCTTCTCCCCCAGGTCCCCGGAGTCTCCCTCCTCTCTCAGATCCAGGCATTTTGGCCGCCAGCCCCCAGCCATTACTTCTGAGCCAGCTCTAGCTTAAACAACCCTGAAGGTGTCCCCGGAGCCCTCAGAGAGGAAGGGATCCTGTGCTTCCATGGAGGTCTACACCCTCTGAAATAGAAGTTGAGGAGGTGTGAGGGCTTGGAGAGGTGTCATTCTTTCCCAATTTTTCTGAGACACCCCCCTTCCCCCTGCCCCCGGCTCGGGAAAATACACAAGGAAATTAACTACTGTGACTCCCAAGAAGCCCCGCGCCTCAGTCTCCCTTAGCTACTGTGGCTACGGCCACGGCCCCCACAGCCATCGGGGATTTGCAGTTAGGTTTTCCTTTCCCTGGCGCGGAGCTGGGCCGGATCCTGGGCCACCAGGGGACCGGTGGGCGTGGCCTCCGGGCGCGGGCCGGGGGGAGGGGGGCCCCAGGAGGCTTCCAACCTTATTAACCCCTTCCTTCCTGCTCGCCCGCAGCTAGAGGCGTCTCCCAGAGCTATGACATCCCTCCGCCCCACCCTCTTCGTCCTCCTCTTCTTCCTCGCCCGCCTGGGTTGCAAGGCTGACCCTTCGGCCTCGCCGCTTACAGGCTCCGACTTCCCTGAGATGGGCCACCCTTCTCAGACCTCCCCTCCTGCTTCTGAGAATTCCACTGAAGACCAGCCTAACCCAGATTCCCCTGCGACTGCTTCTCCTGAGCCCTCCAAAACACCTCATGCTGTTTCCCCTGAGCCCTCCAGCCCTGACTTCCCCAAGGCTCCCAACCACGACCGCCAAGAAAGCCCACACCCAGAGACTCCTAAATCTAGCTTACTCAACACCTCAATATCAGACCCCCTGGACACCCCCCAGAGTAACCCCTCCAACATGACACATCCAGAACCTTCTGAGGTCCCCACACCTGACCCGACTGATAGTCCACACCCAGAATCCCCTGAGACCCTCAAACCTAGTCCCTCCAAAACCTCCCACACAGAACTTCCTGAGCCCCCAAACCCTGACCCTACCCAAACTCCACACCAAGAATCCCCAGAGATTCCCAAACTTAACTCCATTGGGGTCTCACATGCAGAAGTCCCTGAGATGCCAAATCCTGACCCCACCAAGAGTCTTCACCCCAAATCTCCAGAAACCCTAAACCCTGACACCACTGAAACCCCACATTCTGAATTCCTGCAGACCCTGCGTCCTAACTCTACTGAAAGCTCCCACCCAGAATCCCATGTAACCAGCAACCTCAGCCCCACTGACATTCCCCAGACAGAGCCCCCCACAACCCACTACCAAGATGCAACAGAGAACTCCACGACCTCGAGTCCTGAGATCTCCTCCAGTCTTCAGCCAGAAACGACTACACCTTTCAAGGACAACGCAACAGCCCTAAATGCGCTGCTGCCCCTGAATCCCAAAGCAGAAACCTCTGCAGTCACCCAGCCCGACACCCTTAAATTGCCCACCTCAGATTCTCCCGGGACAGTTGAGTGGAAGGCCTCCCAGGACTCTAGCCCTAAAGGGCCTGACGCCCTTCCCTCAGCCCGGATTGTGGGCCCCCCTGCTCCTCCAGTGTCCCCCAGTCAGTCGGCCCCTGCCACTCCGCGGGCCCCCCAGCGGCGCAGCCGAGGTGAGAGAGTCAACACTATCATCGTGGTGGAACGAGTGGAGGAGACCGGTGAGGGGCCAGGACCCAGACTCCTGGGTCCAAAGGAGGAAGGGGCTGGAGGCCGGGACTCCTGGGTCTCAGGGAGGGCGGGGCTGGGGACCCGGCTCCTATGTCTGAGGCTCTGAGGCGGGAGGATGCTGAAGGCTGGCATGGCGGTGCTGAGGCAGGAGGGGGCTCGGGGCCGAGACTCCTGGGTCTCAGGAAGAAGGGGGTAGGGGGTTAGGTTGCTCAATTCCGGGTCCCTCGTCCTTCAGGCGTGACCCTGGTGGGGCGCCCCCGGGGCGCGGCGGGCGGGGCCCTCTGCCTATTCCTCGCCGGGACCGGCCTGCTGATCGGCATTTTCCTGCTGCTGTGGTGTCTCTACCGCCGGGCGTCTCGACACCGGCCCTTCGCACACCACCGGCTTCCAAACGACGGAGATGAACCGGGTGAGCGACCCTTACAGCGTCCCTCTCCTTAAATGACCGCACGCTCCCTTAACCTGGTTTCGCCTCGCACTTTAGGGCGCCCTGCCAAAAAGTACAGGTCCCCCATCCTAGGTCCATAACAGCCCCGACCCCTCCATCATCCTGTCCCCAGTTCTGTGAAATCTCACACACACACACACACACACACACACACACACACACACACACACACGTCCAGCGCCTCCCCCAGCCCAGCTGGGAATTGCAGCAGGCTGGGAGCCAAGGGTCCCTCTACAAGCCCCGCCCCTTTCCACTCCCTGGGCGCAGCCGGAGCCCCGCATTCCCCGCCCTCTCCACTTCAGGCCCCGCCCCTGCTACGCGGAGGCCCCGCCTCCTCTTTCATTTGGGGAAGGGGAAGCCCGCCCTTTCATTTGAAAACCCAGTTCCAAAGAACTGCCGGAATCCTCTCTCCCGCCTTCTCATTGGCCAGCGGCGCAGCAGAGGGGACAGGCCACTTGTGTGCCTGGGGATGACCTCGCCCCTTTGCTCCCTCAGTTATGCATCTGGAAGCCCCGAAGGACCCCTACGACCTCTACTTTTACGCGCCGGATGCCTGGGTCCCTTCACACATCGCCACCAAACAGCCGCCACCCACCCCTCCGCTGCCCCCCAAGCTGCCCCCGCCGCCCCGCGGGAACCGCCCCCAGAGCCTGGAGCCGCTCTCCCCCGCCACGCTCCCCAACAACTTCGTGTGAGCCCCGCTTGCGTCTCGCGTCCCGCCAGACCTGCGCCCCCCCCCCCCCCCAGACGAAGGAAGGGCCCAGAGGCCCTGGCCTCCTGGCATGCTTTGCTGCCAAGTAGTCCTCCTGGATAGAAGTCCCACCCAGAGATGCTTTCCCTGTGACCGGAGAACACGGTCTGAGTGCGGCCGAATAAACCAACTGTTCCCAAAGCTTGTCGCCTACTCTGGCCTGCGTCCTAGGAGAGGAGGGGGCTGGGGGCCCAGAATCCCGCGTGACTGCCGAGGCGGAGGACCACCGAGTGTGAACACCAAAGCATTTTATTGGGAGTGGGGCAGGGCAGTATTCACAGTCACAGAGACAGACACAGACACAGCCCTGCTCCGGGGGAGAACACCCCTCTCCGCCAGCCCCATTCCCTTTCCTGGGACTCTGTGACTTCTCCTGCAGAGGTTCCCCCAAATCTAAATCGAAAGAGGGGAGTCTGAGCGGGGAAGGATCCCAGATTCTGAGTCATTTAGCCCCTGAGGGACACAACAAATGGCCACTGAGAAAATGAGGGTAGTTTGAAACCACCCAGGAGAATAAAGTGCAAGGAATTGGGGGAAGAGGGGCATCTTGAAACCACCATGGGGAAGTTCAATGATGGTGGCTTCACGCCGTTGAGTGGATGGACTTGAGCAGCCACTACTTAGACCTGAAAACGTGTCAGAAAAAGTGCATGGGGGTGGAGAGAGGCATAGTGTTAAAATCGCCATCTTGTTTCCCCAGACATTGTGCTAAGCTAGGGAACCTTGGGGAATTTGGTGCTTCAGCACAACCTGCTGGTGGAGGGAGGAGCGATGGGGGGGGTAGGGGGGACTTGAAACCGCCATTTTCCCTCAGAAACGCTGGTGAGAATCAATCCCTAGAATGGCGGGGGGCCGTGCGATTGGTTAAGCCAACCTGGCAAATCGAATTGGGAGAGGCTGGGAACTTCTAGAGGAAGACCTTCGGCTTTTCTGAAAGGAGAGGGAGGCTGAGTAATCTCAGGGCTTGCCCCGAGAGTCCCAGGGGTTAAAGAAGGTGGTGGGAAGGGTGCCTCAAAACCACAAGAGAGAGTCAAAGGTTGAACTGTCCATTCAAATAAAGCCCTGAAAGGAGAGGTTTGAAACCACTGAGGCAGAACAAGTGGAGAAGGGGACCTTTAGGGGAATTTGGGTATCCTTGAAACTGCCAGTCTGCAGCTTCACTACCCTGAGAGGCAGTTGGGAAGGGAAGAGGATTTGACAGCATTGGGGAAGAGGGCGAGTGCTTCTTAGGCCTGCAGCAGGACAGAGAGGAGACTGGGGTTCCTTGATAGTCACTCAGGCCAGTGATGTGTGGAATGGAGGTCCTGGAAACTGCCATTCGGTGGGAGGCACATGGTCAGTAGTCCCGGACAGGGGGTGGGGGTCTTGGGGGCTGAACAGTGCTGTGTGTGGCCCCATAGGAAGGAGGGGGAGCAGGGGGTGCCCCGGGGGGCTCAGCCTCATCCTCCATTTCGCTTTCGTCACTGCCAGCCAGCTGGTCGTGGCCAACGAAGCCACACTTCTCTTCGCTCATCTCCTCAGGCTCCGCCCACGGCTGCTTCTCGCCAGAAGCGAAGACCCCGTAGAAGATGACGCCCCCATAGTGCACCAGGGAGGCAATTAGGAATACGTACTGCCACTCTTCCCGAGTCTGGGGAGGGGTGACAATGGGGAGGTGAGGTCAGAGATCAGAGGACAGAGAAACAGAAGAAAGAGAGAGAAGGCAGGGCCGGGCAGGGGGTGGGGGGAGGGAGGGCAGAAAAAGGGAGACAGAGATCCAGAGAGAAGCGGTAAGACCCAGGAGAGGACAGGGATGGAGGGCAGCGAGGGTGTCGCACGTCAGGAAGGTACCATACACAAAATGGGAGGGCGGGCGGGTCAGGGCCGGTGCACGGACCTTGTGCTTAGTCATGGCACCCACGATGATGGGGCACACCATGCCTGACAACGTGCCCACGCCGTTGGAGATGCCCATGAGGATGCTGGCATAGCGCGGGGCGATGTCCAGGTGGTTCACGTTGAACCCTGGCGAGGCAAGCCAGAAGGCGTCACTCCCGAATGAATACATCTCACTCCCGCGTGAATGAATCTCACCCCTCCCATCGCAGCCTCCCCCTCCCTCCGGCTCTTGCCGGTCCACCTTGTGCAGGGCTGGAAGGTCCCCTTCCAGAGCCAGGAAGTTCCCTACAGAGCTGTCCAGAGTCCGCCAAGCGGCGGATCCGCGGTTCTCACCAGAGATGGCGAAGCCGCTGAAGCCCACGGCGAGGACGAGGAAGGAGATGGCCACGCCCTTGGAGTGCGAGTAGCCGACCACCAGCAGCAGCGTGGCTTCCATGCCGAAGCCTACGGAGGGCCGGAGGGCCGTCCGTCTCATCTGAGCCCGGCCGCCCCACACCGCCTCTCCCGTCTGTTCCCGCCCCAGGCCGGCCACCTCCATGCCGGTCCGTGGCTTTGTGCTCGCGCCCGCCCTAACCAAACCCTCACCTCCCTAACGCCTCGTCCTCGACCACGCTCCCGGGGGCCACCACCGCCCCAGCCGCGTCCTCCGTGGCCCCACGCCAGGACTAGGCCACGCCCTAAAGACTCAGGTCCAACCCCTGCGTAGTCACAGGCGCCTGGCCCTTCCACCAGGTGGGCCCTGAGGCTGCAGCCAGGGGTTCGGTTCCTCCACTCCCGGCCACACCCGCGCTCGGACTTCTTGGACACGCCCCTGACCCCACCTCCACCCTCACCTGGTCCCGCCCCGCCCAGGGGGTCCCAGACCCGGCGCAGGGCCCCGCCCCCCTCACCTCCACAGTTCATCAGTTTGCGCACGTTGGTGGTGGACATGATGCGGCGGCTCCTCAGGAAGTCGGCGATCTGGCCCCCGATGGGCACGATGATGGTCATGACCAGGTGGGGCAACGCTGACACCAGGCCCACCTGCACCCGCGAGCGCACAGAGCGGGCGCTCAGGGGCCGCTGGCCGGGCATCTCCACCCAGGTTACGGCACCACTGGCTCCTCCCTGCCCCTCATTCCGACCTCTTGGGATCCGGGCCCGGTTGCTTCATCTCTCCCCGCTGCGCCCCCTGCCTTCCCCTCACCTTGCTGATCTCGAAGCCGAACACCTCTTCGAAGTAGGCGGGCTGGGAGATAAGGAGCAGGTAGAAGGTCCAGCTGCGGCAGAAGTTAGCCACGATGATGGCGTAGACTGGCATGGAAGTGAAGAAGCGCCGCCAGGGTGTGTTAAATTTCTGGGGGTTGCGGGGAGGGGGGGGAGGAGAGGCGGCTAAGTTGGAGACCAGGGCGGGGCGCTCTCCCCTTCAGGGACCCTATTATATAGAGTCCCACACAGACCCAGGTTTCCCGACCTCACTGAAACCTCTGGGGACCCAGGGGCACCAGCTTGACCACGTCCCTGTGGGCACCTTGACATCCTGGCCTCACAGTGACACTTCAGGGATGCAGGTGTCCCGACTCTGCAGTGTCCCTCAGGTTTGCAGGTGTGCAGACCCGGCGATGACCCTCAGGGACCCATAAATGTGAGCCCAGGAGTCTCTTTCTAATTTCCATTATGCCCCCTAATTCTAGCCTCACTCTCATTCGTCTAAGCAACGCACTCCCCACATTCGAATCCTGTCTCTGTTGGTTTCACTGCGCCCCATACTGGTTCTGTCCACCTAGCAACCTAGCCCTGCCCTCAGTACCTGCTGATCCTTTCTTCCCCGCGGCCTTAACCCCTCCTCCTAGGTTCAAGTCGCACCCACTATGCGTCCCCAACCTGTCTCCTCTGAGAGTCTACAGGAACCCACCACGATCCACAGTCTACACTCCGTGCAGGTTCGAAGCCCCCTTTTCTCCTGCCTCCCTGCCTGGATATCTCTTCTTGCCCCACCGCGCCCCCGCCCTGCAGGCTTGGGCCCGGACCGTGACCGGGTTCATGAGTTTGGCGCTCTCGCCGATGGCGTCCTCGATGTACTTGCGCTCCTCTTCCGAAATGCTGGGGTGCAGAGCCGGGGACTCATAGGAGACGAGCAGCCAGAACAGGTACCAAAAGATCCCGAAGCTGCCTGGGGAGGGTCAGGAGGGGGACGGAAGCGAGGCGATGACCGGCCTCGCTCCGCCCCAGCGCCACCCGGGCCCAGGCGTCCGGGGCCCTCACCATAGACGTAGAACACAGAGCTCCAGCCTGAGTACTGCACCAGGACCCCGGCGAGAGGCATCGCGACCACCGCCCCAGCATAGGAACCTAAGAGGGAGGGTGCAACATGTAGAAGAGACTCATCTATCCTCAGATCCGGGAATGTGGACGCCCAGTCCCTGCCTTTTGGGACACAGAAGTACAGGCCACGGTCCCTCCTCCCTCCGACCCGCAAGTCTGGCTCCCAGCCCCTTCCTCTCACCGCAGAAGGCTGTTGTCGCCAAGCGACTCCGCTCTAAGGGCGGGGCCCATTTGCTCCAGATCCCGTGGCAGGCGGGGTAAGTGACCCCCTAGGAAGGAGAAAACCAAAGTCAAGGAGAAGAGGCGGAGTCAGAACAGGCACAGGGTCATGTGGAGCCGGGCTTTACCTCTACCAACCCCTGCAGGATCCTCACGAAGATGACACAGCCATAGTGGACTCGGGCAGCCGAGGGGATCAGCATGTTCAGAGTGGATGTAGCCACAATGGCAAAGCCGAAAACCCTGGTGGGAAGAGTCCATAGTATGAGAATAGGGCGCAGCTCTACCGCCAGAGCTAGGATTCTGCTCTTTCTGCCCACAGCGGGCCAGGCGTGGTGTTCCCCAGGACCCCCGGCTCCCACCTTCTCTGTAACTCTCACCTTCCACAATCACAAGCCCCGCCTTCCTCCAAGACCCCGCCCCGATCGCAGGCTCCTCCTATTTCCCCGCCTCAGCCCCGAAGTGCCGGGCTACACCCACTAAATCCAGCCACACAACTGTAGTTCCCGCCCACCTTGAGACCCCAGCCCTGTACCTGTTGGCTGCGAATTTCTGGCAAATAAATCCTCCGGGAATCTGGGTGACAATGTAGCCCCAGAAAAAGGAGCCGTGTATGAGGCCAACAGTCTCTGGATCCCAGTTAAATTGAGCTTTCTGCGGGCCAAAAGGCACGTCAAACCAGCTGTTCCGCCCCCAGGCTCTGCCCCTCCACCAATCAGCACAGACAGATTTAGTGCCTCAGCCAATCAGCACCAAGGATCCCCTCTCGCGCCAAAACACCTGCCAATCAAAATTCAAGCCGTCCTCCTCCCAGCTCTGCTCCGCCTAGGCTTCCAGGGGCTGCTCTGCCCTAGCAACGGGGCCTGCTGCTGCCTAGAAGCCTCGCTCTGCCTGCTTCCCTGCCTCGGTGCCCCTGCTTTGACTGTCTAGGGGCTCATAAATGGGGTGGGGACTCTTTCTCCACTTACTCCTCTTAACCAGCCTACGGACTGTTTGCGGAGTGACTGGGTGGGGTCTAGCCAGGGACCAGAAGTAGCCAAAGGGGCAGCCTGACTGAACGGAAGCAAGAGACGAGGCAGGGAGGTCAATGCCTAAATCCGGAGTTTGTCCTGAGGCAGGGGCACGGTCTACACCGGAATTAAAATAGGGAGGAAGTCTGCGGCGCCTGGGTGGTTCAGCCGGGTAAATGTCCGACTTCGGCTCAGGTCATGATCCCACGGTTCTGGGTTCGAGACTTCGGATTCTGTGTGTCTCTCCGCCCCTCACCTGCTCGCCCTCTGTCTCTCAAAATAAATATATATTTTTTTTTTTCTAGGGAGGAAGTCTGAGATGAGGCGGGCTTCAGGTAAAGGCCGGAGCCGATAAAGCGGGATTTAGCAGGGACTGAACTTCAGAAACAACAGGATCAAATCTCAGGGTGGAGCCTGCCATAAGGCTGGGATTAAGTTGTGACAGCGGTGACAGGCATGGATGGCAGGTGGAGCTAAGAGGCCCAAAATGGAGCGGGGGCAAAACACGTAGGGAACCTAATGCTGGCGCAAAGTCTGTACTTTGAAATCCTGGATCTGAACTAACTAGGGGCGGGGCTTCATTGAGCTCGGGGCGGGGCTTAGGGAGAGGAGACCCCTGGGGCAGACGGGAGCGGCCCGCGGCGCGCACATGGGCTGGGCTGCTCAGGCTGCGGCGGCAAGGGGCTCCGCCTGGGCTGCGCCCGGACCAACGTGACGTCACAGGGGGCGTGGGCAGGGCCAGGTGGGCCGGCGTGCCGGGACGCGCCCCTAAACTACCTGAACCACCACGTGGCCCCCGCGGTGGGTCGTGCTGTTGTTGACCATGGAGACGATGGCCACGCCCAGGTTGCAGCGGATACCAAAGCTGATGCAGAAGCCCAGCCCGCTCATAATGGCGATAATGTAGCGGCGAGGGAGACCGAAGCAGGTGCAGTCCACTACCGGCGGATCCCGGGTCTGCGTCGTCACCGGGCGCCCGTCAGCACTCAGCTCTAGCGTCTCTGCACCTTCCTGCCGCTTTTCCAGAAGGCTGCGGGGCAGCAAGGATCAAAGACTCGTAAGTCCAGGGCCCCCGGCCCGCTCCTTCCCATGAGTTCAGGGTAAAACCTCCTGCTTTTCAAGATCCACGATTCTAAGCCCGCACTCCCTCCTTCCCCAAGGGTTCTGCCCCTAGCTCCTTTAGCCCCCCAGGATTCAGGAATCTGGACCCCCTTCTTTCCATCCCCCACAGACTAGGGATTCACGCTGCCAGCACCCTTCTCCCGCAGGTATAAGGGTCCTCAGTTTCCCTCTCCCCAGCTCTGTTAGTTATCTCGCGACTCAGGAGTTTTAGACCCCAAAGTACACTTTAGGATCCAAGAACCTGTGTCCCCAGCCCCCACGCTAAGGCCCAGAGACTCTCCAGCCCCCTCTCCCAGATATGAGTCTATTTGAGGAAGCAAAAGGCGCTAAGGAGATGCTTCAGCAAAGGTGTCAAAAGAACAGATGCTTCTCAGCCACGTCTGCTATATATACCGACCCCCCTCCTCTCTTGCCCCCTGTGGCAATGCCCTTCCCCACTTCCAGGCCCCAGGTGTGGGGCTGACATCCAGCTGACTCCCTTCAGACTCCGGAAGCCCATTCCTGAGGGTGGGGAGAAGTCAGGGTCCCTGGAATCCAGCAGCCCAGCCAGACATCCCTGGGGAACCTTGAGTTCAGGCTGTCAGCTAGGGAGTAGGGAGGGAGAGTGGCTGGTGGTGTCCTGGCAAGGGACAGATGGCCCTGGTAGGGGGATTGGCTCAGTCCCCAGCGAGGCTCTCGCCCCCGCCCGTTCTGGAACCAGGATTGAGTCTGTGATGATGGATAGAGTATTTGGAGAACCTCCTCAAATCCAGAGAGAGGCTGCAGGGAAAGAGAGGTGCCCTGAGACAGGGTGTCCAAAAGGAGGGTGACAGAGATTGGGGGTGGGTGGGGGGTGAAACAAAGAGGGTCAGGGACACAAAAAGAGAGACAGAGACCCAGAGAGAAAAGGGGAAACACAGACCCTGAGAGGGAAGGGGACAGAACCTCAGAGATGGAGAGGGACAGAAACCCGAAAGAGAGGACACACAGACGCAGAGAAAGATGGAGACCAGGGGGACTCAGGAGAAACAAGCTGGGAACGTGATTTGTGAGATGCGGCCCCTCTCTGAGGTGGGTACGCAGCCAGGGGATCGGGCTGGATCCCAGGAAGGGGCTAGAACAGATGGAGGCGAGGGAGACTGGGACGGGGGAGGAAGGAACAGCCAGACGGTCTGGGGGGAGGCGGGTGGAAGAGAAGAGAGAACACAGCCACCCTCCCCATCCTAGAACTTAAGGAGGTTGGGGGAGGGGGCTAAGAAACAGGGGTGGGAGAAAGAGACTGGGGGAGTGGACAGTACCCAGGAGGGATCAGGGACAAGAGCCAGAGAGGGGCAGGGGTGGGGTGGGGAATAGATGCCCCAGAATGCAGGCGCGGACTGGTAGGGACTGCCCCCCACCCTGCATCAGAACCTGCCAGCCATAGCGACCTGACTTTGACCTGGGTTACCATCAGATTTTATTTGACCCTGAAACTCGGGATGTGATTGCAGCCCCTGAAATTTGATACCCATTGTGGATACTCCAATGTGTCAGATATCTGACCAAGGCTTTCTAAATGGGCTGCTGCGGGGGTGGGAGGGGTGGGGGGGTCAGATGCCCACATCTATAAAATGGGGGCAAGGGTAAGAATGTGAGGTCACAAGGAGGGCACTGCCAGGTGATACTGATCATCTCAGGATAAGAGAACCAGGGGCGCGGAGATGACGTGACCCAAGTGATTCCCAGAAGACAAGAACAGAGAGGAGGAGAGACTGGAGGGGGGGTCCTCCTCCCCTTCCTGGGTGCTGGAATGCTGCACTTAGGAAGCAGTTCAACAAAATGAAGAAGGTGTCACCATCTCCCTCTCCACGGGTCTCTGTCTTTGCTTCTCTTGGGTTCTCTGTCCGCTCCCCTGCTCCCTCAGGCCTCTGTCCCCTTAGGTCGTTTGGCACTCCCCACCCATTGCAGGATTAGGGAAACTGAGGTTCAGAAAGCAGAAGTCACAGGTCCAAGGTCACACACCAGAGTGCGATGATGGGTCCTGAGCGTTCCCTGACCCCTGGCATCACCCCATCCAAGGCCTAGTTCTCAGAAAGGAGGCACCTTGGCACCCGTCTCTCCTGCATCCCCCTCCCCCCGCCATGTCCTTGTCACTCTGGGTGACCGTCTGTTTCCTGGTCTGAGGGAGTTCCGCACCCACTCCAGGATCACTCATCTCTAGGAAACTGCAGCCTCCGTCCCAGGCTTGGGGGGTGGGGAGGGCTGGCCTGGGTTCGAATGATGGCATTCATACTTAATCCATTGATTTCCCCCTTCTCGAACTGAGCCTCAGTTTCCCCAGCTTTGTCTAAAGGATTAAGTGGAATCAGGGTGTTATGTCCAGTACAGGGCATTCCTGCCTCTCTTCAACCCTCAAAGTGAAGACCGGGATTCAGCTGCAATGCTCTTCTCAAACTCCAGCTCCTTGGTGACTGTTCTGGGGTTAGCTCTGGTTCTGGGGTCTCCAGAGGCTCAGGAGGCAGCCCAGGGAGGTGACCGTAAGGCACAGACAGACTGAGAGAAACCCAGACACACGAGAAGCTGAGAAGCAGGGACCGATGGAGGGGGCCCGAGAAACACATCCCTCCCGCCACCACCCTCCTTCCAGCCCCCTCCATCAGCACGTCTCTCTCCCTCTCCTGACTTCGCACTGATGTATTTTGAGAAACTCGTGAAAGGAGGCGAGAAAAAGGGTGGGGAGGGCCTGGAAGATTGGGAAAAGAAGGGGTGAGGTTATCTCAGCTCCCCCTCCCCCCACTGCACCACCCTCCCCTCCTGCCCCCTCCCTTCTGTCCAGCCTTATTCCCATCTCTCCAGGTACTAGAGGGTGGGGGAACTTTGGAGCTAGGAGGTGATCTGCAGCAAGCAGGACCGGTGTTCAGTCTTAGAGAAGGACTTGCATGGCCTAGAGAGATGCATTGAGGGTCAACTAAAGATGGGGTCAAGGCCAAGGGGACAGGGTCCAAGGGAATGGCAGCAGGGGCTTGGTGCTGATGAGGCCATCTCCTCCCCGCGCTGTGGCCAGATATTTTTAGGCTTCTCCGCAGCTGAGTAATTTCTCTGACTTGGAGCCAGGGCTGGGGTTGGGGGTGAGAGATTGGGGGGAGGTGTCCAGCAGACTGCCCTGGGGACACCCAGGTCACTGGGGTCATCTCCCTGGATGAAAAGAAGTCCTTCTTAGCTCTAGCCTATATCCTTCTGGAAGTCCACCCTACCCCAGGGCCTAATTTTGAGGCTGCAACTTCTTTCTCCCCCAGAGACCCAGGATGCCCTGGCTTCTCCCAGCTTAGCTCTCCCCAAGGACAAGGACCAATGGGCCCCAATCCGCTTTAGCTTCAGATTAAACTCTGAGAGATGGAAACTGAAAAAGACACAGGGAGATGGTGACACCCAGCGCAGAGGATAAAAACCCAGAGAGAGGGAGACAGAGACCCAAAAGGAGAGGGTCAGAGACCCAGAGAGAGGGGAGCAGAGACCCAGAGAGGAGGGTTGATAGAGATCTGAGACCAGTGGCCAGAGACTCTCAGATAAAGGGGAATAGAGAGACCCAGAGAGGGGGCAAGATTCCGAGAAAGGAGGCAGAGTGAAAATAAGTGAACAGAGACCCAAAAGTGGGGAAGGGGGTCAGAGATCCAAAGAGAAGGAAATAGGCAGCCCCAGGGGAAAGGGAGATTCAGGGGTGGGGTGGGACACGGAAAAATGAATGAGATGATGGATGAGACTGGATCAGGGAGAGCGGACCGTCGGAGGATGGAGAGAATAGAACAGATGAGTGGAAGCCCATCCACGGGTATCGCCTCTCCATCCGTCCGTCTCGGCCCAGGTGGGGATGTGCGTCCTCCTCGGCCCCTCACCGGCTTGTTCCCCACCCAGGACCCTCACCACGCTCACCGGTGCAGCCTCCCGAGGGCGCGACCCGCTAGCTTCCGAAACTCCTCCTGACGGAACTCCATGGTGGCTGCCCCTGCCGCCGGTCCCCCCGCCGATCCCCCCGCCCGCGGGCCCGGGCGGCCGCGTCCGGGTTCCCGGGGTCCGCCCCGGCCCGGCCGGCCCCGCAGCTCCGCTCGGGGGGGAAGGAGGCTGCGTGTGCCGGCTGCCTAGGGGATGTCAGTGGACTCGGCGTCGGGGGCGGGGCAGGCGGCGACAATGCCCCGCCCATCCTCGATAAACCACGCCTCTTGCCATTTGGGCCCGCCCCCTTCCGCCGCCCTCCTGCTCCTTGCGGTTCCTGCCCCTTCTGCTCCAAGACCACGCCTCTGGGGTCTGAACTCACTCCTCTGAGTTGCGTCGCCCCAATTCTATCCCTTCCTGAAGTTACCCCTCCTCCGTTCCATCCCCACCCCCACCCCCCAGCTCCTTCTATCTCTCTTCTCTCCTCCCGAGTTCTCTTGCTCACCTGAGGTTTCCCTCTCCTTTTTAGTTCGCCCTAATTTCGTCCTGGCGCTTTCGCCCCCTACGGTTCCGTCTTCTGCGTTTCATCCTCCAGCCCCATCCCCTCGAGTTCCATTGTCCTCTAGTTCCACATCCCGCCCCCCGAATTCCACCCCCACCCCTGCCTCGTCCTCAGCTCCAACTTCCTCATTCAGAGGGTGTTTTCTCATTCAGACAATTTTTTCCCCCTGAATTCCAGCCCCCGATCTCGATCCACCCATTGTCCTCTCTTGTTCTTCCCCCAACCCGTTTCTTGCCTCTGGACTTCCATCCACCTGTTTCCCTCTTTCCTCTTTAAAATTCTACCCCCTTCCAGCTCTCTTTCCCCTCGGGGCGCACATCCCTCCTGGCTCCTTCACCCTCTGTTTCCTTCCCCTGACAGTTATATGCCAGTCCCCAGTTGCGACCCCGATAATTCCCTCCCAGCCTGCAATCTACTCCGCCCTTTGAGTTCTGTCCCCACTCCCTCGAGTTCTCTACCCGCCACCTGAGTTCGGTCCTCTCCCCGGAGATCTGTCCCTGCCCTAATTTTTGCCCCCTTCCCCTGTAATCTGTCTGTCTGAGTTCTGTCCCCACCCACACCCGGAGTTCTTTCTCCGCCCCCCGAATTGTGTCCCCCTCCTGCTAGAACCTGTCTCCGCCCTCTTACTCCATCTCTGACTTCCAGCCCTGCCCCTTTGGGCTTGAACCGGACTATTTCGAGGTCCGCGGCCGGCCGGCGAATCCTGCCTCTGCTCCTTTCGCCAGACCAGCCCTTCTCCCCGACGCTGAGTCCGCTTCCAGATCCAAGCTCCGGGAGGGTGCTCCTGTCCTCCCCGCCTCCCTGAGTCGGGCCGCAAATGCATTTGGGATTAAATTTTCATGATGTGGCACAGGCCCTCAAGTGGGTTGGGAGGGAGCAGCCGGCGCGGCGGGCGGGCGCCACGGACCCGGGGGCCCGGCAGCCGCTGCCCACCGTGGCCTCTCGTCTCTCTCCTTGTCCCGTTGGGTCGCCGGGACCCACAGTTCTGCCTGTGTTTGAGAAACCCCCAGATCCTCGGTAAAGGGTGGGGGATTGGGGGCCGGGACCCCAGGATCTGAGGGAGGAGGGGATGGAGACCCGACTCCCGGCTCTGAAGGAGGAGTAGCTCGCGGAGCCGTCCACAGGCGCCACCTTGTGGCGGCAGAATCTTCGGCCCGGGTGCGGAGGCGGCGGCCGCGGCTCCGGGCCAGGTGTGAAGGTGGAGCAGATGGTGAAGAGGAGGGAGTGGGAGGGGGGCCCCGGCCGCTGCCAAATCCCGGGCCTGCGCCGGAACCATCACCATGGAGACCGAAGAAGGAGGAAAGGACCCAGCTCCACACTTTTTTGGGACCTGGGAAAGAGTTCTTAAGCCTCCCACAGAGGGGCCCCCCGTGCTAACTACAAGTCCCAGCGGCCGCTGGGCCTCACCCGTTGCTTCAGAAGAGCCGCGCTCCCCGAGGGCCGCTGGGAGTTGTAGTTTTCTGAGACAACAGGCTGAGGTTGCGAGGCGCCCTCTGGTGGACACTGGCGCCCACGTTCGCTTTTTCCTAAGTCCAACAGACCCTACCAGAGATCATCCCAGCTGCCTTACCACCTTCTCACCCTTTACTCCTGCCACCCTACCCAATTAACTCCATTCCAGCCTCGCTGGTCTCCCGACGTTTATCGCTGAGGCGCTTCCGTTTACTTATCCTCCCAGGACTCACTATGGAAGGAGAGAGTTAGCAATCATTCATTAACTCAACGTTCATTAAGTTCCTGCTAATTGTAAAGCATTACCGCACCAAAGCGCCAGAGCTACAACCAGATAACACTAGTACCAGACGTCGCCACTGCCAGAGGATTCTAACTCAGCCAGGGGAGATCAGAGAACGCTTGAAGTTGGAAAAGCTTCCCAGAGAAAATTCACTGAAAGGGAAGACTTGGGAGTGTCCATAGCAGACGAAGTGGTACTTGCAGAGTTGGGAAGTGGGACATAGTTAGGTGTGATGGTGACATGAAGCACCATTCTAGGAATGAGCAGTTTGTCAGGACGAGAGGTAGGAGAGGCTGGAGATGATGGCGTGCATCGGATCATTAATGGACATGGGTAAGGCACCCTGTGAGGGCAAGACATTTAGAAATCCTGGGCTTGGGGCGCCTGGGTGGCTCAGTCCGTTGAGCGTCCGATCTCAGTGGTTATGATCTCTTGGTTCCTGGTTCATGAGTTCGAGCCCTGCATTGGGCTCTGTGCTGGCATCTCGGAGCCTGGAGCCTGCTTTGGATTCTGTGTCTCCCTCTCTCTCTCTGCTCCTCCCCCACCCACGCTGTCTCTCTCTCTCTCTCTTTCTCAAAAATAAATAATAAACATTAACAAAATTTTTAATTTAAAATTAAAACAAAATCCATGGTTTTACTGGTGGGGACACTCTAAGTGGAGCTAGCAGCAGAAACTAAAGAGAGGTGCAAAACACAGGTGTGGGCGGGACTGTCCTGTGTGGTGGGCTAGAGACAGGAAGGACAGGGAGAAAATGAAGCGTCAGGGGTACCGCACATGGCCTGGAGCGCTAGGCTGCAGGAGGCTCTGGGATCTTCCCCTGGGACACTGGGGAGCCAAGGAAGACCCCTGAAGTGGAGACTGGAGGGTCACCTCCGGGACCCTGTGCGACACGACGGGAGAGGCTGGAGGCCAGGGAGAGGATCTGGTGGAGAGAGGCTGAGGACGCAGCTGGGACAGCGACTTCTCTGTGACTCCGGGACACAATCCAATGTCCCTTTTCCCTCCCACTCCCCGTGGATTCCTGGCCAGACACAGAACAAAGACAAACATCTTTTATTTCCATTTTAGAGAAGCCACCAGCCTCTTCTCTCCACTGAGGATCACGGAAAGAAACCAGGTCAAGGCACCGACAGGAGGGGCATGGCCACCATCAATTGCTGAGGAGAGACAGGAAACAGACGGAAGGTTCAGGACCAGGAGTCCAGCGCCGCCGCCCCTCCCCCCAGGGTCCCCGCTCCCCTGCAAACCTCCCTGCACCTCCCCAGGTACCTTTCTCTTCCGATGGAAGGCTGCCCTGCTCTCCTCAGAGTTGATCTGCAGGGGGATACAGGCATCCAGATGGTACAGCTGCTGGGGGCCCCCCAACACCAGGCGGTTCTCCCCAATCTCCAGCGACAGCCCCAGAGCTCCATCCTGGGAATACAGTGGAGTGAGCCCGCCCTTCCGTTCCCAGCAATGGGACAATAACAACATGGACCAGGAACAAAAGCCTGGTGTGTTGTTGTTGTTTTTAAATATGTTTACTTATTTTTGAGAGAGACAGCACGTGAGCGGGGTAGGGAGAGAGAGAGAGAGAGGGAGGGAGACAGAATCCGAAGCAGGGTGTGGGCTGTCAGGACAGAGCCCAGCTCACCCCCCACCTCACCCCCCGAGACCCTAACCTTCCAGACCTCATTCTCCCACTCTGGTCAAATGTACACTCACCAGTTTGGGGAGGTCAATTTCAGCCAAGAGGAGGTCAGGGGCTTCCAGCCAAAGGTTCAGGTGAGGCTTCTCAGGGCTGCAGAAGCACAGGACCCCAGACTGAGAAGAACCCACCAGGTCTCTCTCTGCCAGGGCTACTCTTTCCCTTTCTCCCTCCTACAAGCCCTGCAGCCTCGGGGAGCCTTCTCCGTGGGCATCCTGCTTCTCCCCCCTCGGGGTTCCCAGAGCCCCAGGACACCGCCTCCTATGGAGAGGAAGGATTGAGGGAGGGATTCCAAAAATCACTGGAGAGACACAAGAGAGAGAACCCATCGAAGGCCCACCCTGCCTCAGGTCTCGGGGGGTCGGAAGTGTACAGGTTTCCCAGCTCCTGGATCCGAGGACGCTGTTGGGAGCGGATATTTTGCTGGGAGATGGAGCCCAGGAAAGGTCGGTTCTTCAACATGCGCCACTCTGTAGGTACGAAGCTCAGGGTCAAGGGTGGCTCCAGAACGGGGCGGGCGGGCATGGGGGGTGCCCCTTGGCTTTCCTAGCAGGTCTTGCACACCCAAGAGCCTCGGAAAAGTCTCCACCCCTCCCAGGATGCCAGGGACCTGGCCACACCCCCAAGCTTGGCTTTAGGAAATCTGCCCACTTCAGCCCCACCCTTCTCTGGGTGCGGGGGCGGGATCTGTCCCCAGAGATGCTCCTGGCCCCGCCCTCTGGCTAGCCAGACCCCGCCCCTTACCTGCCTCCCATCTCCGCCCCCACCCCGACCTTGGGAAGCCGCGCCTTCTCCCTGTAACCTAACCCGCAGCCCAGGGACTAAAAAATTCCCTGCCCGCACTACCCCACCTTTTCCAAGGGCTGTCCCCAAGCTGCGCTGGCTCCCCGAGTCCCCGCTAGTCCAGGCCCTGCCCTTCACCTGGATTCAGCTGGAGACTGTATTTGTCCTCAAGGCCCTCCCTGGCGATGGTGACCACGAGCTCCCGCAAGAAATCGCTGTTCTAGGAGTGAGAGAGGGAGGGGTCGGGACGGAGGGAGAGGCCCCGGCCCAAGCCTCACCCGCAGCCCTGCCCCCAACCTGCATCCTCCGGTAGAAGTCGCTGTTCACCGCTACGTCGTAGGCGGTACAACCCTGGCCTTCTGTGGGGAGAGAAAGGGGGGTGAGACCCCCAGCCCTCCGTAGGAACCCCACCACCCAGATACCGACGAGGCAAAAACAATGAAGGACAGCGGCCGCATGAACCAGAGAGACCCAGACACAATTAGAAAGTGAGGGCTCAAGCCTGGCACTCGCCAGTCTGGGCTCATATCAGCCAGGTCTCTTCCCACCACATCCCAACGCTGACCCTGACCCTTCCCTGCTCATAGCCCTCCCATGGCTCCCCAGCGCCCCAGGTCCTTCCGCCTGGCGCTAGAGGCTCTGTGTGGTCAGCCGCTCCCACCTGAAGTGAACCTCACTTCCAATCTCTTCCAAATACTGACCAATCCAATTCAATCATTTCTTTCCAGCCTCTGGACTCCTTAGTCGCCTCTGCCTAGAACCCTCTTCTGTGTCTTGGCCTGATGCATTCCTCTGGTTCCTGGGCATCTTATATCTGCCACCTCCTCCTCCAGGAAGCCTTCCTTGATTCCTCAGTTTGGGTGAAGGGCCCCCCCCCCCCAACTCCAGAACAGCACAGATCACACCATAATGAAATCGCATGTCTTCTCTGCCCTCACTTAAGACTAGGAGTCTCTCAGGGCGCCTGGGTGGCTTAGTCAGTTAAGCGTCCGACTTTCGCTTAGGTCATGATCTCGCGGTTCGTGGGTTCGGGCCCCGCGTCGGTCTCTGTGCTGACTGCCAGCTCAGAGCCTGGAGCCTGTTTCAGTCTGTGACTCCCTCTCTCTCTGACCCTCCCCTGCTCACGCTGTCTCTCTCTCTCTCCTAGAAATAAATAAAACATTAAAAAAAATTTAAAAAAAAAAGACTAGGAGTCTCTCAAGGGCAAGTTCTAGGTTTGATCAGTCCCCACTCCCCAGGGCACTGCCCAAAGCCTGGTCCCAGGAGGCCTCAGGGGACAATACGTGGACTGAAAAGCGAGCACATAGAGATAGAAACTCAACAGAGACACGTGAGACAAGGCAGAGAGACAGGGACAGGGAAGAAGGGTGAAGGAGGAAGCAGAACAAGAGTGAGAGCTGGTCTGGCCAGCTAATGAGGACACCTGCCCAGCTCTCCCTGGGGTCGGGCAGGGAGAAGTGCCAGCCGGGCCAGGTGGGCAGAACCAGAACAGGACCACCCCATGCAGAAGGTGCTGGAGGCCCAGGAGCCTAGGTTTGTGTCACAGGAAGTAGGAGGCCAGATTTCTAGGTCCTGGAGGAGGAGGGTCTGGGCCCTGGATCTTGGCTCCTAGGGAAGAAAGGACCCAGGGAACTCGCTTCCTCGGTCCCCCGAGGGCACTGACTTGCATCCAGTTCAGCATGAGGCTCTCCCAGGCTCATGGGGATGCGAAAGCCGGCTTGGTCTTCCTCCAGCATTTGAAGCAGCTCGTCCTCGGTCACATCAGCCGGAGGAGGGATGGAAGGAGAGTGACAGATGTTGATGAACACCTTCCCTTCGGAGGAGTTGGTCTTTATGCAGAAACCTGGTGGAAATGGGATTGTCCTGGTTGCCTCTGTGCGTGTCTCTCCTTCCCTTGCGCTGTCCCTGCTTTGAGCCTCAGTCCTCTGCTTTCTGGGCCTGCTCCCCAACCCCTCTCTGATTCCCCTTCTATCTTTGAGTCTCTGTCCCCCTAGTCACCCCAGTCCTCCTCCTTCCCTCTTTCTTTAGCTCTTGGTCCTTACTCTGCTCTCTCTGAATCTGTCACTCCCGCCCTCCCTGCCAAAGACCTCTCTACCCCATTATTGTGCCTCTCTCCTGCCTCCTCTCTCTTCTGTCTCCCCTGCCCCCAGTCTCTGTCCACCTCTCTGAGACTCAATCCCTCTCTCTCTGCCTTTCTTACCAGGTTGAGGTTGGATCTGTGTGGAGTCTGGTCTGCTTGTCTGGGCTTGCTGGAGCTCTTGGGAGGCCTGTGTGAAGGGAAACACGGTCCAGGCATGGCGTCTGTGCTGTCGGACCCTCATTTGTTCTTCAAAAGTTTATGGAGATTTTTTTATGCATGTGACATGTGCGCAGAATAAGACATACTATGTCCCTCTCCTCCTCTGAGGACCCCTATGAACGAGCCCAACCTCACCTGCATTTCTTCCAGAGCCTAGCAAACTTGGTGCTAACCAACTACAATTCCACATAGTGCCGTCTGGGAAGGTAGTCCCATCTCTGAGCACCCGGGGGCGTACACACATATACACAGTATACACACAGGCGCGCATACCCAGAATACCCAGGGACCCAGGACCCAGAAGCCGGTCAGTCCGCACCTGCCGCAGTAGCTCCTCGAAACGCGCGGTCTCAGTGCCCATCTTCTCTGCCTCGCTTAGCTCGGGCACCAAGAGCTTCGAGTCCGCCATGGCCCTGGGGGAAAGACCTAGTCGTCCTCAGCAACCTCGACGCGGCCGGGAACCTTCGCCAGGATCCGACCTGTGGAGCCTGCTGCCAGACCCACAGCCGACCCGTGGCACCCACTCTTCCGTATGAAAGTCTAAGAATCTGTCCTGAGACTAGAATCCCACTCAGATTAGATAAGGTTGTCAAATCTGGGGAGCCAATATTCCCAGATGCTCTGTAGATCCTACGTGCCGTGTACACAGGCACGCTTCCACTCACTGCGTAACCAAGGGCTTCGGCAGACCACACTTCCGTCTGCTTCAGAAGCTCATTCACCAATCCTGCAACCTCATTAAGTTCTGACCAATCATAGCCTAAGGACGAAGCCACGCCTCTCACCTCAACCAATCAAAATTAAATCCCGAATTTAGCCTCTAAATGCCACACTTCCTGTGTCGATTAAAGCCGTATTTCTCTTTCCCAACCACATCTAGCCAAACTACGGGGCAGTCCCGACTGGCGCACTTTCAAAACCTTAATTTCAATGTCCATCCTGAAAGATTCCGTTCTGATCTCAACTATCGCTTCGTCCCAGAGCTAGATTCGAGTCTCTAGTAAATATACTTCGGACTAAACTTACTTTCTGTCCTCAATATAAAAAGGGTGGCGGAAAGGCACAAGACGGCCACTCTTCTAAATCTGGAGCACCCCTAACTACTTGCCAGGCACCTGCATTTCCGTTCCCCACCGCTCCCGTTTGGAGGATCGCGCCTGCTCCAAACTACATTTCCCAGCCGGGGCAAATGGGTGGGGTCACCGCGTCTAAGGTGGGGTTACGCTCTATCTTCCGTAGCCCCGCCCTTTGGGCTGGAGGGGGCGGTGTTGCCCTTCGACCTCAAGGCGCCTCTGGGCAGAGCGCCCCGCAGTCCTTTGTGGAAAGCGGTCCGGGCGAGTGATGGCCGCGACGCAGGCACAGCCCAGCACGAGAGAGATCTTCACCACGCTGGAGTACGGACCGGCGCCTGAGAGCCACGCATGCGCACTGGTGAGGGCCTGCCGTTCTGCGCTGCCCAGTCCCGGCCACCCCAGCCAGGCCTCCAGGACCCGTTGAGCGCGCGGACTCCCGTGATCCACCGCGGCAGTTCAGCAGCTCCGCCCTTCTCGGTCCCCGCGTTCTGGCCACCCCTTAGGACCCACCCTAGAAGGGCCTTCCCTTGAGCCTTTGCGGTTGCTGCCTCTTAACCCGTGACCCTCTTCCCTTGTTTGGTAGTAGCTCATCTACTCCCTGGTCTCTACTGGCGAGGGTGTTTCCCCGGTTCCTCAGAGGCCCCGGAGGGGCTCCCGTGATTCTTCACAACCCCCTCAGAACCTCCCGGGATCCCCCGGGACCCGGAATTACTGTGGGGCTCCCTTGATCTTCCAAGGACCCTCAGAAGCCCCATAGACTTCCCCAGAACATCCTGTGGTTCCCATGATCCTGCGTCCCACCCCTCACCCCCGCCTTCTCGTGGGGTTCGCGGGATTCCTCCCGACACCCCCCAATACTTGCGGGGCTCCAAAGATCTTGGAAGCTCAGAACAAAAGAATACATCAGATCTTGCTGTAATTAACCTGCAGCCCCTCAGAATACTCCCGTGGGGCTCGCATGACCCCTCACCCCACTCAGAACACCCCCGCAGGGCTCCCGTGATTCCTCAGGGCCTCTTTACACCCTCATGAGACTTCTGTGATCTCTCGGGGGTCCCCTCAGAGTTCCCTCGTGGGGGCTCTCGGGGTCGCGCAGGGTCTTCTAGCCCCCGGGCGTGAGGAGCTTGGGCTTCTTTTCAAGGAGAGAAGAGGAGGCTAGAGCAGTGGTCCAAGTGGAAGAAGGTGAGGTCAGAGCCAGTAGCCGGCTGTGGAAATGGAGAAGATGGATAGGAGGGGTGAGGCAGAGATTGAGGAGGAGCACTTTGCGGAGGTGAGAGGGCGAGGACAACGCCTGAGTCCAGCTCTGTCTCCTCCCTCCACCACCACCGCCAGGGATGGGCCCAGGAGGACTAGGATCGCAAGGAAAGACGCTGAGCTTGGCGACCGCAAGCTTGTGAGGGACCTGGGGACAGCCTTGGGTTCTGGGCAGGAATCAGATGTTACTTGGGCTTCGGCCTTCAGTACTGGAGACAGGGACCTGGGAGTCGGCACCGTAAGATCATTGAACGATGGGAGTGGTGCTCTGGGGCAGAGTTCAGACAATTCCCACACTTGAAGGTGGGCTCGAGATGGAATATACTGAAATAGCGATAATGTAGTCATAGCTCGTATTTCCTGGGTGCTTTCTACGTGCCAGCCTTTGGGCGCAGCGCGATCATGATCTCCTTTAGTTCCCAAAACAGCTGTGAGAGGGGGTGATTGGCATTATTTTAGTGACACACAGAGGCGTAAGAGGTGTAAGCAATTTGGCCTTGGTCAACACAGTTGAAAAGAGGTGAAGCTGAGATTTGAACCTGAGCCCGCGGATTCCGCAGCCCAGGGTTCCCCCACCGCCTCCCAGCCTTCCAACATGTGGGGCCAATTCATCCAACCAACTGTTTTCTTTGGCTGGAACTTTATTTTTGAAAATGTGAATTCGTGGTCAACTAATTCCATGGAAACATCCAGGATTCCAGCTTTTGAAAATAAAATCCCAAACTTTGGCAATGTTTGGATCACATCCCTGACAACAGTCATCTGGATCCGATAGTGACTGTCTTTTTTAGATAAGTCATGAGTCCCCAGCCTCCACCAGCATGACCCGCCACGACCCTGTAGACATTCTTTGAGGGATTTGTTTTTCTCTGGGGGGGAAAGTTTGCAAACTTCCACAGAGTGCTTGATACTATGAACTGCTATTTACTGCTGCTTCAGGAATCGTCACCATTTGGACCAGTGTTGTATTCATTTGTTTTTTCTCTTTTCTCTGGAATGATTGAAATCGCAGATGTCATGTTCTCTTCCCCTATGTTTGAATCCTCATTTTTAAAAATTTTTTTTAAATATTTTATTTATTTCTGAGAGAGAGAGAGGCAGCGTGAGCAGGGGAGGGTCAGAGAGAGAGGGAGACACAGAATCAGAAGCAGGCTCCAAGCTCTGAGCTGTCAGCACAGAGCCCGAGCCGGGGCTCGAACCCACCAACTGTGAGATCATGACCTGAGCCAAAGTCGGACGCTTAACCAACTGAGCCACCCAGGCGCCCCTGAATCCTCATTTCTAACCGATAAGGACTCATTTGGTAACATAACCACCTTGCCATTTTTCACCCTTCACATTAGCGGTCATTCTTTAATATTTTAATGTTTTTTTTTTTTAAATGTTTTATTTATTTCTAGGAGAGAGAGAGAGAGAGACAGCGTGAGCAGGGGAGGGTCAGAGAGAGAGGGAGATACAGACTCTGAAACAGGCTCCAGGCTCTGAGCTGGCAGTCAGCACAGAGCCCGACGCGGGGCTCGAACCCACAAACCGCGAGATCATGACCTGAGCGAAAGTCGGTCGCTTAACCGACTAAGCCACCCAGGCGCCCCTATTTTAATGTTTTTTAAGTAGGCTCCGTGTTCAACGTGGAGCTCGAACTCACACCCCTGAGATCAAGAGTCACACGCTCTACTGAGCAAGCCAGCCAGGCACGGCCCTAGGGATCATTCTTTAATATCCTCCAATGCCACGGTGCCTGGGTGGCTCAGTCTGTTACACGCCTGACTCCTGATTTTGGCTCAGGTCATGATCTCACGGTTTGTGGGTTCCAGCCCCGTGTCAGGCTTCCCACTCAGAACTCTCTCCTTCCCACTCTCTTCCCCTCCCCTACTTGTGCTCTCTCTCCCCCTCAAAATAAATACACATTTAAAAAAATATATTCAGGGGCACCTGGGTGGCTCAATCGGTTGGGCAGCCGACTTTAGCTCAGGGCATGATCTCACGGTTCGTGAGTTCAAGCCCCATGTTGGGCTCACTGCTATCAGCACAGAGCCCGCTTCAGATTTCCTATCCTCTGTCCCCCTCTCTCTCTGTCCCTCTGTCTCCTGCTCCTGCTCTCTCTCTCCAAAATACATAAACATTAAAAAAGAAGAAAAAGAAAAAAGACTGCAGACCACTCCAGAAAGCCTCAGTGCCCTGGCTTCCCATTGGGTATTTATGGCATGTCACCAGTTGTCCCATTCAGGAGCCATTGTTGCCTGGTGATACAGCTGAGTTGTCTCAGGTGTCCTGAGGAATAGAAAGTTCACCTGAGGTCATTTCTCCATGGAGAACGGGTTGTTTTGTTTTTGTTTTGCTTTTTAATGTTTATTTATATTTGAGAGAGAGAAGGGCAGGAGGAGACAGAATCCAAAGCCGGCTCCAGACTCTGAGCTGTCAGCACAGAGCCCAACGCAGGGCTCAAACCCACGAACTACGGGATTATGACTGGAGCCGAAGTCAGACGCTCAGCCAGCTGAGCCACCCAGAGGGCCTGAGAATGGGTTTTATTAAGCCATATTTTAAAGTCCGGAGGACAGCCCTCACATATGGCTGGTGAGAACGTAAAATGGCACAGCCACCATGGATAATAGTTTGGTGATTCCTTAATAAGCTATACAGAGGGTTGACTCAGCCATTCCACTCCTGGGTACCTCTGCCTCCAAGTGAAGGCAGGTGTTCAGACAAAAATGTGTACGGGAATCCGCCTTACCAGCACCATTCATGGTAAGCAGAAGACTGAAACAAACTGAATGCGCATCAGCTGATGAGGGACAGATAGACACAGCGTAGCCAGTCCAGACAGTGGAATGTGTAGAGCCATAGAGAGGACTGAGGGCCTGACACATGCTACGACTTGGACTAGCCTCAAAACCACCATGCTGTGGGGGCTCAGTTGGTTAAGCATCCAACTTCGGCTCCGGTCACGATCTCGAGGTTCAAGAGTTCGAGCCCCGTGTCAGCTCTGCGCTAACGGCTCAGAGCCCGCTTCAGCTCCTCTGTCTTCCCTCTCTCTGCCCCTGCCCAGCTTATGCTTTCTCTCTCCCTCAAAAATAAGTAAACATTAAAAAAAAATTAAGACACAAACCACCATCTTGGATGAGAGAAGGCAGACCAAAAAGCTGCATGTTGTAGGCTTCCATTTACATGAAATACGCAGAGTAGGCGAATCCACAGGAAAGAAAGCAGATTAGCGGTTGCCAGGTGCTGGGGCCATGAGGAAGAGAGAGTGCCTGTCTAATGGGTACACAGTTTCGTTTTGGGGGTATGAGAATGTTCTGAAACTAGATCGTGATGCTTGCACAACATTGCAAACATACCAAATACCACTGAATTGTATACTTTACAATGGTTAAACATGGTGAGTTTTCTATTACATGGGTTTTTTTTTTAAATGTTTATTTATTTTTGAGAGAGAGAGAGAGAGGGAGATACAGAATCGGAAGCAGGCCCAGGCTCCAAGCTGTCAGCACAGAGTCCAACGTGGGGCTCAAACTCACAAACCATGAGATTGTGACTCGAGCCGAAGTGGACACTCCACTAACCGAGCCACCCAGGCACCCCATGTATTTTACATTTATGTGCCTTTCCCTGCCACACAGGCAAAGAATTAGCATGTGGGGCAAAGGGAGGCAAGTGTCCCCCTCCCAGAGAATTCTAGGTAGGGACCGACCTCCGCCAGCTGCCTCCCAGACCTTGTTCCAAACTATCTTTGCCTCCCCCAGGCCTGGCTGGACACCCAAGACCGGCACTTGGGTCACTATGTAAATGGAAAGTGGTTAAAGCCGGAACACAGGAATTCGGTACCTTGCCAGGACCCCATCACAGGTATGAAGGGTCCCCCAGTTATCCCGGGAGGGAGAGGCATCCATATCTCCAGCTGTACCTACTGACAACACCCCATTCCCTTTGCTCAGGGCCCTGAAGGCAGGAAGTAGCCAGTGGGGGGAGAAGGCCAAGATTTCTGCCTCTTCCTGTTAACAGTCATCCTCATTATGGCTCCAAGTGCCTGTGTGTGCTTTTTTGAAGTCCCTGTCTGCCAACATCCCTTCCTTGATTATGGGAGGCAGCCAGAGCAATGGCCAATATGTTTATATTTTTTTAGTGTTTTATTTATTTTTGAGAGAGAGAGCGTGGGACCAGGGGAGGGGCACAGGGAGAGGGGGACAGAGGATCTGAAACGGGCTCTGCACGGACAGCGGCGAGCCCGGTGTGGGGCTCGAACCCACAAGCCGTGAGATCGTGTCCTGAGCTGAAGTCAGATGCTCAACCGACAGAGCTACCCAGGCGCCCCTAAGACCAAAATATTTATAACAGAGTGAGGCTGGGGCCCATCTCTACTGCCTTGGGGCACATCTGGGGTCCCTCCATTCATCTTCCCAGGAGAGAACGTGGCCAGTTGCCTCCAGGCACAGGCTGAGGATGTTGCAGCAGCCGTGGAGGCAGCAAGGACTGCGTGGGAGCACTGGAGCAGACTCCCCGGAGCCTCTCGGGCCCAGCACCTGACCAGGTGACGCAGTTGAGGTGTGGACCCTGGGAGGTGGGGAGGGACGTCATCCCCCAGCACCCGCTCGAGACCCTGGGAACACTATTTCCCGATGTCTCCATGTCTGGAGCAATTGATTGGGTAGCTAAGGCTCATATTCCCAGCATGCCTTTGAGCCTCTAGCTGCTAAAGCATCCACCCGCCAGGAGTAGAAATGTCAAATGGAGAAGCCGTTTCCCAGAATAGCCTCCGGGCTCTTTGCGGCTCCCTTTTCCCCGGCAATTCATTGGGGCTGCTGGAGCCTCAGCATCCATTTTCCATCATTCTCTTGGAGCAACTAGAGACCAACGTCCCATTTTCTAAAACGCCTTTGAGATAAAAGGTTACGTTTCCAATTTCCCAGCACCTTTGGGAGTTTCGAGTAAAGCAGCGAGAAATGTGTTTCTCGGACTACATTTCCCATAAATCTTTGGTGCTCTCCCTCTCTGGTAACTGGTGGCCGCGATCATGGGAATTGTAGTCCAGGTTCATAGGCGGTGTTTCGGGACTCTGCCCGACTGAGAGGCAGTGGGAAACGACCCTCCCCCTGGCTTTCTCTACAGGCTGGCCAAGACGATCCAGAAGCACCAGCGGCTGCTGTGGACCCTGGAGTCCCTGGTGACTGGGCGAGCCGTTCGAGAGGTTCGAGACAGGGATATCCCACTGGCCCAGCAGCTACTCCAATACCATGCAGTCCAGGCATACACCCAGGAGGAGGCGCTGGCAGGCTGGGAGCCCATGGGTAAGAAGCAGGAGTCCTGGTCCCCAGCCCCTTCCTCCCTCACCGACCAGCAGTGCCTGTCCCGATTCCCTGATTTACTTTTACAGGAGTGATTGGTCTCATCTTGTCCCCCATGTTCTCCTTCCTTGAGATGATGTGGAGGATCTGCCCTGCCCTGGCTGTGGGTAAGTGATGGGCCAGGTCTGACGCAGGAGGGGGCCGGGGACCTTGACTCCTGAGTCTGATGGAGGAGGGGGCCGGGACTCACGGGTCTAAGGGAAGAGGGGGCTGGGGGCCTTGACCCCTGGGTCTGAGGCAGGAGGGGGCTGGGGGGCTTGGACCCCTGAGTCTGAGGGAGGAGGGGCCTGGGGCTGGGACTCCAGGGTCTTTGAGCTGCCCGCCTCTCCCAGGCTGTACTGTGGTGGTGCTGGTGCCCACAGCCTCCCCGACACCCCTCCTCGTGGCCCAGCTGGCCGGGGAACTAGGCTCCTTCCCAGGAATCCTCAATGTGATCAGCGGCCCTGCCTTCCTGGGCCCCATCCTGGCCTCCCAGCCCGGAGTCCAGAAGGTGACCTTCTGTGGAGCCGTGGAGGTATCTGCGGGGTTAGGAGTGGGACACGGCGCGGGGGGGAGCCCAGAAGGTTCCTCCCTCAGCTGAATCCCGCTGGGGTCCTGCAGGAAGGACGTGCCCTTCGGCGGACCCTGGCGGGCCAAGGTGCCGAGCTGGGCCTGGCGCTGGGGGCCGAGTCGCTGGTGGTGCTGACGGAGGCGGCGGATGTGGACTCGGCCGTGGAGGGCGTCGTGGATGCCGCCTGGTCCGACCGCAGCGCGGTGAGGCCCGCGCACTCGTGTGCCCCCGAGTCCTGGGGATCGTGCGTGTCCGTCTCCAGCCCTCCAGGCCTCGAGTCTCCATTGATGATACCTCTCAGTGTTTCGTGTCTCAGATTCTCTCTCTGCACCACCGCGTGGGCGTGGCTCCCGCGCCCCGGGTTTCTGCGTTTCCACGTCCCGGGTCTCCGGTTTTTGCAAGGGGCTCATGTCTCTTGTTCTTTAAGATTCTCTTCATTTTTCTGAGTATCCGTGTCCCCAGTGTTCCAAGCTCTGTCTTCACTCTGAATCACCAACTTCTGTAGCTTCGCTTCCCACCGGGGTTTGGGGCCTCGGTGAGTCTGTGACCCCAGCCACTCCCCTTAACCCTCCTCTGCTCTGTGTCTCCCTGCCCCAAGTCTCCGCCCTCCATGGGGGCACGTCCCCCCAGTGGGAGCCCCGACTTTGCCTGCCCTGACGTCCCTTTTCCTCACAGGGGGGACTCAGGCTCCTCATCCAGGAGTCCGTGTGGGACGAGGCGATGAGGCGGCTCCAGGAGCGGATGACGCGGCTTCGGGGCGGTAGAGGGTTGGACGCGGCCGTGGACATGGGGGCTCGAGGCGCTGCCTCATGTGACGTGGCCTGCCGCTACGTGCGCGACGCCATGTGTCAGGGCGCAAAGGTGAGCAAGGCGCACAGACCCCGGGTGCCAGGCGAGGAGGGACCTGGAGACCCAACTCCCGGGGCTGAGGGAGGAGGGGTGGGGGCCCGGGCTCCCGGGGCTGAGGGAGGGGGGGCTGGGGGCGAACTTGTAGATCTTTTCTTTCCCCTCAGGTGTTCCAGGCTGGCGATGTTCCCAAAGTCAGTCCATTCTTCCCCCCAACTCTGGTCTCTGACCTGCCCCCAGCTTCCCCATGTACCCAGGCAGAGGTGAGCCCTTCAGGGCCTCGGAGACCCTCTTCCGTCCGGCCATCTGCTGCCACACGTGGGCAGCAGCGCCACACCTGCAGAGGCCCCTGGGGTGACCCTGTGGTCCGGGTCTGGGGACTGCTGACTGTTGTAGGCTGGTCCCCGACTGGGGGGGGGGGGGGGGGGGGGGGGGGGGGGGGGGGGGGGGGGGGGGGGATGGGCTGGCCAGCCCACCTGAGCTCCGCCGTCACCCCTTCCAGGTGCCCTGGCCTGTGGTCGTGGCCTCCCCGTTCCGCACAGCTAAGGAGGCCCTGGCCGTGGCCAACGGGACGCCCCGAGGAGGCAGTGCCAGCGTGTGGAGCGAGAGACTGGGGCAGGCCTTGGAGCTGGGCTACGGGTCAGTGGGCACCTGCAGGGGCACCGAAGGCAGTCTATTGGGGGGCGGGGGGGGGGCCGGTAGGCTCAAGCCTCTGTTCTTTCTCTCGGTCTCTGGGTCTCTGGGTCTCTCCCCACCCTGCCCCTCTGACCCCTTCCCCCCTGCAACTTTCTGTTCTCCGTGCTGACGTCCTCCTCTCCCCCAACAGGCTCCGGGTGGGCACGGTCTGGATCAATGCCCATGGCCTTGGGAACGCGGAAGTGCCCGCAGGCGGCTGCAAGGAGAGCGGGTCTTCCTGGCACGGGGGCCCGGATGTGAGTACCCTCCTCCTGCCGCCCGTCGGCACCCCCTTCAACCGCCCAGCGCCCGCCCTGCGTCCTTGTGACCCTGTTCCCCTCTCGCAGGGGCTGTATGAGTATCTGCAGCCCTCGGGGACCCCTGCCCGGCTGCCTCGCCTTTCTGAGAGCCTGAACTATGACACCTTTGGCCTTGTGGTCACCCCGGCCCTACCATCTGGGCCTGAAATAGGACCCAGGTGAGCGGTTCCGGGGGGGCTGCGACTCCCAGAATCCCTGGGGGCACGGAAGGGGCGGGGAAGGGAAGTTGTGGCAGGCTCCCCATGGCCTGGAGGAGGGGTTCACTGGAGCCACCTTCAGGGGGTCCCCGAGTCTTGCCCAGAATTGCATTCTCAGTCTTGTGGCTTCACACCCACCCCCTCACCCCGTGCCTGATGGGAGCCTCAGTTCTGCTAAACGAATGCGTGCCCTCCCAGAGGTTCAGCGGGCAGAGCATGGGGTCCGAGTAGACCTCACCCACCCACCCACCGCCGCCCCCTCACCCCGCTCCAGCCCAGCGGCCCCCTTTGGGCTCTTCATCGGGGGCCGTTTCCAAGCTCCCGGGGCCCGGAGCTCCAGACCCGTCCAGGACTCGCAAGGCGGCCTCCATGGCTATGTGGCCGAGGGCGGAGCCAAGGATATCCGAGGTGCCGTGGAGGCTGCTCACCAGGCCGCCCCCAGGTAAGGGGGGTCCCGTGGGAAAGCCCAGAGCTCGCAGGGCATGAGAGGAGGGTAGTCTGAGGCCCCCAAGAGCTGGGGGGTCCTGAGCCCGAGCTCCCAAAGCTGACAGGATCTGGGTCACACCCCTCCCCGTGCAGACGGGCCGTGGGGTCTGGAGCCCCATGGTGGGGGCTGCGGACAGAGTGGGGGCACCTGGAAAGGACCAGGAGCAGGAAGCCTCCCATACCCTGCCCCGCGCCCCCACAGCTGGGTGAGCCAGCCACCGGCGGCCCGGGCGGCTGTGCTGTGGGCCCTGGCAGCTGCCCTGGAGCGCCGGGAGCCTGCCCTCGCCTCGAGGCTGGAGAGGCACGGAGTGGAGGTCAAGGCCGCCAAGGTGGAGGTGGAGCTGAGCGTGCGGCGGCTTCGGGCCTGGGGGGCCCGCGCGCAGGCCCAAGGCCACGTCTTGCAGGTGAGAGGGTTCTGGGGGCTGACAGACGGGGGGGCAATCTGCAGTAGAGTTTAGAGCAAGGACTTTGGGGTGAGCCCAGCTGCGCAGCCTCCCAGCTACACGATCACCAGCAAGTGGCCTTCCCTCTCTGCACCTTGATTTCCTCATCTGTGTGATGGGCATATGGTCTGCATCATAGAGTAGCACCTCAGATGGTTGTTAGGAACCCATTTCTGGACCGGAAAATCAATTTGGTGATTGATTTTTTTTTTTTTTGGAAAGAGAGAGAGCAGGGGATGGGGCAGAGAGAGAGAGAGAGAGAGAGAATCTGAAGCAGGCTACACGCTCAGCACAGAGCCCAACACAGGGCTCGATCCCCCGACCCTGGGATCATGACCTGAACTGAAGTCAAAAGTCAGACGCTCAACTGACTGAGCCACCCAGGTGCCCCACCATGATTTTTTTTTTTTTAACAGAACAGAACAGGAAATATAGAGCCCCTTGCACAGAGTGTTGCTTGGTGTGACTTTGGTTTCGTTTGTATACACAACAGGCAACTAAATACAGATTCTGGGTTGATATGAAACATATAGTGGGTCTGTGAAGACAGGTTGAGGAGGGGCGCCTGGGTGGCCTTGCCGGTTGAGCCTCCGGCATCAGCTCAGGTCATGATCTCACAGTTCTGAGTTCAAGCCCCACATCAGGCTCTCTGCTGTCAGTGCAGAGCCTGCTTGGAATTCTCTGTCCCCACCCAGTCCCCCTCTACCTCTCTCTCTCTCTCAAAAATAAATTAAAAAAACAAAACAAAAAGAGTCAGACGCTTAACCAACTGAGCCATCCAGGTGCCCCAGAGCATATGACTCTTTGATCTTGGGGTCGTGGGTTCAAGCCCCACATTGGGCATAGAGTTTACTTTAAAAAAAAAAAAAAAAAAAGGAGAAGAAGAAGGATACTGGAAAGATAGCAAGTCATTGGACCTGGGTCTCCCTCTGGTGCCCTGTAAACAATACGCAACCGTATGGACCTTACAGAGTTGTTGTAAAGACTAAGTGAATTAAACGCTCACAGCCAGACAGGGCAAGGGCTCCAAACGTGTTTGCTTATGGAGAGGGGACAAGCACACAAAAAGGTGGCCATTGTTATCGGTCACTGGAGAAGCACAAATCCAGACCGCGAGGAGATATCATTATGCACTTAGCAGAATGGCTGCGGATCAAAAGGCTGATCGTACCAAGTGCTGGTGAGGATGTTGGGGGGGGACCCCGGAACTCGTGCACTTTGCTGGGAGGAATCGTTTTGGAAAACAGTGTGGGGGTTTCTTAAAAGTTGAAATCTATTCTTAACATATAAGGCGGCAGTGATTCCTAAGGTTTTTTTAACCTCGACAAATTAAAGATTCTTTTATTTTTTTTTTAACATTTATTCATTTTTGAGAGACAGAATGTGAGTGAGTGAGGGGCAGAGAGAGAGGGAGACATAGAATTCAAGGCAGGCTCCAGGCTCTGAGCTGTAAGCACAGAGCCCAACGTAGAGCTCGAACTCACGAACCGTGAGATCATGACCTGAGCCGAAGTGGGACACTTAACTGACTGAGCCACCCAGGGAGCCCCAATTCCTATGTTTCAATACAAGACAAATGAAGCTGGTATTCATATAAGGGACTTACACCCCAAATATTGTAGCAGTATCATTCGTGGCAACTAAAAACTGGAAGCAATCTAGGGGGCACCTGGCTGTCTCAGTCAGCTAAGCAAGCAACTCTTTTTTTTTTTTTTTTTTTTTTATGTTTTATTTATTTCTGAGAGAGAGAGAGACAGCGTGAGCAGGGGAGGGTCAGAGAGAGAGGGAGACACAGAATCTGAAACAGGCTCCAGGCTCTGAGGTAGTTGTCAGAGCCCAACACGGGGCTCGAACCCACGAACCAGGAGATCGTGAACTGAGTCGGACGCTTAACCGACTGAGCCACCCAGGCGCCAGCTCTTGATCTCAGAGGTCGTGAGTTTGAACCCCACATTGGACATAGAGCTGACTTAAAAAATAATTAATTAGGGGCGCCTGGGTGGCTCAGTTGGTTGAGCATCCAACTTCGGCTCAGGTCATGATCTCCCAGTTCGTGGGTTTGAGCCCTGCGTCCGGCTCTGTGCTGACAGCTCGGAGCCTGGAGCCTCCTAAGGATTCTGTGTCTCCCTCTGTCTGTGCCCCTCCCCCACTCACGCTCTGTCTCTCTGTCCTTCAAAAATAAATTAAAACTTAAAAAATTTTTTAAATAATTAAATAAATAAAAATAGGGAGCAATCCCAATCTCCCTGGATTGGTTAATAAATAAACAAAGTGTGGTAGGTCCCTACAATGGAATCCTATAGCATTCAGGAGCAAACATGCTACACTGGGTGAATCTCAAAGTTACGACGCTAAGTGAAAGAAGCCAGATTGAGAAAAAAAAAAATAGTACAGGCTCTATAATTGCATATCTAGAAAATTCTAGAAAATACAAATTATAAGGGTGCCTGGGTGATTCAGTCAGTTAAGCATCTGACTCTTAGTTTCGGCTCAGGTCATAATCTCACAGTTTCATGAGTTCAAGCCCCACGTCGGGCTCTATGCTGGTGGCATGGTGCCTGATTGGGATTCTCTCCCTCTCTCTCTGCCCCTCTCCCACTCACACTCTCTCACAAAATAAATCAGTTTTTTAAAAAAATACTATAGTTAGAGGAAGTGGATCAGTGGTTAAGGACAGAGAGGGTTCAAATGGAGGCAGGAGGGAAAGATCACTAAGGGCCACAAGGAGATATGAAAGATGAAGTTCATTACCTTGATTATGGTGCTGGTTTTATGAGTACATACGAATCTCAGAACTTATCAACTTGGGGCACCTGGCTAGCTCGGTCATTAGAGCATGCGACTCTTCATCTCAGGGTCATAAGTTCAAGCCCACGTTGGGCATAGAACTTAATTTAAAAAAGGAAAAAATTATCAAATTGCACCCTTTCAAAATGGATGCAGTTTAGTGATTGTCAATTATACTCAATGAAATTTTTTTTAATCACACACACACACACAGAAACAAACCATGGGCCAGGTTTCAAGCCCTCTACACACATTGACTTTTTTCATTTTAGAAATAAATATCTGAGATCAGCACTATTAGCCTCATTTGATAGATGGAAAACTGAGGCCCAGAGAGGTTAAGTAACTCCCCAAAGGTGACACAGCTGGTAAGCAGCAGAGCTGGGACTTGAACCCAGCTGTCTGGCTCGAGTCTGCCCTGAACCATCACCTGGTTAATTATTATTGGAGTTGTTATAGGGAAGCACAGTTAGGTAGAGGAGGAAAGGGGCAGACGATGAGGCTCTTCAACCCAGCCCTTGACCTCCGGCCTGGCCCTGCAGGTGGCCGAGCTGAGAGGCCCCGTGCTCCGGCTGCGGGAGCCTCTGGGCGTGCTGGCTATTGTGTGCCCTGATGAGTGGCCCCTGCTGGCCTTCGTGTCCCTGCTGGCTGCCGCCCTGGCCCATGGCAACACCGTGGTCTTGGTGCCGAGCGGGGCCTGTCCCATCCCCGCCTTGGACATCTGCCAGGTACGTAGCCCGCCTTCCCGCCGCGCCTCCCAGCAGCCCCTAGGGCAGCAGCAAGATGGAAGGTGTCCTGAAGCCCGCACTAGCTCCACCCCCTTGTGACCATGGCAACCCCAGTCCCTCCTCCCCGCCACCACCAATCTAAGCCGCCCTGCTCAGGGACCCAGTGACCATTCTGTCCAGGCCCCGAGCTCCCACCCCCAGCTGGGGTCCCATGAGCTCTCCCCGGAAGCTCGCTCCTCACCCAGCTATTGCCTTCGGGGTCTCTGACTCCCTTCCCTCCGACCCTCTCTCCCACCCCCTAGGATATGGCTGCCTTGTTGCCAGCAGGCCTGGTGAATGTGGTGACCGGAGACCGGGACCACCTGACGCGCTGCCTGGCCTTGCACCAGGACGTCCAGGCCCTGTGGTATTTCGGATCTGCCCAGGTACCCTTTATTTTGCCATCTCGCCAGCGTCCTAGACCTCACCAACAGGCTCCTCTTTTTCTGGTAACCTGGCAGTGCCCCCCTTAGAACTCGTTGCCAAGGAGGAGAAACTCCTTGGCAACCGGGTCCTGAGATCCCGCCTTTCCGAGCACTGGTTGCTAAGGGAGAGGATCTCCTTAGCATTGCAACAAGGGCCTGAGATCCTGCCCAGCCCAAAGGCCCAATCTCATTGGACGACCCGTTGCTAAGGACCACGCCCTAGTAACAGAATCAGAAGCCCCCAGTGTTCCACCCTCAGACCTGGAGGTGACGGAGGGGAACCCCTTGTCATTAAGAGCCCCAGTCCTCATTTCTGTGAATGTGGGCTGTTAATGGGGAGGAAATTCCCCAGCCGCAAAGGTCAGGTTGTCTCCCACAGGGTCTGCCTGCTACAGGCTGAGCATTGTGGCAGCAGAGCCTAGGGCAAGCCTTCTGGCCCCTCCGCAAAGGTCAATGTTGTCTCCCTCAGCATCTGGAAGGTCGGCCTGCTACAGGCTGATCATTGTAACAACAGAGCCTAGGCCAAGCCTTGGGGGCCCCTCCCAGTAATCATGCCGGTTGCCAAGGAAGCAGCTGCTTGGCAACCAAGCTGGTGGCAGTGCTGATCCCCCTTTTCTGTGCCAGGGCTCCCAGTTTGTGGAGTGGGCCTCAGCAGGAAACCTGAAGCCGGTGTGGGTGAACAGGGGGCACCCTCGGGCCTGGGAGCAGGAGGCCCAGGGAGCAGGCCCAGAGCTGGGGCTGCGGGCAGCACGGACCAAGGCCCTGTGGCTGCCGATGGGCGACTGATGCCTGAGTGTCCCCCCCCACACACACTCCGTCTTGGACAGAGGCGAGATGGACCCTGACAGACACCAGAAGCCTGGAACCTTCTTTTACATGGCCTCCAATAAACTCTGACCAACCTTGGCTGTGCCTCTCTGGGAAGGAAGTGGGGGAGTAGCGACTTCTGTTCTATTTGAGGCCTTTTGAATCCCGAGACTCAGCAGCCGGGTGGGCTGGCTCCAGTACAACACAGTATTTGTGAAACAGATAAAGGGAACTCTGAGAAGCCCCGGGCAGGCCCTCAGGGCCTCTTGTTTCCCCCTTGGTCTTCTCCATCCTTCAGCCTTTGCTCTTTGGCTCTCCCAGCCTCTGCATTGTTTCAGGACCCATAGTGCTCAGGTTCACAGTACAGCACAGGGGCTCTCCTGAATCCGGTCAAAATCCTGCTGTTACTTTCGCCAATTCCCCTGGTGTAAATGCTCCCACCACGTCAGATTCAAGCTCCTGATGACTGAACAACAGACTAACAGAATGCCTAAATTTAAAAAAAGTGCTTAATGGTTATTTTTGAGAGAGAGAGACAGAGCATGAGTGGGGAAGGGGCTGAGAGAGAGGGAGACCCAGAATCCGAAGCAGGCTCCAGGCTCGGAGCTGTCAGCACAGAGCCTGATGAGCGGTTCGAAACCACGAACCGTGAGATCACGCCCTGAGCCGGAAGTCAGACACTCAACTGACTGAGCCGCCCAGGCGCTCCCAGAATTCCTAAATTTTTAAGAGTCTGTTGCCATGAGCCAATCTAACAGTGGCATCACTGTTTTAGAGTTCTTTTTTTTTTTTTTTAAGGTTTTATTTTTAAGTAATTTCTGTACCCAATGAAGGGCTCAAACTTATAACCCGGAGATCCAGAGTCACATGTTCTGCCAACTGAGCCAGCCAGGCACTCTTAGAATTCTTTTTGATGCAAACCACTCATGCTAGCTTACAATGAAGGAATTTTCTAGAAGGCTGCAGAGACATCTTATAGAAAATAGAGCAAGACATGGGGTGCCTGGGTGGCTTAGTTGGTTGGGCGTCCGACTTTCGCTTAGGTCATGATCTCACGGTTCGTGGGTTCAAGCCCCGCGTCGGGCTCTGTGCTGACTGCCAGCTCGGAGCCTGGAGCCTGTTTCGGTCTGTGACTCCCTCTCTGACCCTCCCCTGCTCACGCTGTCTCTCTCTCTCTGTCTCCTAGAAATAAATAAACATTTAAAAAAAAAAAAAAAAAGAAAATAGAGCAAGACATGCATCTGAGGTGCCCCCGGTCTTGAGAACCCAGATGGAGCCAGGAACCAGGGCTGGTCCTTTCTCTGTGTGCACGTGATCTCTAGAATTTTTTTTTAAGTAATTTTTAATGTTTTGGTTTTTTTTTTAATTTGTTTTTGAGAGAGAGAGAGACAGCACGAGCAGGGGAGGGTCAGAGAGTGAGGGAGACACAGAATCTGAAGCAGACTCCAGTCTCTGAGCTAGCTGTAAAGCACAGAGCCCAATGTGGGGCTTGAACCCACGAACCGTGAAATCATGACCTGAGCCAAAGTCGGATGCTTAACCGACTGAGCCGCCCAAGTGCCCCTTTTTTAAGTAATTTCTACCCAATATGGGGCTTGAACTCATGACCCGGAGATCAAGAGTTGGATGTTCCACCAACTGAGCCAGCCAGGCGCCCCATCTCTGGGGTTTCCTATCCCTACCTGTCTGCTTCGATCAACTCCTCCAGCCATGTGACCTTAGGAAAGCTTTTTAACTCCTCTGAACCTGTTTCCTCATCTGTAAAATGGGACTAATAGTTCCAGCCGGACTGGTTAACTCGATGGGCTTACACGGCACATGCATAATGAGTGTTAGCTGTTAAATAGACGTCGGTTCTGTCATGAGGCAGATGAGAATAGGCAGCCTTCTGTCAGTGTCTGATTAAAGCTGAGCCAAATAATTCCCTCTCCTAGGATCTGGATGTTTGGGGAGACTTGGAGGAAAGTCCCTGGAAGGGTCTAGTTCCTGTCTGTGTTTTGACAGCTCCCTCCAGGATTGCGTTGGCTGCCTCAGTGTCCTCCTCATTTTTTTTTAATGTTATTTATTTCTAGGAGAGAGAGAGAGACAGCATGAGCAGGGGAGGGTCAGAGAGAGAGGGAGTCACAGACTGAAACAGGCTCCAGGCTCCGAGCTGGCAGTCAGCACAGAGCCCGATGCGGGGCTCGAACCCACGAACCGCGAGACCTTGACCTAAGTGAAAGTCGGACGCTTAACCGACTAAGCCACCCAGGCGCCCCTCAGTGTCCTCCTCATTAATCCTGTTGCTTTATCCAGCCAAAGGCAACTAAGGCTTGGTCGACATAACCCCAGCCCAGGGCCGTGGCAAGCCTCCGTGCCGCCACCAGGGGGAGGACATCTGATTGGCCGGTTTGGGTCAGGCTTCCACTTCTGGGCCAATCAGGTCTGCCCAGGGGGCGGAAGCTCCTAGTCCTCTCAGCCGTGCCCTGAGCGCCTACTCTGAGCTAGTCACTGTTCCAGGCGCTGGGGAGACGGCCAGAACCAGAGAACCTGGGCCTCAGGAGCTGGTGTTGTAGTGGGCGAGAGCTGTATTAGGCTCCTGTCGCTGCTGTAACAAAGTTTTAGTGGCTCAAGCACAAGTTTATGATCTTTTTTCATCATTATTATTATTTTTAATGTTTTATTTATTTTTGAGAGACGGCATGAGCAGGGGAGGGTCAGAGAGAGAAGGAGACACAGAATCTGAAGACAGGCTTGAGGCTCTGAGCTGTCAGCACAGAGCCCGACATGGGGCTCGAACCCACGAACCGTGAGATCATGATCTGAACCGAAGCCGGACCCTCAACCGACTGAGCCACCCAGGTGCCCCCACAAGTGTATGATCTTAACAGCCCTGGGTGTCGGAAGTCCGAAAATAGGTGTCACCGAGCTAAACTCAAGGTGTCAGCAGCGCCGCGTTCCTGTGGAGCGCAAGGGAATGATCGGTTTTCCCTGCCTTTTCCAGCCTCTAGAGGCACCTGCTTTCCTTGCACGTGACCCTCTGTAACTCTTCGTAGCCACTCAACCCGTGATCGTCTCCCCGCCTCAAGATAATTAAGTCCGATCTGCAAAGGCCCTTTGACCATGTGAGGTAACATTCACAGGTTCCGGTGGAGTTTGTCTTGTTTCTTAGTTTATTTATTTATGTTGAGAGAGAAGGAGAGAGAATCCCAAGCAGGTTCTGTGCTCACAGCGGGGCTTGAACCCACGAACCATGAGATCATGACCTGAGCCCAAATCGGACACAACCAACTGAGCCACCCAGGGGCCCCAGTTTATTTGAGAGACAGAGAGTGAGAGTACGATTGGGGGGGGGGGCGGTTCCCAAGTAGGCACTGCGCTGTCTGTGCGGAGCCCAACACGGGGCTCGATCTCACAAACTGAGATCGTGGCCTGAGACAAAACCAAGGGTCGGACTCTCAACCGAGTGAGCCACCCAGGCGCCCCTCCAGTAGACATCTTTGAGGGCCCTTCTGCCCACTGCAAGAGGAGACTCAAAATCAGTGAATAATCGAGAAAACATCTGGCTAACCCAGGCTAAACAGGAAGCAAGGCGGAGCGGGGAGGGAGGAGAGATGGATGGGATAATGGGGGTGGGGGGGTGAGGCTTTGCTGCAGTAATAACCCCCAAACCTCCGCAGTCGACAGCCACAAAGGTCGTGTCTTGCTCACACTAACCTGCCCATCATGGGGCGGCAGGGGCCCTCTGTTCATCAGAGCCACGCAGAGACCCGGGCTGGCTGTGGCCCGATCCCAACGTGGCTTCTGTCATTACAGATCCATTCCCTGACCCACTTAATCCTCATCCAGAAATGACACTGGGCACCTCCAGTCTCATTTGGCCAAACGGAGTCACGTGACTGTGGCTGCGCTCCACAGGGCGTGGTCCTGGCTGCAGGGGAGGGCCCCTGCGATATTTGCACAATTCTGCCAAGGCTGGGGTGGGCTGAGCACGAGATTCAGACAAGCACAGAGGTGGAAGGGACCTTAGATTTTCTCATTTACCTCCAGGTTGGAGTCGAAGAAATTGAGACTTACTGAGGATAAGGGGCTGGCCAGGCCAAGCTCCCACAGTGACCCGGCCAGAGCTAAAAGTGACCTGCGCCAGGCCTGATGCAATAAGTCATATCTCCCGAGTCCTCTTGGGTCCCTGGCCCTGGCAGGGTCACACCCAGCAACACAACAAGCTCCCAGCCTGTGCCCGGGAGACCCATAAGCTGTGCGACTATGGAGGGGACATGGGGCGGGGGGGTCAGGGCTGAGGATCTTATGAGAGTTTTGATGTGGGAGGATGGGGAGGAGATAAAGAAGAAGCTAGTGGCGTGCAGAAGGGCTAGAAATTTGTCCCGAGGGCAATAGGGAGCCACAGAAGGTGTGTGAGCAGAGGAAAGGTAGGTAGGCTCAGCTCTGGTTGGAAGACATAGATATAACCTAAGGTGACATGTGCTATAATATGAGAAGGAGCTCAGGGTACTCGGGGCACCCAGAGATGTCACCCTACCCAACCCAAGTGTGTGTGTGTGTGTGTGTGTGTGTGTGTGGTGAGGGTGAGGGATGGCGGCCATCATCTCAAGGAAGGTGCCATGTGCGATCAGGGCTTTTTTTTCCTCAGTTTTGTTGAGGCATTATTGACAATAATTACATATATTTTGGTGATACAACCTGATTTTTAAGTATATAAAACGTGATGATTTAATACACCTACACATTGTGAAATCGTTTCCATAATCAAGTTAACGAACACATCCATCCCCTCACAAAGTTACCTTTCTGTGTGCGATGAGAACACTTAAGATCCACTCTCTTAGCTCAGTCCAACTGGAAAATAAAAATTATTTTTTAAATGTTTATTTACTTTTGGGACAGAGACAGAATTCCAGCAGGGGAGGGGCAGAGAGAGGGGGAGACACAGAATCCGAAGCAGGCTCCAGGCTCTCAGCTGTCAGCACAGAGCCCGACACGGGGCTCGAACCCATGAACCATGAGATCATGATCTGAGCCGAAGTTGGATGCTGAACCAACTGAGCCCCCCAGGCGCTCCTGGAAAAAGAAAATTCTGATATATCCAAAAGCAAAACAAACTTCTCTCCTAGGAAATTTCAAATGTACAACACAGTATTGTTCACAGAGGCACCATGCTGTACATTAGATCCTCTGAACTTATTCATCTTAAAACTGAAACTTTGTACTTTTTTGACCAACATCTCCCCATTTCCACTACTTGTGCCCCCCGCCCTCCGTCCCTGGCAGCCACCATTCTACTTTCTGACTTTCTGAATTGACTTTTTTAGATTCCCTGTAGAAATGATACCATACACGATTTGTCTCTGTCTGGATGAATACGTAGCATAGTGCTCTCCAGGTTTATCTATGTTGTTTAACTGTGTTTGTAGCTGAACGATATATTTTTTAAAAATTTTTTAACGTTTATTTATTTTGAGAGAGAGAGTGCAAGTGAGGGAAGGGGCAGAGAGAGAGACACAGAATCCGAAGCAGGCTCCAGGCTCCGAGCTGTCAGCACAGAGCCCGACGCGGGGCTCGAACCCACAAACCTCAAGATTGTGGCCTGAGCCGAAGTTGGACACTTTAATTGACTGAGCCAGGTGCCCTGTAGTTGAATAGTATCCTATTGTGTACATATGTCACATTTTCTTCATTCATTCATCCATCAGTGGACACTTTGGTTGTATCTTGGCTATCGTGAATAAGGCTGCAGTGAATACGTGAGTGCAGACATCCCTCTGAGAGACTGATTTCATTTCCTTTGGAGAAATACCAGGGGCACCTCAGTGCCTCCGTCAAACTCTGTGCTGACAGCTTGGAGCCTGGAACCTGCTTTGGATTCTGCATCTCCCTCTCTCTCTGCCCTTCCGCTGCTCATGGTCTGTCTCTCTCTCAAAAATAAATAAACTTAAAAAAAAAAAAAAAAGAAAGAAATACCAGAAGTGGGATTGGTGCATCATATGGTAGTTTTATTATTTATTTATTTTGAGAGAGCACACGCAGGAGGGGCGGGGTGGGGGGTGTGGGAGAGAGAGAGAGAGAGAGAGAGAGAGAATCCCAAGCAGGCTCCACACTGTCAGCACAAAGCCCGACATGAGGCTCAAACTCACGAACCGTGAGATCATGACCTGAGTTGAAATCGAGAGTCAGACTGTTAAGCAACTGAGCCACCCAGGTGCCCCCTATTTTTTTTTTTTTTTTGAGAAAACTTCAGACCATTCCCACCAACAGTGCACAGGTTCCCTTTACTCCACACCCTCGCCAACACTTCTGTCTTTTTTTTTCAAATCTTTTAATGTTTTTTATTTATTTCTAGGGGAGAGAGAGAGACAGCGTGAGCAGGGGAGGGTCAGAGAGAGAGGGAGTCACAGACTCCGAAACAGGCTCCAGGCTCTGAGCTGGCAGTCAGCACAGAGCCCGATGCGGGGCTCGAACCCACGAACCGCGAGATCATGACCTAAGCGAAAGTCGGACGCTTAACCGACTAAGCCACCCAGGCGCTCCACCACACTTCTGTCTTTTTGAGGCTACCCATCCTAAGTGGCCTGGGGTGTGGTCTGGATTTGCATTTCCCTGGTGATTAGCAATTGCATTGAGTCTTCAAGGACAATGAGGACCTGATGAGGCTACAAAAAGGGTGGCTGATGGGGCGCCTGGGTCCTGTTTCAGTCTGTGACTCCCTCTCTCTCTGACCCTCCCCTGCTCACTCTTTCTCTCTCCTAGAAATAATAAATTAAAAAAAAAAATTTTTTTTTAAATGGTGACTGGAGAGCACCCCAAGCAGAAGGAATAGCGTGTGCAAAGGCCCAGAGGTGGGAAACAGCCCAGGGTCGGGGTGGAGGGACTGTTGTGGTTTGAATGGTGCCCCCAAAAAGATATGGCCTCCGTCCTCACCCCTGAAACCTATGAATGTGACCTTCTCTGGAAAAACAGTCCTTGCAGATATAATTAACTTAAGGATCTCGAGAAAACATCCTGAGTTGGGGCCCCTAGCATGGCTCAGTTGGGTAAGTGTCAGGCTTCGGCTTAGGTCATGATATCGAAGCCGTGGGTTCAAGCCCTGCACTGGGCTCTGCACTGAGAGTGCAGAACCGGCTTCGGATTCTCTCTTCTTCTCTCTTTGCCTCTCTCTCTCTTTCTCTCTCAAAATAAATAAACTTTTTAAAAAGTCATCCTGGGTTATCCAAGTGGGCCCAATATCTAATGACAAGGGTCCTTTTAAGAGACACCCAGAGGGGGACACTTCCAGAGAAGAAGTCCAGGTGAAGACAGAGGCCGAGACGGAGTCATGCAGATACGAGCCAAGGAAGCCCGGAGCTCCCAGGCTTGGGCCATACATCCAAGGTGGAGATGAGGCTGTGACCCGGGGGCCAGGGCTGAGCAGCAGCAGTGGCAGCAGGGAGGTCGTGGGCGCGGAGCCCGGGTGGGGGCGCCCTCGGTTGACTCCACCCGCACCCCTCACCTGGACGACCCCCCCCAGCCCCCTGCTGTCTCCCCTCTTCCTTCCCAGGTCTCCTTCCCTCTTGTCCAGCGCTCGGCCCTCCTCCTTCTGTCCCTTGTGCGCATCTCGGACCAGCCTTCCCTGTTCGAGGAGAGGATGAAGGCCTCAGGCTGGCCGCCTCCCCCCCGACCCCCCCTCCCCCGTGTGCTTCGGTTCTAGCTGGAGACCGCTCTCCATTTGTGTGTCCCACCCGGGACATCGACCCCACTCTCCGCCGGGGCGCGCGTGGGACGCCACCTGTCACCACCAGGTGGCGCCCGTTGCCTCAGCCAGATCCATCCCCGGCTCACTATCGCTCCCCAAAATTTCCTTTCGCTTTCGATCTCTGACTGTCACCCGGCCTGGCCCCTTCCACGCCCAGCTGGGGCAAGCCTGGTGCGTGAGGAGAAACGGACTCCGGGTCCCCGAGGGGCGGGGCTGGGGTCCCCCTCCTGGCTGAGGGAGGAGGGATGGGGGTCAGGTTCCTGGGTCCCTGGCCTGGGGAGGGTTCCGGGGACCGGACGTCGGGGTTCTTAGAAGGGGAGATGAGTTTTCACCGTAACTGGGGCTCATGCAGGAAGCCCGACGGAGTAGGAGGCGGAAACTTAGCCACATCAAGGAGCCAAGGGAGGGGTGGGGAGGCCAAGGGGCGGGTGAGGAAGGGGCTGGGGTGTGGGGGTCTGAGACTCCCTCTTCTGTCCCTTCCGAGATGTGGCCATAGGCATGAGGGGCCTCCGGCCGAGATGATAGTGCTGGCGCCAGCCTGGAGCCCAACTGTGCGTATACCTGGGGGCGAGTGGGGGAAGGCAGCGCAGTATCAAAATGGGCAGACCAGAGAGAGGAGCTGGACACAGGTGGGGGACCTGGACAGGGTGGGAGCGTGCACAGAGGAGGGGGACACGGGGCAGGGGAGAGGCTGACAAGGGTGGGGGACACGGACAGAGGAGGGGGACATGCAAAGAGGAAGGACACATGACATGGGCGGGGGACATGGACAGAAGAGGGGGACACGGACAGGGGTAGGGGACACGGACAGGGGTGAGGGACATGCAAAGAGGAAGGACATGTGGACAGGGGCAGGGGACATGGACGGAGCTGGGGGACATGGACGGGTGGGGGACATGCAAAGAGGAAGGACATGTGGACAGGGGTGGGGGACATGGACAGAGCTGGGGGACATGGACGGTGGGGGACATGCACAGAGGAGGGGGACAGGGCCACGGGTGGGGGACACGCAAAGAGGAAGGACACATGGACGGGGGCGGGGGACAGGGACGGGGTGGGGGACAGGGACAGGGGTACGGGAGAGATGGACAGGGGCGGGGGAAGAAATGGAGGTACGAACGGGGAAGGCAGGACCCGAGTGGAGGGGGACATGGGAGAGAGGGACAGAGAGGGGCAGGCAGGTGGACCGAGAGAGAAAGTCCGGGGCTGAGGTGAGCAGCCGCGGGGGCCGGCGCGGCGGGGAGATGGCGAGCGGGGGGCGGGCGGAGAGGAAGCCGGGCGGCTGCTCGGACACGGCCACGGCCACGGGGGCTCCGGGTGGGAGGGAAGGAGACCTGGGAAGGGAGAAAGAGGGGAGACGGAGAGAAGGGGGTGGGGGGTGCGGGTGCCCAGGGGAGGGGTGCGTGTGGAGCCAACAGAGGGCGCCCCCACCCCGTGCCGCGCCCGCAGACCTCCCTGCTGCTGCTGCTGCTGCTCAGCCCCGGCCTCCGAGGGACCCCCGACTGCTCCTTCAGCCACAGCCCCATCTCCTCCACCTTCAAGGTCACCATCCGAAAGCTGGTGAGGGCCCGGTCGCATCCTCTCCGGTGCGCCGTTCTGCGCCCCCCGGGGCTGAGTTCTTCCATCTAAGTGTCTCCTCTCTGGCTCCCTGTCCCCCTCTCTCTGTCCCTGTCCCCCTCTCTCGGGGTCTCCATAGTTCCGTTTTCTCCTGTCCTCAGCCAGGCCTGACCCTGTTTTCTCCCATAGTCTGATTACCTGCTTCAGGATTACCCGGTCACTGTCGCCTCCAACCTCCGGGAGGTGAGTCACAGAGGGGAGGCGCTGGGACGGGGCGGGGGGGGGGGGGGGGGGGGGGGGCTGCGAAGGAGAAACTCAGGAAGCACCACCCCTGGGGGTTGGGGGGGACCTCGCCAGTCAGCCCCCTCCTCCCCTGGGATGCAGGCCCCCAGGCCCCGGCCCCTCCCGCACCAGCCCCCAGCCTCCTCCGCCGGCGCGCCCCCCGAGCTTGGGTTTTCTCTTCCAGGACGAACTCTGTGGGGCCTTCTGGCGCCTGGTCCTGGCCCAGCGCTGGATGGGACGCCTCAAGGCTGTGGCTGGGTCCCAGATGCAGAGCCTGCTGGAGGCTGTCAACACCGAGATACACTTTGTCACCTTGTGTGCCTTTCAGGTTAGCCCTGAACTTGGGAGAGGCCAGGGGAGTGCGCCTTCCTAGGGCTTACTTAACGGGAGGTTTCTGTTGCCTAGCAACCCACAGAGGGTGGGGCTGGAACCCCCAAGCCCCGGGGTCGGGGGACACTGCTGAGAATAACACGTGTGTGGGCACTGAAGGATGGCGGGGGTCCCGGGCCCCCTGCACCAGCTCCGAGCTCGTTTCTCAGCCCGTGGCTGGGCGTTGCCAGGGGTTCTCGCCGAGAGCAACCGGAAGGAGGCGATCCAAACACCCTGGGGACCCAGATCTGACTGGGCCCTGCTTGCTGCGCGTCGCTAAGGACGCCTCCCCTTAGCAACCCCGGGGGCAGGGGGTCCAATCTTTCTCTGAGACCCTCACGGGGGGCCCCCGGTAGGCGTTGCCAGGCAGAGAAGGCCCTCGGCCTGAGCACACGGCGGAGGGCGATGCGGTGGTGACCTCTCCCTCCCCTGCCCCCAGCCCCTCCCCAGCTGTCTTCGATTCGTCCAGACCAACATCTCCCGCCTCCTGCAGGACACCGCCGAGCAGCTGGCGGCCTTGAAGCCCTGGATCACCCGCAGGAATTTCTCTGGGTGCCTGGAGCTACAGTGCCAGCCGGGTAAAGGCCCCCAGCGCCCCCCAGCCCCTCACCCCCTACCTCACCTCTCCTATCCTGCAGCGCCTCCCCCTTCCGCTCCCCAGACTCCGCCCTGCTCCCGTGGGCTGTGTGACCTCGGGCATGGTCCCCCAAGTTCATTCCTCTTACTGGGCCTCAGTTTACCCATCTCTGAGAAGGGAAAAATAATCCCTGCCTGTTTCTTTCTTTCTTTCTTTCTTTCTTTCTTTCTTTCTTTCTTTCTTTCTTTCTTTCTTTCTTTCTTTCTTTTTTAACTTTCATTTACTTCTTTTGAGAGAGAGAGAGAGCCGCGGGCAAGAGAGCACAAGCAGGGGAGGGACAGGGAGAGGGAGAGGAGAATCCCAAGCAGGCTCTTTGCTATCAGCGAGGAGCCCAATGCAGGGCTCGAACCCACACCCAGAAATAAATAGACTTTAAAAAAAAAATAAGTAATTATTTAGTGTGACATTTCGCATCCTTTTTGTCCCCTACTAAATCTTTAAGAACCAGTGTGTATTTTACACTGCTGGCACCTGCGAGTTCAGACTCGCCAGAGGAGGCGTGTCTACACCCCGAGGAGGTGGGGGACTCACCAGGTCTAAAGGATCAATGGGAAATCAGGAAGAGTATGGTGAGAGACTGTGCCCGTGGAAATGTGACTTCTTCAGCGTAGTGAGGTTTACTCTGTGGCCAAGTACATAATCCGTTCTGTAACTGACCCTGTTTTAGTAGGAAAAGGGGGGGAAATAGACTATTTCGCAGGATCCGAGTCGAATCTGTGTGTACGTACTTTCTCCCCACCTTACTGCAGTATTATTTGGAGGCTTTCTGTCCTTGTATCTGTTACTACATCTGTCAGGTCGTTTGGTTTTTATTCCTGCTTTTGTTTAGTAATCTCTATACCATACACGGGGCTGGAACCCGCGTCCCCAAGATCGGGAGTCGCGCGCTCCACCACTGAGCATGTAGGGTGCCCTTGAAAGAGAGAGTTAAAAACCACCTTTCTGGGCGCCTGGGTGGTTCAGTCAAGTAAGCAACAGACTTCAGCTCGGGTCATGATCTCACAGCTTGTGAGTTCGAGCCCTGCATGGGGCTCTGTGCTGACAGCTCAGAGCCTGGAGCCTGCTTTGGATTCTGTGTCTCCCTCTCTCTCTGCCCCTTCCCCGCTTGCGCTCTGTCTCTCCCTCTCAAGAATAAACATTAAAAAAAATTTTTTTTAAATGTTTTATTTATTTCTAGGGGAGAGAGAGAGAGAGAGAGAGAGACAGCGTGAGCAGGGGAGGGTCAGAGAGAGAGGGAGTCACAGACTGAAACAGGCTCCAGGCTCTGAGCTGGCAGTCAGCACAGAGCCCTACGCGGGGCTCGAACCCACGAACCGCGAGATCATGACCTAAGCGAAAGTCGGACGCTCAACCGACTAAGCCACCCAGGCGCCCCTAAAAAAATTTTTTAAACTACCTTCCATTCTAATTTTTTCAGTTTCTCCCCACACTTCCAACATTTTGCCATCTAAATTAAGCTTCATCTGTACTTACATTTAGGACTATTCATTCATTTGACCACGTTTTATGAACCATGTCCTTGGTGACGACACAGCCCGGAGCAAGACCAATTGCTTGCACATGTGGGACTGACGACTGACGTGCTAATTGAGGACAGAGACTAGAAACATGTAAGGAAATACTTAAACAGGAAAACATCTGAGTATAACGAGCCCTATGCAGGCAAATTACAACAGGGTGATGGAATCATGGTCTGAGGTGGTTGGCTGGAAAGTCACTGAAAGTTGAGAACACGAGAACAGCCAGTGCAAAGGCCCTGAGGCAGAAACCTGCCTATATGTTTAAGGAACAGTGAAGGGGTACGTGTGGCTGGAGCTCAGTGAGTGAAGGGAAGACAGAACGAGGTGAGCATTTACAGGGAACAAAGACTGGGAAGGATCTTGGACCGTTTTATTACCTGCCCTTTTGTCAATCTATCATTTGGTCAAACGTTTAATTTATGAAATTAAGCTATTATAATATCATTTAACAAGCACTAAGTAGTAGGTTCTGGCAATAAATAAGACAGATAAGGTTCATGTCAGGACTTCACAACCGATTGGAGGAAAAAGAGGAATAAACAAATCAATACATAAGCACTAGAAATATACTTGTCCAGGGGCTTCTGGGTGGTTCAGTCAGTTAAAAGTCTGACCTGGGCTCAGGTCATGATCTCACGGTTCATGAGTTCGAGCCCCGTGTTGGGCTCTGTGCTGACAGCTCAGAGCCTGGAGCCTGTTTCAGATTCTGTGTCTCCCTCTCTCTCTGCCCCTCCCCTGCTCTGCCCTTCTCTGGCCCAGCCCTTCTCCTCAGTCACCCAGCCTCCTCTTTGCCCGCAGACACCTCCACCCTGCTGCCCCCACTGAGCCCCAGGGCCCTGGAGGCCACAGCCCTGCCGGCCCCCCAGGCCCCTCTGCTGCTCCTCTTGCTGCTGCTGCTGCCCGTGGCTTTCTTGCTGATGTCCGCTGCCTGGTGCCTGCACTGGCGAAGGAGGAGACGGAGGACACCCTACCCTGGGGAGCAGGTGAGCCGGCAGAATGGACAGAGGGGATGGGGAGGTCTGAGGGGGTGACGCTGAGCCTGTGGAGGCCACAGGGCCTTGCACCTCCAGCCTCTGGGACTGCTGCCCCTGTGGCTCGCGGAGCGTTTGCTCATCTTGGTGAATCCTTCACGGAGCCCAGAACTCTGCTGAGTGCGTGCAGGGCCGGGACGGGGGTGGGGGGGGGTCGGTTTGCTCCGGATGAGGAAGACCACGCTGGGGCCGTGATGGGGGCAGACTGGAGGCTGGATGAGGGTCCCGGGAGAGAGAACAAGGCCTGAGTCAGGGCTCAAGGAGGACAGGGCTGGGGCACCTGGTGGCTCAGTCAGTTGTGCATCTGACTCTTGATCTCAGCTCACTCAGGTCTTGATCTCAGGGTCATGGGTTCGAGCCCCACATTGGGCTCCCCACTGGGCATGGAGCCTACTTAAAAAACAAAACAAACAAACAAAAAAAAGACAGGGCTGGTGGGGTGCCTGGCTGGCTCAGTCAGTGGAGGGTGCAACTCTTGATCTCCGGGTTGTGAGTTCGAGCCTCAGGTTGGGTGTAGAGATGACTTAAAAATAAAATGTTAAGAGGCACCTGGGGGGCTCAGTTGGTTAAATGTCCGACTTCAGCACAGGTCATGATCCCGCAGTTCGTGGGTTCGAGCCCCGCGTCGGGCTCTGTGCTGACAGCTCAGAGCCTGGAGCCTGCTTTGCATTCTGTGTCTCCCTCTCTTGCTCTGCCCCTCCCCCACTCATGCTCTCTTGAGTGCGCTCTCTCTCTCCACGTTAAATAAGTAAATAAACGTTAAAAAATAAAAAATAAATAATAAATAATCAAATCAAGTCTTTAAAAAAAGCACATCTTTAAAAAACAAAAAAGGGGCGCCTGGGTGGCTCAGTTGGTTTAGCGTCTGACTTCGGCTCAGGTCATGATCTCATGGTTCATGGGTTCGAGCCCCATGTTGGGCTCTGTGCTGATGGCTCAGAGCCTGCAGCCTGCTTCGGATCCTGTGTCTCCTCTCTCTGCCCCTCCCCCACTCATGCTCTGTCTCTCTCTCTCTCTCACAAAAATAAACACTAAAAAAATTAAACAAAACAAAACAAAGAACAGGACTAGAGATTGACAGGCTTGGGCAGGCGGCACAGAGGACCCTGGGCCCTGCCCAGTGGGGAATTTAGGGGATGAGAGAGATTAGGGAAAGAGACTAAGCTCAGTGGGGACCTGGGGGCGGGAGGGGCCCCAGGGGAGACATTTGGCGACTGGAGTCTGCGAGCCCGGAGACAGTGGCCTCCTGACGCAGGAGGAGGGGACCACCTTTGCACAGGCCTCCAGGTGTGAACAGGCTCTGGGTGTTCCGGTAACGTCGTCCAGCCTGCGGTGGGTGCGAACGTGGGTGTGAAAATCTAGGCCTCAGACACCAAGCCAGGGAGCCGGGGCTTCCCGTGCAGGGTAGCAGGGAGGGGGGGAGGTGAGTGATGGAAGAAAGAATGTGGAAACAGGCGTGAGGGCAGAGGGCAGGTGGGCCAGCAGGGAGAAAGGACGGGAAGACTTAGCGGGTTCCCGATGGGCCCAGAGAACTCTAAGAGGAAGCATTTTGCAGTAATTGTTCACGCGTACGATGCCTCGGTGGTACCAGCCTTATGCTGGCCCTGTCTACGAATTAACCTACTTAACTGAGAAGCTGGCCTTGTTATTATTCTGTCTCACAGAGGCTGAAACCAAGGCACAGAGACGTAAATAATTTGCCAAAAGTCACACAGCGTATGAGCGACAGAGCCAAGACGTGACTCCGAGCTCTCTGGGCATCTAAGCCTTTCCCTCTTCTGTCTCAGGTTCCTTATCTGTACAAAGGACTCTAAATCTTTCTCCCATAGAGTTGTCGGGGGGTAAGTGACAGACACACAGAGCCCTTACAGCAAGGCTGTCAAACAGAAACAGAACACAAGCCACACATGTCATTTAACACTTCTGATAGTTGGGGCACCTGGCTCTCTCAGTAGAGCATGAAACTCTTGATCTCAGGGTTGTGAGTTCAAGCCCCACATTGGGCATATAGATTACTTAAAAAAATAAAAACTTTCTTTAAAAAAATTTTTTTTTACATTTATTTTTAAGAGACAGAGAGAGACAGAGCACAAGTGAGGGAGGGGCAGGAAGAAGAGGAGACACAGAATCGGAAGCAGGCTCCAGGCTCCGAGCTGTCAGCACAGAGCCCGATGCCGGGCTCGAACTCACAAACCGTGCAATCGTATCCTGAGCAGAAGTCAGACACTTAACCAACTGAGCCACCCAGGCACCCCAATATAAACTTTCTAGTAGCCACATTTTTAAAATTTATTTTTTTTAGAGTTTATTCATTTTGAGAGGAGAGGGGAGAGGCAGAGAGAAAGGGAGAGAGAGAGAATCCCACGCAGGCTCTGTGCTGTCAGTGTGGAGTCCATGAAGGGCTCGATCTCACAAACCGTGGAATCATGACTTGAGCTAAGATCAAGAGTCAGATGCTTCACGGACGGTGCCACAGAGGTGCTCTGTAGGCACATGTTTTTAAGTAAAAAGACACAGGTAACCTTAATACATTTTATGTCACCCTGTGTATCCAAGATGTTGTCATTTCAACATGTAATCAATATTTTAAAAAATTATTGAGATAGTTTACTCATTTTTCAAAAAATGTTTATTTTTGAGAGAGAGACAGAGCATGAGTGGGGCAGGGACAGAGAGAGGAGAAGACACAGAATCGGAAGCAGGCTCCAGGCTCCGAGCTGACAGCGCAGAGCCCGATGTGGGGCTTGAACTCCTGAACTTTGAGATGATGGCCTGAGCCAAAGTTGGACCCTTAACAGAATGAGCCCTCCGGGCGCCCCAAGACAGTTTGCTCATTTTTTCACATCAAGTCTTCAGAATCCAGCGTGTATGTGCCACCCACAGAACATCTCCATTCACACATTAAATTTTTATTAGAAACGCTTCATCCGCAGGGCGCCTGGGTGGCGCAGTCGGTGAAGCGTCCGGTTTCAGCTCAGGTCATGATCTCACCGTTTGTGAGTTCGAGTCCCGCGTCCGGCTCTGTGCTGACAGCTCAGAGCCTGGAGCCTGCTTCTGATTCTGTGTCTCCCTCTCTCCCTGCCCCTCCTCTGCTCGTGCTCTGTCTCTCTCTCAAAAATAAATAAACGTAAAAATAAATAAAACACTTAAATAAAAACAATTTTAAAAAAGAAATGCGTCATCTATATTTAAAGTTCATGACATTCACATGGCAAATGTAGATTCACCTGCTCTGGTTGTTTGAAACATACAGAAGTTCTCCAATAACAATCAAGGATCAGTGTCTAAGTGTAATGAGTTTTCATTTGTGTATGGAAATTTTTATGACAGTTATTTTATTTTTGTGGGTTTTATTTTATTTTTGAGAGAGAGGGGCAGAGAGCACCAGTGGGGGAGGGGCAGAGGGAGAGAAGGGAGACAGAGGATCCCAAGCCAGCTCCGCACTGACAGCAGAGAGCCTGATGTGGGGCTCAAACCCAGGAGCCTCAACATCATGACTTGTGTGGAAGTTGGACGCTTACCCAACTGAGCCACCCAGGCGACCCTACAATTTTTTTAATGTTTTTTTTTTTTAATTTATTTCTGATAGAGAGAGAGAGAGACAGTGTGAGCAGGGGAGGGTCAGAGAGAGAGAGAGAGAGACAATCTGAAACAGGCTTCAGGCTCTGAGCTGTCAGCACAGAGCCCGACGCGGGGTTCGAACCCACCACTGTTAGATCATGACCTGAGCCGAAGTCGGACGCTCAACCGACTGAGCCACCCAGGAGCCCCTACAATTTTTTTTTAAAGGCCATCCTTTGAGAAGTTTTCCTCTTATCCTTGCTCCTGTCCGCTCTGCTTTCCTGCTCTCCTAAGAAACACACTATCCGTTTAAGTTTAAATTAGGTAAAATGTAACAGTCAGCTCCTCCGTTGCTTTGGACCATACATTTGGAGTACTCAGTATTCCCGCGTGGCTGCTTGGCTATGCTGGAGAGCTCAGATCCCACTGCCGTGGGAACCCTTTTTCTCTTGGACAGTGATGCCCTTACACATAGTGAGCGCTCATTGCCAATGGAATTATTTTCTTTTTCTATTAAAAAAATTAATGTTTATTTTTTTTTAATTTTTAAAAAATGTTTTATTTATTTCTGAGAGAGAGAGAAAGAGACAGACAGCATGAGCAGGGGAGGGTCAGAGAGAGGGAGACACAGAATCTGAAACAGGCTCCAGACTCTAAGCTGTCAGCACAGAACCCCACGCGGGGCTCGAACCCACAAACCGTGAGATCATGACCTGAGCCGAAGTTGGACGGTTAACCGACTGAGCCACCCAGGCGCCCCTTAATGCTTATTTTTTGAGAGAGAGAGAGAATACACGACAGAGTACAAGTGGGGGACGGGCAGAGAGAAAAGGAGACAGGATCCGAAGCAGGCTCCAGGCTCTGTCAGCACAGAGCCTGATGCGGGGCTGGAACTCACGAACCACAAGATCATGACCTGAGCCAAAGTCCGATGTTTAACCGACTGAGCCAGCCAGGTGCCCCGAATTATTTTCAGTACCGAGTGTGTGCAGAGCCCTGCGCTTGGTGCTCTCCTCACCTCTCTCCAAGGACCCCCAAACAGCCCAGGGAGACAGACACGTCGATCATCCCATTTTACAGAGGAAGACACTGAGGCCCAGAGCGAGGAGTCACCCGCCAGAGGACACAGAGCCAGGACTCGGAGAAAGTCAGCTAGAGACTGGTTCCTTCCTCGACCACGCCGCCCCGCTACCTCTCTCCCCAGGATGGAGGCAACGCCAGCCCCCAACGCCAGCGCCAGCGCCACCTATCCCCCTCTGTACAAAGTCCTTGTCCCCAGGAAATTGTATATAAATCATCCTTTTCTACCAGCTCCGGCCCCGCCTGTCTGTAGATGGGACACGGTGTGCACGGGGCAGTTTGGGTGTGCGTCTTGGTTTTTCGGTTACTGCAATGTTTCATTCAGTAGCGTTTTCTGAGGCCTCCTGGGGCTCAGAGCCAGTGCACCGCACTGCGGAGACCCAGATGGGAGTCAAAACCCGCCCAGCCCTCTCAGGGCTCCTGTCCTATGGGGGAGAAGACACGGGACCCCTCTGGGGTCGGTACAGCGTGGACAAACGTTCTGATGGCCGGACAAAGGGCACTGTGGGAGCCCAGAGGAGGTACCCGGATACCGGGGAGGCTCCGTGGAGGGAAGGACTGGAGCTAAAAAGCACTGGGTTGTGACCTGCCAGATATTAGAAGGTGGGGCGGGCTGGAGAGGAGGACGTCCCAGGCAAGGGACGCAGCAGAAGCCACCTGGAAGTCATTCCCTCATATACTCTTAGGTCGCAGAGGGAAGACGACTTTCACCCGTTTTACGGATAGGGACGCTGAGGTCTAGACAGGCCAGGGGTTTGGCCAGGTCATAAGGAGGCACAACAGGCATCGAGTCTACGCTGAGCGCAGAACAGAGAGCCTAGTTGCCCCCTGCGGGCCACCACTTGCCCTGCAGCCTGCGCTCGCTTTAGCCAGAAACAGCGCTTCGCCTCTCGCCCGCGAACACCCGGCAAACCATCCCCCGCCCGCCAAAAGGGAGATTAGCAGCCCCTCAAAAATATGGCGGCCGAGGCTGGCCGGCCCCGCCCCCGCTGAGCCGTCCTGCCCCACGTGACCTCTCGCGCCGCACAGCAATGGCTATCTGAGAGCCGGCGAGAAGAGTTGTACCCGGATTGGACGTTCGGGGGACGACCCGCCTTCTGGCGGGGCCTTTCTGCGCACGCGCCAGACACTTCGGCCAATGAAAAGACGGAAAGCTGCCCGCACAGCCCATGCGGCGTCACTTCCTCCGCCCCTGTTTCAAGGGATAAGAAACCCTGCGCAGAGGCTTCCTCCTTTCCTAGGCGGCTGCCGAAGATGGCGGAGGCTCAGGTGCGGGCTCCGCGCGGGCCGGGGAGGCGTGGGGCCGGGTGGGATCCAGGCCAGGGCCGGGTTGAACCCTCTTTCCCCTCATAGGTGTATTGTGAGACCTAAACTTGGCCATTCAGCGAAATGGGGAGCTTTTTGGTCGGAGAAGAGTGTGCATCTGGGGGAATAGGAGATAAACTGGGACTTTTTTCTTTGTCCGAGACTGGTTCACATGCGGCATCGTTCCTCCCTCAGGGGTGGTTATGGGGCTCCCAGCACGGGTGGAGTTAGTTTGAAACTAGGCCTCGTTTGCCTTTGCCGAATGAGACCCATGTGTCCCCAGCGGCGGGGAAGCACGCGGAAAGCGCCAGGGCGGCCTCGCGGCGGTGAGACTTAGAGGGTTGGCCAAAATGGAGGTCGCTCCCCCTCCCCCGCCCAGGCGCGTGTTGCACCCACTTCGTGGGACTGCTAATCCGTGTCCTGCAGGCTCTGAGCGTTTTTGTAGGAATCTCAGGCAGTGGGTCCAGAGCGTTCCCGCCTACACGGCATGCAGGATCGAATTCCTCTTCTCATGCTCATTGGGGTTGGTCTTAAAGATCAGAAAGGAGAGAACTAATAAAAAGGCTCCACAACCCTGGGAACTACACTGTCCGTAACCGCCTGGGGGCCCTCGAGGGACACATCAGAAGCTTAGATCTGAGTGTCCCCACTCCTGTGCCATTTTTTTTCTGTAAAGGAGGGGGTGGGTCGGGAAATGGTGCCCATGTGAATTTCATGTAACGAATCTGAGCGGTTGAGGAAAAACAAGCGTCTGCTGTCAGGAAAGTGGATGGGGACTTCATCGAACACGTGTCCCTTCATTTGCTGTGGGCCCGGCGCCGTCTGTGTTATATTTTGTGTGATTCCCTGACCTTCCCGTAACGTTCCTGAGGCAGATCCTGTTATCCTCATCTTCCAGGTGAGGAGGCTGGAGATTTTTAGCCAAAGTCACATTGTCAGGAGGTCTGGCTTTAGATTCTGTACCCTTCTGCCTTCCAACAATCACAAGTATATAACAAGCACTCGGTAAGAGTGGGGACTTTGCTCTTGGTGAAGCAGCTGCAGATTCGGTGTTGAGCAGTTCACCCAGGGACACAGTTAGGGGACGTGAGGTCCCAGGCTTTTTGTCTGCTCCACGGAGCCTCGCCCCCGCTGAGCCCTCTTCCTTTACTAGTCATTTTGTGCTGGAAACGGTTTTGCCTTTGATCAGGAAAGACTCAGTCTTTTCAGGATTGCACAGCTGGTATTCCAGATGATAAATTCTGAGTGGATCGATGGCCAGTGTGGCCAGCGTGGCCAGCCTTTGTTCAAATCCAGCACATTTTCTCAGCCTTTTAAATCTGGGCTTTTAAAAAAATGCCTGCCCTTCAGGCAGCTGAGATGGGAGGCATGGTCTTTGGTGTATCCCATTTCCTGAGGTCTTGAGTCTGCCATTTGCTTGCTTGGCCACATCTGTCAGGTGGGCCTTGGCTCCTAGTTTCCAGGCATGATTATGGTTAGGAGGCGCTCTGGGGGAGAAGGTGAAAGAAACCAGTAGAAAGCGCTGGTTGCTTTGGGGTGGGAGTTGGTGCTTTCGGTGCATCTAAGCTCTCCCCCCTGTGTCCACCAGGTCCTGGTGCTCGATGGCCGAGGGCATCTCCTGGGCCGCCTGGCGGCCATCGTGGCCAAGCAGGTGCTGCTGGGTAAGTCTGCTCTGCTCGCTGCTGGGGCGGGGGGGGGGGGGGGGGAGTCCCACCGGAGGTCTGTGATGAGCAGCAATCACCATCTTTCGTTTGAGTCTCACGACCATGAGATCAACCCCATGCACCGCTCTGAGACCTGCCAGCCCCTCCCTGCCCTGGGGCCTGGGCTCCAACATGGGACATTCTTTTCCCGTTTGACTGTGGGGGGCAAGAGGCTCCCCTGCGGGGCCTCAGCTGTCTTGTGCCTTGTGGTCCCTTCCGTGGTTGAAGGGACCCCATTTCCAGGTCTTTGGCAGTAACTGGGCAGGTGGGTGGTGGCCAGTTTGAAGGTAAAGCCCTTGGCTGCTTAGCCATCGTCCACCTCGGTCACCTCACTTTTCCATTGTCTCTAGGCCGGAAGGTGGTCGTCGTGCGCTGCGAGGGCATCAACATTTCTGGCAATTTCTACAGAAACAAGCGTAAGTGAGGACCTGGGAGAAGGGCTGGGGGCAGGGTTGACCTGGGACATGGCTCAGGCTTCGACGGGTCCGAAGATGAGCCCGCCGGGGGTGGGAAGTGCTCGGAGTTCCCTCACAGGCCCCTGGGAGGTTTGGGGGGGGTGTGTGTCTGGGGGCTGAGGCTCCGCCGCGCTGTTTCTCCCCAGTGAAGTACTTGGCCTTCCTCCGCAAGCGCATGAACACCAACCCGTCCCGAGGCCCGTACCACTTCCGCGCGCCCAGCCGCATCTTCTGGCGGACGGTGCGAGGTGAGCTGGGCCCGAGGCTGCGGGCGGGGCCGGCCGGGCGGCCAGTGATGAGCACGTCTCCCACTCGTGTTCGAGTTCTCCGACCATGAGATGACTCCACATGCACTACCATCTGAGGCCGCCTGGGTGTCGGTGGGGCGGGGTCCCCGCGAGCCCCCTGGGCGAGCCTGCTGTCCCTCTGCCCGCAGGCATGCTGCCCCACAAGACCAAGCGTGGCCAGGCCGCCCTGGAGCGCCTCAAGGTGTTCGACGGGATCCCGCCGCCCTATGACAAGGTGAGCGCAACATTCCCACGCGGCGTCCGTGTGTCCGGCGTCAGTGATGGTGCCCAGTTGTACCTACATTGTTTGATCCTCGTGAGAACAGCCCTGACTGAGACGCCCTTCCGGCCCGCCTTCCCCCATCTGGCCCTCACTCCCAAGTCTCTCAAGCTCCTCTCCTTCTCTAACAGAAAAAGCGGATGGTGGTTCCCGCTGCCCTCAAGGTGGTGCGTCTGAAGCCTACGCGGAAGGTGAGTCGGGGTCGCGGAGTGGTCTCACTATGGGTGGGTGTGAGGTCTGGACACTGGCAGATGATGTCTCTTTTCTCACGATGGTCTGCGGATGCCTCTGCGGGCGGTGCCGATAATGCCAATGGCTCAGCTGATGCCAGGAGGGGGCGGGAGCCTTGAGGGGGGCGGGGGTATCTTTAGCTTGGGCCTGCTGAGAAAAGTGAGGTCAGCTCTGTGCCTTGGCCACTGTGCCTCCGCTTAACTGCGCCCTTTCCCCCCAGTTTGCTTACCTGGGGCGCCTGGCTCACGAGGTTGGCTGGAAGTACCAGGCAGTGACAGCCACCCTGGAGGAGAAGAGGAAGGAGAAGGCCAAGATCCATTACCGGAAGAAGAAGCAGCTCGTGGTGAGGATGGGCAGGGAGCGAAGGGCGCCGGGCTTGCGGGTGGTCTCTCTGGACGCGGTGGTTCAGCACCAGACCCTCTCTCTGGGGCCCAGCTCGGGGAGGGGAGCGGTCCTGGGAGGAGCCCTGTCCCAGGCGCAGCCGCTGACCAGCGTGTGTCCTGCCCCCACAGAGGCTCCGGAAACAGGCCGAGAAGAACGTGGAGGGGAAGATCAGCAGATACACAGAGGTCCTCAAGACCCACGGCCTCCTGGTCTGAGCCCAATAAAATTGACTGTTTATTCCTCATGCTTGGCCTGGCCTGCCCTTCCTCCGTCGCCGCCCTAGGATGCAGGGCTCCCGGGGCCGCTGTCCCGGCGCCGCAGGCAGCCTGGGACTTAGAACACTGGGACCCTGGGAAGGGCCTTAGTGCCTGTCGTCAGGCAAGGCCTCCCAAACACGGCTCTAGGGGCTTTAGAGGCATAAACTGCCATGACCACCTCATCGGTGAAGGTTTAGTAAGGTGACAGTTGGAACAATTAGAGCAGTTTCAGTGTTTGTGAAGAGACCTGGAAGGTGATCGGAGGGGAACCCTGTGTTGTGCGCGGGCACGTCCAAACTTCCCATGTGGTCAGGTGCTGGCCCCTCCCCCCACAGCCTTTAGGGGGTGAGGACGCAGGGGGCCAAGCCTCGTGGCACAAAGCGATTTGCAGACGGCTGCACGGGGAAGTAGGGCCAGGGGTCACAGGCACTGCCCTTGGGCTTTCCCTGTACTTTGTGATCCGAAACTAATAAATTATTTTTAAAGAAATTTGGCGTCTTTGCAGTGTGTGTCCGCTGCGGAGGCAGGCCCAGGGGAATGAGGCCTCTTGCCGAGAAAAGTCACTTGTCACAACCCTTGGGTTATAACCTGCCTTCAAGGAAGTTTTTCTTCCCTCCCAAGGCATTTCCTTGAGGTTCCTGTGTAGTTCTGTTTCTTGAAACCAGGTGGCCAGAGGCTGCCCAGTGGCCATAAAGCCGTCAGTCAAGTCAGCTGCCAAGTACGGAACTGCCACCATCTTAAACCTGCCCCTTCGTTGGGGGTCACGTGGGCTGTTCTGATCTGTGCAGCCCCAGGAGGTCTGTGCTTTCCGGAAAGAAATGGACGTGATGCTTTGTAGGTAGTAATGAGGTAGCGGAAGTGGGAATGTTAATTTTTATAGTGCTTTTTATCTTTTAATGTTTATTTTTGAGAGCGTGAGCAGGGGAGGAGCAGAGAGCACGAGACCTTCGGAAGCAGGCTTCAGGCTCTGAGCTGTGAGCACAGCCTGACGCGGGGCTCTTACCCACAAACCATAACCACAAACGGTGAGATCATGACCTGAGCCACCCAGGCGCCCCTTCACGATGCTTTGGGACTAAAGCTAGACCTTTCAGCTCTAGACGGGTAAACGGAGGATTTAGCTGCCACCAAGCAAGCTCTTCACTGTCACCTCTTCCGTGCCCTTGGGGATTAATGGGCAAGGCCGGAGCAGAAAGAGAGAGGCACAATCCAAGCAGGTTCTGCATTGTCCGCGCAGAGCACGACAGGGCTTGAACCCACAGAGATCTTTTGACCTGGACCAAGATCAAGACCTGGATGCTTAAACTGAGCCACTCTGGTGCCCAATAGTTGGAAGTTTTCTAATTTAGAAGTTCAATATTCAAATGCCTAACAGTACAAAGAAAACCACTTGAATGTGACAAACATTTTACTCTGATTCACAGGGCACATTGTAACTCCCGTGTCCTGTCATGATTAATCTTCCTAAGACGTCCAAGCTCAGGGGCTTACGTTTTTCTCTCAGAGTTATTTAACAAGTCGGTGGTACCTTTAGCTTTCCTGAGGCTCTCCTTCGCTGCAGGAAGTGCCTCCAGCAGGGACCAGAGCCTACAGAGTTTAAATACTAGTAACAAAACCCTGTTAAGCAGCACACTAGAGTCCCACCAGCAGCATGAGCCCTTAAGAAGATAGATTAGGCTTTGTAAACCCGTAAAACAAGCCGCATTGGGGCCCCTGGGTGGCTCAGTCAGCTCAGTGGCGGGGGTTCCCGAGTTCGAGCATCGCTTCGGGCTCTGTGCTGACAGCTCAGAGCCTGGAGTTTTGCTTTGGATCCTGTGCCTCCCTCTCAGCCCCTCCCCTGCTCGCCCTCTGTCTCTCAGAAATCTATATCCAAAAAATTTTTTTGAATGTGTGAAAAAAAAAAAAAGCCCCAGACAGGGAGGAAATGTTTGCAAGCCATCTTGTGAAGAACTTGTATGCCGGCTGTATATTAAAAGCAAACCAAAAAAACTCAAGGGAACAGCCAAGTAAATTTGAGTAAGAATTTGGAGAAATGTTATCACCAAAAAGATCTACAGATGGTCCATGAGCACAGGAGAAGCTCCACATCGTTCACCATTTGAAAATGCAAATAGACTTTCTGGGTGTCCCTTAATCTTTGCTGGGGGGCAAATATGGAGACTCGAACCTCTGGGTCAGCAGCAGAAATGTTTGCAGAGCCGAGTCTTGCAACTTGCCCAACCCGCCCACCCCCGAAGTGCCCTCTACAGCGCGTGGGCCGCCTGGCCCATCTCTGCCAGGTGATAGCAACCTTTCCCGTCCCGGCCACAAGGGAGGGTCTCATTTTGCTAGGTCTTGGGGTGCACGCTGGGGAACGGGAGCTTCTCCAGGTCAAGGAGGGTTTGCATTTCCGATGTGAAACCCTGGTAAGTATGTCTGAAGCCCGCAAGAGGCAGGAAATGGTCTCTCAAGCGGTAATAACTAGAGTTGGCTGAAGTGGATTATTGGACATCAAGGCTCTTTGACACTGGAGATCTGAAAATCAATGTGGTGTTGTAACCACGCTTAAAATGAAGATAGAAATATGGGGCGCCTGGGTGGCTCAGTCAGTTAAGCGTCTGACTTCACCTCAAGTCATGATCACACGGTTCGTGGGTTTGAGCCCTGCGTCGGGCTCTCCATTGACAGCTCAGAGCCTCCGGGAGCCTGTTTCAGATTCTGTGTCTCCCTCTCTCTCTGACCCTCCCCTGCTCACGCTGTCTCTCTCTCTCAGAAATAAATTTTAAAAAAACATTAAAAAAAATTTTTTTTAATGAAGATAGAAATAGAAACGAAAAGAAAAAATCTGTGTTGCAGGAAGGAAAGGAGAAAGTTAAGTTAGAAAGCAAGAGGAAGGGCATGCTTGGCTGGCTTAAACAGAAGAGCACATGGCTCTTGATCTCGGGGCTGTGAGTTCGAGTCCCACGCTGGGTAGAGAGATTACTTAAATACATAAACTTAGAAAAAAAGAAAAAGCAAGAGGAAGGAAGGGAAGAGGAGAGAGAAACAGGTGTTTGGTCACATTGCAGAATGTACTTCCTACTGCGGGTTGTGGTCATTGAAAACTGCGCAGCTAAATATCTCCAAACGGCCCCACCTCCTTCACGGTGAAGCAGTCTTTTTTTTTCCTTTTCCCTTATCATCAAAATCTCACCAGCTATTCTGAGCAAATTGCAAAATACTGAGCATTTTAAAAACCAGAGAGGAAATCACAATCTCACCATCTGGAGACGCAAACCACCAGGGCAGCAGCTTACATTTCCTTCCAGGCTTTTTTCTAAGTCGCTTTCGTACATCGTTCAGCACACCCTGTGGATAACAACTCTGAAGCCTGCTTTTGTCTTATTTAACTAAATATAATAAATCCTTATCAAGTCGTTCAAACACTCCAGAAATTACTTTTTTCTTTAAAAATAATAAACCTACTATGAGGTCAGTTGCGGGTGTCGGAGGGGTGGATATAGGGTTTATTATTGTTATATATTTTTTATTTATTTATTTTTTAAATTTTTATCATTTATTTCTAGGAGAGAGAGAGAGAGAGAGAGAGACAGCATGAGCAGGGGAGGGTCAGAGAGAGAGGGAGTCACAGACTCTGAAATAGGCTCCAGGCTCTGAGCTGGCAGTCAGCACAGAGCCCAACGCGGGGCTCGAACCCACGAACCGCGAGATCATGACCTAAGCGAAAGTCGGACGCTTAACCGACTAAGCCACCCAGGCGTCCCAATATAGAAGGTTTCAAAACAAAAATGAAAAGTCCTCCCCTTCTAGTGCTACCGTCAAAGGGACTGAAGCAACTACATTTAAAAATGTTTTAGGGGGGGCGCCTGGGTGGCTTAGTCAGTTAAGCGTCCGACTTTCGCTTAGGTCATGATCTCGCGGTTCGTGGGTTCGAGCCCCACGTCGGGCTCTGTGCTGACTGCCAGCTCGGAGCCTGGAGCCTGTTTCAGTCTGTGACTCCCTCTCTCTCTGACCCTCCCCTGCTCACGCTGTCTCTCTCCTAGAAATAAATAAAAATATTAAAAAAAAAAATGTTTTAGGGGCACCTGGGTGGCTCAGTTAAGCGCTTCAGCTCAAGTCATGATCTCACAGCTGGTGGGTTTGAGCCCCACATCCAGCTCTGCCCTCACAGCTTGGTTGGCTAAGTCAGTGGAACGTGCAACTCTTGATCTTGGGATTGTGTGTTCGAGCCTCACCTTGGGCGTACAGATGACAACAACCATAAAACATTTCATTCAGAATTCACAAAGCTGGGGTATCTAGGGGGCTCAGTTGGTTAAGTGTCCGACTTTGGCTCAGGTCATGATTTCACGGTTCGTGGGTTTGAGCCCCGTGTCGGACTCTGTGCTGACAGCTAGTTCAGAGCTTGGAGCCTGCTTCGGATTCTGTGTCTCCCTCTCTCTCTGCCCTTCCCCTGCTCACACTGTCTCCCTCTCTCTCTCACAAATAAATAAAAACATTAAAAAAAATTTTTTTTAAATTCACAAAGCTATTGTGTAAGAGAAATTTAAGTAACTAAACTTTAAAATTATTTTTTGTAAGTTGGTAGCATTTACATCTCTGAAGTTATTACAACTTAAAGACTAAGATTATTATTTATACATATATGTATGTATGTGTATATATACATATATATGTACATACGTAAGTATATATACATATATAGCAAGGCTGTCCAACAGAATTTTCTGTGTTCATAAAAATTTTCTGCATCTTCTCTAATATCCAAGCCACATGTGGTTTCTGGGCACTTGACATATGAATAGGGTGACTGAGCAATTGAGTTTTAAATTGTATTCAATTTAAATTTAATCGGTATCTCTTAAAGAATGAAGAGCCAGTGGTTGGACTTGCCAGGGCTCGAACGCAGGAACCCAGGACCTGGAAGCACAGGCTCTCCCACCCAGCAACAGCCCCCGCCCCCCTCAGATTACATTTAAATAACGGCATGTAACTACTGGCTACATTA